TGATGTTAAAAGCAAGAAGATTAGATCCACAAAAATTAATATGTCAACAATAATAAATATAATAAATAATTAAATAATAAAAAATACAACGCATTAAGAATAATAAGATGCTTAAAATTACAAGCTCATATTTCTAATTATCAAATATTGCCTGCGCCGAGTTGCAATTTTTTCTTGCATTAATTTAGGATGACGTCTTTTGCTGAAGGTCTTCAGTCCCACGCTCATCCTTAATCACATTTTGCGCACGGTAAAGGTCAAGTTTCTCTTTTGCATCTCGCGCAAGAATGCAAAATAGCGTGTCCCGCTCTCAAACCATGAGAGCAACACGGTGCAAGTCGGTGCTTATCGCTGCTCGTCCATTTGGGCTCGACACCTGCCTCGCTACTCTCGCCTGCATGAATAATAAAAAGTCGGGCCTTCCTCTCTTTGCCTGCCTCCGAGATAAACCCATTTGCACGGCAAGGCAATAAAAAAGCACCGGCCTCTAGCTTTTTAATGGCAGGATGCGGGGTTATTTATTGCCCCTAAGATGCGCCACTGTTGCTTGTCGGGGCAAAAAATCATCCGCCAGAAATTTTCACTTTGTTCTTTTCCTGCATGCTGCTGGTCTCAGAAAAGTTAGGAAGCTTTGCTGTGAATTTTTTAGTACCTTTTTTTAAGGATAAAGTAACTTACTTGGGGTTGCAAGGGGCCTTGGGGGAAAAAGCAAATAAAATAAAATGACCTCTGTATATGAATGTGCTTGGAGGGTTGAAGTTAGTTAAATTAAGCAGCTCTTGTTTTGTTCGGTTTAACAACCGCAATTCTTGGCCCGAAAACAAAGCTCTGCGGCAATTAATTAGAACGGCTGGATGGAATTTTAAGGCTATTCCCACACCTTGTCGCAAATTCGGGTGCCGTGCCGGGGGTGCTCTTAATCTTAATTAAATTTCATCTGGGCGCCGAAAGAGCTGCTCGCCAGAATGACAAATTGCTGCTAGCTCTCGCATTCCCTAGCCGCCTGTTTATCTCTCTCTCTCTCTTACTCTCACAACTCGGGAAATTTTCTTCGCCCAAGTCTTCCCTCTCAATTAGGCGCCGTCACTTTTGGTTACTCGTCGGCCCCGTCGGTCGACAGCTGCCGAGCTCCCCGTGAGTTTCCGCGAAATCGAGAGGGAAAGAAAATTACTAGTGCCAAAGTGGGTCATGAATCCGCTGGAAAATGGTCGATTTACCGACGCAGAGTGTGTTTCGTATTTGGGACACGAACTTGCGTCGACGAAATGCTCCATGGGAGGGAAAAAAAAGTTTGTGGAAGTGAAAAAAAAAAATAGAGATTTCGCACCATTTACGTTCCTTTCTCTTGCAACAAGCTTCAGAAATCTCTGGGAAAGGTCCACTTTGCACAGTACTTGCTCAAGTTTGTGCAACAATAAAAAAATCATTTGAATTATATAGAAGCATGAATATTATATTATCAACAAAGATAAAGGTAACTTGTGAAGTTTTTTTTTTAAAAGTTGTTCGATCGGTTGGCGAATTTTACACACAAATTTTGTATTTGAAATAATTTTGAAATTTGATTTAAAATGATTAAAGAGAAAATAAATAGCATACATTATTTATTTAATATTAAAGTAATGAATTTTTTTAATTTTATTATTTTTTTATTTTCATAATTTTTATCAATTTTAGTTTAACCAGCTTGATTATTACATACTTTCAAACATTAAATATATTTTAGTTTCAAAATAACCCTTATTGGGTTTTATGGGCAACTTTGCCTGAGAGATTTTTATGAAATTTTTAGAGTTATTATAAAATCCGATTCCAACAGCCACTTTTCATCTTATTCTTATTGTTAGAGAAAGCAATTTTCATATCAGATATTATTTCCCCGTCCTCGCTGTCGCTCCGAGAATCATTTTTGTGCTTTCTTGTTGAATATAAATTTGATATTTCCTCTTTGGCGTTGGTGGCGCCACACACATGAAGAATTTTTCTCACCCGCTGACTTGCTGATATTCTCGGCTACATAATGAACAAAATCTAAATAATGGATAGACGCGCGTGTCTCTCGAAATTTTCCTTTCGCGCCAACCCGGAAAAGCAATAAAAAGAAGTGCGGAGCCACAATTTTCTTTCCTCAGCAGGAATAATATTTCCCTTGACGTCAATTTTGAGCAAGGTATATTTTCTCAAAGAAAAAGGGGCGGCGGCAATTCTTATAATGGGAATCAGCATCACGCGCGGGCACCTTTCACCTTTGATAATTTATTCATGCGCGAAAATCGCCTGATGACTTTGGCATAGGGGGTGATTGATTGACGCGCGACCGCTGAATGGATGACAAAATCCTCATTATTTGAGTCGCGCGCTCTTTCATTTTTCATCATCATATTTTGTACTAATACCACGGCCGTGTGTTGTAATCCGCACGATAAATAAGCGTCCAAAATGTGTGCACGTGGGCTTTCGCGACAGAGGCATCGATCGATTCATCGCAGCTTGAAAAATTGCTGTTGACGCGAAATGAAATTATTTTAATGCCGAGAGCAAAAACTCGCACTCCCATCAAATAAGCATTAGCGCCAGGGGTTGTTTTGTTATCATTTCAACCGTTTGTATTTTTGTCACACCCTCTGACTGAGCTTTAAAGGAAATGTTACAAAACAGTTTGATTGATTATGATTAATTTATCACGGTGACTGATGAAGTGGAAGAATTTGTTGAATAATTTTGGCTTGATCCTATACACAACTTCCATTATAAGAATTGTCTGTCTTCATTAATCAATGTTTAGTCTTAAATAATTACATCAATCTCAGTGGAGTTTGTTGAACCAAATGAAATTTCAAGTTGACCTTTTTTACACTTTATTTGATTTAGCAGGCTGGGTTAAAAATTGCATGTATTGTGAGGAAAAATATATCCAAAGCCTGTCGTGTTTGATTTTTTTTTCTTGCTCCAAATTTACTTAAAAAATATATAAAAATAAAACCAGAGAAAAATAATTTTGACCAACAAAGAAATTCTACTAATTAAGCATTTCATAAAAAACTAATTTTCTCTTTTATAAAGGTCAGTATTTGATTGTAACTGTGTCTGGGAGAGAATAATTAAATCCAACTGAAATGGCGCAGGAGAACTTGGGGAGGAAGAAATAAATCTCGTGGAATTATTATTATTATTATTCTGGAGTGGCCTTTAGGGAGGCAGAAATAAACCCACCTCTGGCCGTCTGCGGTGGCCGACGGATTTGCAATTCTGATCCTGCCCCCCGTGCGATGCCCTTTGGCCTCTCGAGCAACCCACCGCTTTTCCACGGCAGCTAAAAAGCTCAAGTTGCAAAGCAAATGAACGGGCGGCAGCTTTGCGCTCGAGCCGGGGGCAACAAGTTGTGCAGGTGGTCTCAAAACCCGCGCGGGAATAATTTTGCGGTCGAGTTAAGAATCGAGTGCATATATTTTGAATGCTTTGCATATGTCGGCACATGCAGGGTGTTTATTTGCTCACTGAATTGATGGCGAGCTGCGGTGTTGGGAAATTGCCAGTTAATTTGTTTGCTGCAAAGCGGCTTACGGCATTTATACAGACGCCGCTCAATTGATGAATGACGAAATGGGTTAATTGCAATGTGCTGCTGGCGTTTTAGCGATTTCGGTGCGCATAACGTCCAAGCTTTATTTTTCCTGTGGATTATTTATTGAAATGGTTGTTACCAAAACTTGCAGTCATGAAAACAGAGCACTCAATTAAATGCGTATGCGATTGAATGCAAACTGGCGCTTTTTCATAATGAACAAAAACGCGAAACGATAATCGCTTCTCGCCCAATGATTTTTGAGAAACAATTTTTGACTGTAGTGCATTTCCAGTGAATTCAATTTGCATGGAAAACGTGATTATAAATGTATTTTTAACTATTTTTTCTTCACAAAGTAAAAAAAAAGTATGAAATATTTTAAAAGCTCAATATATTTCCTTAAAACAAGGATCAGCGTAAAATAAGAGCGAAAACAAATCTCATTGTCAGCTTGCGTTGCGTAAAATTAATTCTTAAGGCTGCTCTTTCATTTAATTTTAAAGCTTTTTTCTAGATATTATAGCGCTTCAAGCAATGCTTTTACCGTTTTCTCAATTTTTAATAAATTCATGGATTTTATTTATTTCTAGTCATTCTGGCTATTGCAAAGTAGCTCCTTTGCTATTCGCTCAAATCATCCGCATAACTTTAAATTGCATTACGTAAAATTGATGAAAAAACGTTGGCATTTGTTTGCATAATTCATGCCCACCTGGAATTTGTGTTTGTTTGTCCATATGCGAGGCAAATGCACAGGCGGCACGTGAAATTCGATTAGACGAGCCACGTGCCTTGGGTCCCAAAACGGCCGATGAGCGTGTTGGTACGAGCCCCCATGAGGCGCACTTGCCCTTATTATTATTTGGCCCGATCCGACAAGCACACCCCCGACGCGGCCAAATAAAGCGGAATTCTCCTCCGCAGAACAGTTTGCTCGCGTTCAAATCAACTGGCACTCTGCTGCATTATGTGGCCGAATTCCGAAAGTGCGCCAGTAATGAAAATTAGGGGCCTTTTCGATGAGGCGTGGGTTGGAAGTGAAATGAGGAGTGCAATTTGGGGGCTAAAGTGGAATCTTATAGGTTATATTTTTTGTGTGTTTTTGTTAGCGGATATAATGCTAAAAGAGAAAAGAACATTGTATTGAATGTCGCTGGAATTTCAATTAATCAATAATTAGGAAAAAAATTATAAACCTGCACGTTTCCACATTCAATTCAAGAAAGTTAATTTTTATTTAATTTATACTATAACGTAGAATGCTGACCATTTAAAATAAAATGCAAGGTAATGAAAATAGTTATTTTAATATAAAATTACAAAATTCTTAGGAAAAAAAATACGATTTGGTTGTTTTTTCCTGATTGCTGAATAGATTATAATTCGCCAACATAGTTCTTGCACTTAATAAAATAATATATTTCTGTTACAGTACTGTTTTGCGATTTCATACCGGCGGGAGAACCAGCGTCAGTACGAGTTGCGGGCCAACAGCGAAACCGACTGCAAGATGTGGATCGAGGCCATCCGGGAAGCAAGGTGAGTTTTCCCCCTGGTCTTGTCTTAATACTTTCGTCTCCCCCGGCATGTCTTCTTGGCAATGAAAAAAATTAATGACTTTCCAGCCCCTACTGCGTACAAACTCTAAGCTACCGCTCTCATCGTGATATTGAATTTCGCCATTCTCTCCACTAATGGACCAATAATTATTTCATCGGTTCTGGGTAATCATTAGCTCTGGCAACTGTTGAAATAATTATTATCCACGATCGATTTGGCGGCAGTAAAAGCGAAATGTTTCGGGAAAAACCAACAACATCTGCCAATACACGATGTTAATTTGCCGTTCGAACCTTTTGATGCGTCCTGTTATCGATGTGTAATTTTTCGCAAAAAGCGATTTGCGTGGTGTTTTTTTATCGATGATGGATACGCTGATGGATATTTTGACGTTTGGGAGCGTAATCAGCTTTGTTAAAAAATATCCACTGCTGGTTGGTTTTTTTAATTAGTTTCTGCCGCCATTACATTGCAAAAGCACGCCTGCAAATTTCAAAAGCTCAAATGAATTCATCAAATTATGTTTTTAAACTCACAATCAGGATTTGAATACTTTAATTAATTGATTTTTTTCTCTGGCCTTTTTTTTTACAAACGTGCTCTTTTTAAAACTAGAAAATTAAAACAAAAAGGCTTATTTAATTTAGTGAACAAAACATAAGCGAAAATCCCTCTCGTTTTTTTGTCAGACTAACTAAATAACAGTTACCAGAAAACTTTTGGACCAACTGATCGGAGAAGGTGTAAAGCAAGTTGTGGGCAAAATCTGTGTAGGTCTCGTCGCTGGGGTGCATAACTTTCGTGCCGCCCGCTTAAGCCTCTGCTTGGCCTCCGGCGATGTATGTAGAGATTTAGTCGACGGTCTAAACCAAGAGTCTAAACTATTGGCTTCTAAATCGATTTGCCTTCGGCAGGCTTTGCTGATACTAAAAGCTTGTGTCTCTGCAAACCCGTTGAGACTAACATTAGATACCTTCCGCGTTAAGATGTTTAGGTATCACATCGTTATAAATTGGAAGATTATTAAAAATTATTTTGAGACGTAATCATAAATTTAGTTATTATCCTAGTGGAAATCCATAGGACTTTACAGGTGGCTAATCATTTTATATGCATTATAGAGCAGAAAATTTAAATTTAAAATTCTGTGATTCAAAATTCAATATTTTGCAACAATGCTTAGAAATTATAAAAAAGAAAATTATATAAATTTAACCTTATCTGAGGACTGGAAATCTGAATATCTACTGTCAGTAACATTAATGATATCTTTCGTACAAAGACAAGTCTATTTGCAATTAAGAGACCTTCCCAAATATTTTTTCTACTCTCTCCCTTTTGCAATCAGACAGAGAGTAATTTGCATCCGCATTTCTCCCTCTCGTCATTAGTTGGGGAACAAAAGTGAGTGTTCAATTAAGCGGAGAACACAAGGAAATTCAAGAGAGCGCCGGTCGATCGTCGTCTTCTTTACCTCCAGCCACTTTTCCCTTCTTTCAAAACTCTCGTGCATGTAAGGCAGAATTCACCGAGCGGAACTTTGCACTCATTTATCTGTCCGGGCGGCAACATCAAAATTTCAGCAGACGGCGCTGAATTCCAGGCGAATTGCCTCGGGCGCACAACGCGCGAAATCGGCCCTGCCGATGAAATTTTCAGCAGACCAAGGACCAATTCATCCTCCTTCGTTCAAATGCTGCAGAGGCATTCTGTCTTTATCGCAGAGCACGCGGTCGGGCATGCATATTTCACGGGCCGGCCTTTCTCCGGCAGGAAGACGAAACTCAAAGGGGTCCGCAAAAAATTCTGCGCCGAATTATTCAGGAAATTGCTCTCTGTGCTCTTTCTCTCTATCTCTGAGCCAGCACAAGGTAAACACTTTTTGCGCGCTTTCAAGGCAGACACGATATTATACTGATTAAAAGGCTTAACGAGAACAACTACTCTTTACTACTTTGTCTCCTCTGGGAATGCTTCAATCGACTTAATTTGTCACAGTCTGTTGCGTGGAAAACGAGCTTAGCATTGCAGAGGCGGACTATTAATTAGATTGATTGTGTACAGAAGTTTTCAGAGTTTATTTTATACCGACAGTAAATTAAATGAGCTGACAATACAAACAAGAGAGACTCGGTTAATTGCAAAACAAAAACAAATAACTTGACAGGGGAAGTTGTATTATTAAAAATATGTACTTCATTACAAAGTCTCTTCATAAATAGCTATATGCATGGATATTCACATAAATATTGCCAGGAGAGAACTTTATGTATTTTTTTTTAATTTAAAAAGAAAATAACTTAACAGAAATTTCATATACACATTTGAAAAAAAATTAGAAAATTTCATGTTTAAAAAAATGAGTTTAATAAATTATATTTATTTTATTTTTTAATAATTTTCAACTTATGATTTATTTAAGTGTAAAAACTTAAAAAGTTAATTTTATTATTTAAATTTTTTGGTGTAGAACTTGAAACTTTATTCTTACGATTGGCATTCCAAACAAAATGAGTTCAAAACTTGATGGGATTAGTTATGTACAATAATATTAAAACTTTAAAAACAATGGTCTGATCATAAATTTCGGCCCTTTGAACTCTTAATATAGAAATGCATCTAGTGTGAAATGATCCCTTGGAAAGTGATCCAGTTCTATTATTTTTTTTAATTACAATCGTTGTATGATTTTCTTCAGTTTGTACCCATTTACATGGATCCTTATCACTTATCCAAAATCTTTACGGAATTTTCAATTCGAGTTATTGAAAACCCTAGTTTTCAAAATTCACTGCCTTTATAAATTTAACAAGCACTAGAAAAAATTTGAAAAATCAACAGGTTTTCAGTAAAAGACCGTCACAAGCAGTTGCTTTTATTTCGACAAAATGCACCACCAAGCCCCGCAAAGCACACAGTTGATAAAAAAACTACATTTACGCTCGCGTCACAAACACGGTGCTAACGACGCCTAATTTGCAGGCCGGCAAAAAGTGCTTTTCAATTTGAGCGGCGACTCGCACACGGCCACTACTTTTGATCTGGACGCCTTTGGTTCCGCCCATACGTCCCGAATAAATGATTCAGGCCTTTAATTTCAAGGGCTCTGGCGCGCCAGCACAAAGGAAGCACAACATACGTATGTACATATTACATACCGCCGGCATGCACCTATGTATGTTTTCAATGCAGAGAGCGAGAGAAGCTTGTGTGCGTACGAGAGAGTGTATTGACGTCACGCCGGCCCGAGAGGCGCCGTTGAAATTTTAATAACTCGGGAAAAACGGCGGCGGCTCAAATTTTGATAATGAATTTTACAAAAGATTTCTCTCTCACACAGAGACACGCGCAGAGCAGCTTGTAATATTCGCACTTAATTCACTGCTAATAAACGTCACGAGGGTCGACTTGATTTACCCTCGTCCAAAATCCACGTTGAAAATTATTAGCCCGGCAACGGGCGTCCGATGAAGGCTGCTCCGGCTGAAAACGCCACGTTGGCGGAGTTCATTAAAATGTGTGTTTGCTTTCGGCCGTGCGATTCATTCCATAATTAATTAGAGACCATATTTTGCAAACTACACACATCTATATATCCATTTGTGGCTAATTAATTTTGCAACTTATAAATTTCAAATGATTTGAAAACAAATTTTATCATAGTTTGGATTCAAATAGAAAAATTCACCAGTGGATCCAAGTTTGGATTTATAAAAATTATAAAATAAATAAACTTTTTCAAACAGGCATTTTTAAAAGAAAATCAGCTCTCAGTTCAGCCAAGATAGAAAGAAAAATTTAGCAAATTGAAAGTTAGAAAGAGTTTCAGCCTTGTCGATTTGAAGACAGGCAATATTAATTAATCAACCGTGTTCGACTAAATTTTTTGCAAACAAGCGTCAAAAATTCGTGAGGGAGAAAATGGATTACTGATTTCATGGCTAGCTATTTAATCCATGGGGTGCTCAAGAGATTAATTCCTCCATTTTTGCCGTGAAAAAAGAGCAACACCAGATTTTTTCGGCTTTTCCGAAAAAAGAGTGTCGGATTATTTACCACCCAAACCACACCTTCGGCTTTAAAGTAAACCTGCAGCCTTGTAAATTTATAAAAAAAAAATCTGAAAATATTTTTTTTGCGCCTTCAAATTTTTTCACTAGTGAGAGAAGGCACATAAAATATAATCTGAGCTTCATCTTTCTGCCTTGCTCGCAGCTTGTGCTGCTTTTTAATTAAAAACGGTGCTAATCTCGCCTTGCGTCTATTTGTCTTCGGTTTCAGTTTCAACAAGCTGCTGCTGCAAAAGGAAGAGCTGGAGCAGAAGCACTTGCACCTCCTCCAGATCGTCGAGAGTGAAAAAACGGCCAAGTGGCAGTACACCCAGCAGTGCGAGGAACTGGCTTCCGAAATCAAAAAGCTGCGAGCGGAGGTGAGATCTGAAGTGAGAACCCCTTTCGCCCTTGTACATTGTACCTTTGCTGTTTCACTCTTTTCTTGTATTCTTTGAATTCAGTTCTCGAAAATTTTATTCTTTTATAATATCTTAAATTTGCTTCGCTTTTTCAGTCTCATATTTTTGCCAAGCTTACTTTTCTAATTGACTTAATTTTTGAATTTTTGCTAGCATCATTGGAATCAGCTCAAAGTAAGGGAGCAGCTAGGGTTGGTTTTGAAAGTAGATCACACGCCGTAATGCACGCTTCTTTTGTAATTGTGTGATGGCCGTAGCTAATTGCCGTCTGTAGAGTAATATAGGGCAACCATATCACGGAATGAGAGCGAAGCAAGGCGAGGGGGCACTTGTTGCTAAAACAATCAACTAATGAAGTCAGCCCAATTAACAAATGGCTCTCTGGACCCTCCCAATTAAAACTTTGAGCTCTCAAAGGCGCTTGCTTTGCTCGATGGTACGAGACTCTTGCGTAAGCAAGACACACCTCAAAAGGGGGTTCTGATTTCATTTGCTTAATTGTGAACCAAATTGACGAATCTATACTATAAGTGATTAAAAGATGGCAAAAGTCAATTATGTAATTACAGATGTTGTAAATTTTAAGATTGGGATTCTCATTTTTTTTTTAAATTCGTCTCTAGCATAGGAAAATAATGATGTAAGAATGAGCGGGCGTAAAAACATCTTCTGAAACAACCAATTACTTGAATTAGTTAAATTTTTGCAATAATGTAAAAATTCTCACGTTAAAAATCAGTTTTATATATATTTTTTTTTAATACAGTTCGGTTATTTGAACTTGAATTATCGATCTTCAACTCAGCTTCCACTCACAATCAACTATAAAAAGGCAGAAATTATCTGGATTATCCTGATCCAGTCTTGTCACATTCATTTTTTTATTTTTATTTTGTATAGTAAATTGAAATCTGAACGTCGCTTGGTTAATTTCCACCATATTTACATGCACATCTGCTGCGTAACATGTTCATGGAAATGTTAATCGAGCGAACTAGCGAGGCACTCGAGCACGATCTAAACTCAATCTGACGCCCACCATAACCAAATCGGCTCAGATTGCTATTATATTGTTATGCAACAAACAAGCGCTTGTCTCGCGACTCACGCATGCAAATATTTGACAACAAAATAGAGAATGCAGTGCAAATATTTGTCCCCAGCGCCGCCTTTGAGCTGTACGAAATTTGTGCGCGCGTGCAAATTGTTCTCAGACGCTCGCTCTTCATTTTTTGTTTCGCGCACACGCACAGCCTCATTTGCAAGTCTCATTTGTTGAGGAGCTTCTGCCTTTAATTAATTTAAAACTCGATTTGCATTGATGAGACGACGATGAAACCGCTTTCCACTTTAAGGAAACCTTCTTACCTTGGGAAATTTCCTGTTGATCTACTTTGCAAATTGTTTTGAGGATTGAATAAAAAATCTAGAAAAACACGAAGTTTCAATTCGTCGCGATTATTTCATTTGTGGTTTGAAACAGTTTCGAAATTAAAAAAAAATCATAATTTGGCCGGTGCCGGTATACCAATGAGCTAGATTATTAAAGGGGGTGGAAATTTTCAGAAAAATAATTTTTCACGTGGTCAGAATCTAGTCGAGATAAGCAGTAAAAACTGCCCTTAAAATACATTGCTTACATTCATACAAAAGCTACTGTTAACTCGCCAATTTCTTTTGGAAAACATTTCCTAATATAATAGTTATTTAAAAAGTATGATCTAAGGTTTCTAATTGTGATCTTTGCAATCGGCCACCCCCTTTAACTTATATTGTATTTAATTGTGTATTTTTTGCATAGCTAGTAATTGCCTGTGGTTTAAATATTATTCACGTACGTAGCTCACAGGAACAATAAAAGTAACCAAATTTAATTTCAATCTATTATGTAATTGCACTTCAGGTGTTTTCAGTTGTACTATATTTATACATATTATTATTTATTATTGAACTATTATTAATATAATTTGGTTAATTCACCGTAAAATAACATAATTAAAACTTTTTACTGGTTTCTAGCTAAGTGAATGTCAACTGTAGTATGGAAGCTTTAAGTGAATGTAATGAATCGATGCAAAAACTTTTCAATTAAGAGTGAAGCGAGACTTTTCACTAAAAGCTGGCTTTAGATGTGCTGCTCACGAGACAACTTTGGTCTCTCTCTCTTTTCCAACAAACAACTTCTAGAAAATCAGTCTCCTTCTTCCTCCTTGCTTACCCGATCCCTCTGCGAGCTCTTGTTTTTCCTGCTTTAAAATGCTGTTGTTGAAAAACACTCAGGATTAAAACGTTTTTCTTTGCTGCTTAAATTTTTACAGTTGTGTGCGTTGAAGAGGGAGTGGCGCCCCGTACCAGTGAAGCAGACAAGTTTGGCCGGTCCTCTCAAGGAGGCTGACGAGCTACGGAAAATTAAAAAGGTGCAGAGTTTCTTCCGAGGGTGGCTGTGTCGGAGGCGGTGGAAGCAGATCGTCGAGGAGTACATCAAGTCACCGCACGCTGAGAGCATGAGAAAACGCAACAGGTAAAAATTTAACGTGATTCCTCAAAACGTTGATAGTGTAGGTAAGGAATATTTATTCAAGCTTGCGCGTGACTTTGCCCGTTATGAATAAGAACCGTCTTATTCTCTAAAATATTGAAATAATCCCTTATGACATAAACAGATACAATATAAAATATTATCACAATTTTTTAATTATAAATTAACTGTTTTTTTTATTTTATTATGTCTTTAATTGTAAGATGATCAAAAACATTAAATAAGTACATTAGCAATTTTTAGCCTGTAAATTGAATCGATAGAAAATATGGCGACTTTTTGCTGGAAATTAATATTTTTAGTGCTTTTTAAACGTCAGCTGACAATCAGCAGAAAGAACACATTTTTAATTTAATTAAAAGCAACAAAATTATCTGCCCTAGACTTAAGTTGAATGAAACAACAAAATCTTACACAATTTGCATTCAAAATTGCACAATTTCACACTAAATAGAATAAAAAAAGGGAAATCAATTTTATTTTGGAAAAACCTGACAAAAATTCAATTGTAACAAAACATTTTTTAATTTAAAATATCTAACATTGAGGAAGAATTATAAATACAAAACATTGAGCCTCTTTGTCTTCCCTTGTCTGCCTCAGCCTGGTTTTCCGCATGGTAGAGTCCGAGGAGGAGTACATGGAGCAGATGGAGGTGCTGGTCTCGTGCTTCCTGCGACCCTTCCGCATGGCGGCCAGTTCAAAAAAGCCGCCGTGCTCGCACGAGGACGTCAACTCGATCTTCCTGAACAGCGAAACCGTGCTCTTCCTGCACCAAATCTTCCTCAAGGGGCTGACCTCGCGCATGGAGAGCTGGCCGACGCTCGTCCTTGGTAAGTCACTCCAATGTTGTGCCACACACCTGCTAGATCTAGCTGCACCCAGAGTGGTATGCTTTCTCCACACACTAACTACTAACTTTAAACTTGACTGGTGTTATTCTCGCGGAGACTTTCTTTTCCTCTTATGGTTCTTGGCTAGTCAGGCCTTCAAAAATTCCTGATCTTTTTATTTAAACGGTTATGTTATTGATTGATTCTCCATTCTTTCACATTAATAACTTTTACCAAAATTAATTTGCAAAAAAATATATAAATAATAAAATATTTTTTATTATTCAATTTAAAATTTATTAATTTTTTTAGTTCATGTTCATTTTAAAGGCTAATTGCCGCCATTCTGTAGAGAAAATAAATTTTATTTAGTTTTAAAAATTTGAAATCTGAAAAACACCTTTTTGCAGGCAGTTAAATTTGGATTTATTTTTCTTGTAAAGAAAATTAATTTAAATTCACTCCAATTATTAAAAGTTTATATAAATTTTTTTTGTTCGATCTGCTTAATTAGCCAGAACCAATTCCTCCCTGTTAGCTAGAGACTGTCAAAACCGTTTCGACTCTTCATACATTTACACAGATCTAAAAAAAAGTAACTAACCAGTTGTTCCATGACCACTGTGACGCATCAGTTGGAGTAACAATTACAAATAATTTTTGAAGATATGCTTCAGTGTGTAGTCTTGTGATTTATTGATTGACTGCTGAGTTTGGTTACAGTAGCTAGAGTTAGATTTTGCGACTTGAGTGAGATTTACATTGATTCATTGTGGTAATTCTAGAATGCTAGAGTAAAAAATCATTACGCCTTTTGTGTGTAGTAGACATAGAAAAATTTGCTCTTGACGTCTGTTCCTCGGACACTGAAATGAGTGTCACACTTTGTAAAATTAGTTTTTGAATTTGATTTTTATAGAATTATTTTGTTTTAACACATGCAATTTAATAATGCTATATTATATTTCTAATCAATTCAAAATGTTTGTCCAGATCATAAAGTTCTCCTAATTACAATAACACTGACTAAGTTCAAAATTCAAAAATATTTTTCTAAAACTTTATAATTTTTCTAATTTTGAGTTAAATATTTACATCAAATAAAATAGCTCACGTAAAAAATTATTTAATTTATAAATATTCTAGATACACAGGAAAAAATATTTAATATACAAATTATTTATTATAAAAATGATGGAAATATGATTTTTTATTTCACTGTGTAATTTTTTCAAAGGAAACAGCAATTATCAGACAGAAGAAATAATGTTATCGCCACCTGTTGTGTCCAGAGGGCAGCGTCAGAGCAGACGTAAAACTTCTAGAAATCCGTATCGCGCGTACGCTGCTTTTGTGGATTTGACTTTGGTCGCCCGTGTGCCCTGTTTATTAGCTTTGACAGCAGCCGCCGCCTTGCCATGAACACACGCACACACAAACACATCCCTTCTTCTTTTCCGAATCGTGATTTATCGCCCCGACCGCCGCGTCGGAAAATGCCAAGAGGGCTTAAGGGAGACGAAATCGGGCTCTCGCGTTGTTTAATATCTGCGCGCGTGTTTGGCCGCGCGCAAGATTTACGGTCTCACGAGTCAGGTGCAACATTGTAGAAGTTGCCAGCCGGGTCGCGCCCCCAATCAATGCGCGTGACGCTCATCCCAATCAATTACGAGACGACCTATACCGTGGCACGAATTATCACCAGGGCTATAATTTGCCTGTGAAACATTTGATTACACGGAGAGAATAGATAATTATCTATTTGATGCTTTTTCAAAGAACACTTCTTCAAATTATTAGTATTGTTGTTTATTTGTCGAAATTGTTTGATTGAATTTTTTTCAATTTATTAATAATGGCAATTTTTTGTTTCACAAACAAATTTAATTAAAATCATCCTATTAACGGTGAAAATTTTATTCTAGTTGATGCTTTTTTATCTGCAACACAAGACGATCGCCATCATTATTCAATATTTTATTTTCAAATAACAGAGTAAAATTTAAACATATATTAAAATAATCAGCTATTTCACACAATTTTTGAAGGTATCATAATTTTACTTTTTATCTGCATCAACATTGTTGAGCGTAGGTGATAGTGTGCAGATGGCAAACAAAATAACGAATTTTTCATTTTTTTCCCCCAAGCAACACTCAGCCACCTTTGACCTTTCCTTTGCAAAGAAAACACGGAAATTTCTGCCAGAAAAACTCGCATTGTTGTACAGCTCACAGCAAACTCTGTTTCAATCAATTATACCCCATTCCATTATTTAAAGTGAATCGCAAACAGCCTCAAGGTATGCAGTTTTTACGACCGTAAAAGAGGCAGAACTCATCATATTTTTCATTATGTTCATCATTACCGAGAAACCACATTATTTAACCATTTTCTAATTAAATGAACATTTTCGCAATGCAAAAACGTCACGGTTGAGCTTAAGTTGGTTATGAGAACCGTGGAAATGGAGTCGCGTCGTTTGACCTTTCCAATTTAAAACTCGTTATTCTGAATGCAAATAGTTTTTATGAGGTTCTTGAAAGCCGACTCCATTCCGAAGGAGAATACAAATACAAAGCAGACATCCCGCTCAACGCTCATGTCCCGCGGGCTGCATACTTTCGTTTCCTTTGCTTACATCACATCATGATTACCGTTGCCGATCTTTCAGGCCGTAACTTTTTGCCCGTCGTTTCCGAACCAGCCGAATTCATCAGACCGTTTTGCCGGCGGACTAGAATTCGCTCGACTGCGAAATTGGATCTGTTGTTCTGGTGCAGCACTATTGTTTATTTCAATATTCACTTCTAAGTTGGTTCCGCCACGAATTGAAAAATTTTTGAAAAATGTATAAATAATTTCCTAAAAAATTCATATTTTTAAATTAAAAAAAATATTTCTAGTTCAAGCTATTTTTTGTATCCCATTTTATTTAATTTTTGATTCAAGAATTCTTTTAAAATTCTTGTTCTTAAAAATCAAATCACATCAGGATTTTTGTATACATCCAGCATCTTCAATAATATAATAACCTTCCGCTCATACCCCAAACGTAGTTTAAGCGTAATTCGGGAGAAAGCGAGGTTTCAGACTGCACACGTTTCGCGCGTCGTTACCTCCGCAACTAGCGCACAGGGACATTCGAGACGCAAAACAGCCAACCACGAACTATTCATCTTCTGCTCTCTCTTCCTTAACAAACCGAGTATGCTGGTGTTCTCTCTATCTCACTCTCTATACCCGTAAGTTATTTCCGTAATTACGTGGCCTCCTTCAAGGGTCAGTGCTGCTTTATTACCGCTCTCCATCCATTCCTACTGCGCCCCTGGAAGCAAACCAACAACTTTTACTCGATTGGCATGCAGCTAGGTCTGGTCCATGGTGTGTGTGTTTTTGGGCGCGACGCTGCAGGCCGTTTCCTCTGGGGGAGAGAGAAAGGAAAGCACGATTTGCGGTCGTCAAAGTCAAAGTTGCTCCGTGTCCTGTGACCGCCCCTTTCTGCACAGCGGTTACTTTCTCAAAATTAGAACTCTTGAAGTTTGTGACTAATGAATCTTTTTGCGGATTGGCGCCCTATAATTTTAGGGTTTGGTTGCTGCTAAAAGAACTTAATAAATATAAAATGAATTCAACGCCTTTTGAAAAAAAAATCTTTAAAAGGTCAACTTGAATGTGAAATAAGACTATTGTTTTACACATAAAAAAGTGGCAATCATTTAGAAAAATTTATTGTGAATTAAATTTAATTGGTTCAAAACTCTCAATTTAAAATATGAGCTTGTAATTTTGTAACTTTGGCACTCCGCATTTCATCTCGTCCGAATCTGTCTCTCTCCAGTGCGACTCACGTGTTCGCCGCCGCCTTTAGGAAACTTCTGTTCCTTGAGCCTTTGATCGCTGCGCGTTGTTGATTTAACAATCGACACATATGTCGTCTCTTTTGTTGTTGTGTGGCTTGTGCACGCGTATTGTTGTTAGCTGACTTGGCGTGTCGCCCTCCGCTCTCCCTCTCGCTCCTGTGCTGGTGAGGGCCGCCCTTTGTTTCAGGAGATCTCTTCGACATGTTGCTGCCCATGCTGAGTATTTACCAAGAGTACGTCCGAAATCACCACTACAGCTTGCAGGTGCTTACCGAGTGCAAGCAGTCGCCGGCGTTTGCAGCCCTGCTCGCCCGCCTCGAGAATAAGCCTGCCTGCCAAGGCAGGTCCCTCGAGACCTTCCTCACCTACCCCATGCACCAGGTCAGTCTTTGCAAACTCATGTAATTTGCATTGATTTTGTTTTCTTGTTTAGTGGTTTAAAACTGTACTAAAATAATTGATACTTTTGAGAAACGTCATCAATTATAGGAAATTATAAATTTCTTAGGCTAATCAGAAAATGGCAGAGCCCTGCGAATCAAAAGACTCTTTTCTCAAAACAAATTTAAAATTTGAATAAATACAATACATATGTATTATCATTATTATTATTATTATTTTGAAATTCTACATAATTGTTCTATTTACCCGTAAACTTTACTGGCAAAAATCAAGTTAAAAATTCCAGTTTTTTCCGTAATAATCTTCATTTTATGATATAATTATATTTTTGGACCAAAAATAAGATATTTTGTTTTCCAAAGAGCTTATAAAATTATTTTCAATGAAAAGCGGAACTTTCCGCTTTGATCACCCGGCCAGAGCTGCCCCTTTCGTTTGATTCCATTTTGCTTTGGCGCATAATCCTCTCTGCCACACCAGAATTACCTCTCTAAATTTTAATGACTCCATTTTACCACATAATTCTGCAAACAGACCCACCTGTTCGTACAAACGGAGCTGGCAAACAGGCGGAAAATTTACGGACGCCGCGCTACACTCGTTTATTTTGCGTCATTTCCAGGCACTTCCCTTGTTTGTTCAAGGATTAATGCAGGCAGCTGGGCTAAATTTGTTCATTGGGCAGAATTATTATTAACAGAATCGACGCTCAACAGCTTTCCTATGTACGTTCACGTGATGTGTATGTAGTGTGGAATATACACTTTATGCATATTTGTACATGCAATCAATTTCGCTTCGTCAAATTTTCAATTACGAGAAGTGTTTGCTTTGCAAATCTCAGCAGAGTGAGACGAGCAAAAAGAGTTTGAAATTGAAATAACTGAAGTGTATAAACTGTCGTTGAAGGTGTTTTAAATCTATGTCACATATGATGTACTTTAAATTGGAATTGGAATGCGTGAGGGCGGAAAGTAGTTATTTGTTATTTGCGCATCAGAGCTGTATGTATTGCGTGTGTGAACATATCACGAATGATGTTTGATCTCATTGTGGGTCAATACTGCAGAAAGTTTGATCTTTCTATCAACCATATATACATGTTTGAAATGTTCACAAGAACTTAAAACTTTTCAAAATCTATAAATATTTTTTAAATTATCTTAATAATTGATAGGTTTTTAACTAAATATTTTATTGTTTTTTAATAATTAATTTAATGAAATTTAAATTCATGTTTGTTCAACTTTTCAGTTTGATAATTTATTTTAGATTTTTGGAACATTTCTTGGTATCTTTTTTTGCAAGGGCATCCAATTTCAAACACCAGCCATTAATACCCTTTTGGATTGTAGGCGCAAACGCAAAATCACTAATCCTCGAAAAAAGGGGGTTTTGCTCAAAATGTAGCCCAAATTGTGCGTTTGATCTTGCAATTCAGACAGTAACAATCAAAGTATCTAATTTTGTATGAATATTAAAATATGTAAAATAAAGTCTCAATGTAAAAAAAGGACATTTTTACTGTTAACGCTGGTGCCATTCCGAGGAGGAGAAGGCAATTAAAAAAAATGCATATCAACATTAAAGTGGATATCAACAGCTCAGGATCGCAAAATCATTATTTAGAACTGTTAGTATGGACCTTATGGATCATTTTGATAACAAGAAAATTGGGGGTCACCCCATAAATTTTTGAGAAAATCGCATTTGAAGTTAACATGGCTCGCTTATGTAAAATTTTCACAAAAATCGTTTAACTGTAATTGAAGTACATGAAAATGACTTTGCCAAAAGTGTGTGACCCACCATCATGTTCCTTGATAACCGGGCTACAGATTTGGCACACGAAAATTGGGGGTCACCGCGTAAATTTTTGAGAAACGTTTAATTGAAGGTCAAAATACGTGTTTTTTTGCATTAGACTCGTTTCCGACAAAGATAAGCTTATTTTTAAGCGCTTGGAATTAATTGATTTCTGCAAACAAATTTCATGATAGTTCGTATTTTGGTTCCAAAAATACCCAAGTAATAAAAAAATTTCATATTTTTCAAATTTCAATATGGCCGCCGGAGATACTTAAGGGTTTACTAAAACTGCTGTCAAATTAATACGGGTGAAGATTTTTTACTTTTCTCGGCGGGACGTTGAAGCTAATGAACCAAGGTATCTTTTGTCAGTGGTAACAAAGTTTGTAATTTAAAGGTCATTGACCCTGGCAAAAGGTCAAAAATTAAATTTTTGTGCCCCTTGAAAATATGCAACCCGAACAAAGATCTGAGATTGTCAAAAGATGTGCCATGTCTTTTTACGTCAAACTCTAAATTTTCAAAAACTTTGGTTGAGCCATTGGCGAAATGTAGATAATTAAAAAATTGTCTTCGAATGACTGAAATACAATAATCGGGACCTTTTCTGACGACTGTAAATTTTAAAATTCGGGATATTTTAAAAATATTGAAGTCCCTATTGATGAGTTTTGATGCATCCTATCCAAAACTGATGATTTAAAAAAAATTTTGGTCGCTGTTGATATCCACTTTAACACATCATTTTATGAATTATTCTTAAAAGCTGAATGTTTTCATTTTTTGATAAAAGGGCTGCCAAAAGTTTTTGAATTCAAGGAGCTGTGAAATAACATTTCATAAACTGCCTTCAAGTTTTCTCGTGTGTATAAACAAAGCTTTTATTCATGACAACTCAACCTTCGTGTCGCAACTTTGCCCGCACACGATGAAAAAAAAACACCCAAGAAGTTTTTGCGTCATTCAACTTGTTCCATTTGGAGCAAAATTTTCATCTTAATGCCTCCATTGTTTTTGCCAAACTCGCCCGTTCTCGGCAGGCAACATTAAAAAACTTTGTTAGGGAGGTCGAAAAAGCTGGCAGACCTTTTCCTTTCGGCCGCAACAGCAATAAATGATGAGAGACCAAACGAGGGTGGTTTGGATCAAATCCCTGCGGAATTTTGAGGGGCGCTGATTAATTAGTTGTGTCCGCAGAGCGGGCGAGTTTGGCTCAGGATTAATGCGGCGGTGGAGCTGCGAGTCGTCGGCCGTCAAAATCCAGGGGCGCGATGCGATCGTGGCTATATAATTTTGCCGTTTGGCCGCCGTTCCGCGTGTGAGCTCTCATTCTGCATGAACGTACCCAAAAAGGGAAGTCATGTTGGGAACTCACACGCCCGTTGCATTGACTAACGGAAAATTATTATGGCCGTGAGTGCGTCGCCGCCAATCGACGTTTGGACCCAACTACTGCCAAGGCGACATACACACAGGAACACACTTTGATGAAGCCAAATTAATTAGTTTACTCAGGATGTTTGACGACGAGCAGCGCTTTGTTTGTCTTTGTTGGGCAAGCGAGCTGTGTAAAAATGTCTCGATTTCCATTATGATTGCTTTAATTTTGAATATTATGGAGTTGGTTTTAGCTTTGTACAATTTCACTACTGTATTCGGTAAACCTTTTAAAATGAGCTTTTCTGCGCTCAATATAATAATATGCTTTACAAATTTTATTGTGTATTTGAAAGATCTAATATAATTGTGCAATAGTGTTTAGTATAGATAACATTTTAAACCCACATGCTTTGAGTCAAGTGACGACATTAAAAGTATAATAATCATTATAAATTTAATTTATTATTAAATAAAATTAAACAAAATTTTTAATGGGATCTCAGTATTTATGTTTAAAAGTTAAATCAACTTTTTCTAAGGCGTTATGATCCATTACGTAAAAACTAATTTATGCACAGCTAGCTGCCTTTGTTGAAAATGTTTTGTTGAGATAATATTTTTAATATAAACATTTATGAAATGTATGCATACCTCTAAAAACTATTAATTAAAATTAATTTGATCGTTGTCAAGCGTAAAAAGTTGAACTTTGAAGCGGGTGTGTCGCAAAAGCAGCTTTTTATTAAGTCGTAAAGCACAGAGACAAAGTTGAAAAGAGCGAATTATCCTTCTCGGCACATGGTGCAAATAAAATTACGTCCAGCACTTCATTAAAAAAAACCAGCGCCAACAGCACCAGTTTGTCAGTTTCCAGCGCAACACAATTTAGAGACCTGCGCGAAAAACACGAATGAGAATTCCGCTGCAACATAACTTTCCGCTTGATTAATTGCACGTTATCCCTGCCAGACGAGGGCAAACAACCTGCACACGTGATATTTTTTAGCAAGCCTTGCGTATTTTTTTTTTACCAGCTAAAATGCGGTTTCTGTCCGTCGCGTAATCGCGCTCAACTCACAACAACGATCAAAGTAGACTCGTTCTGGAGAGAGAGACTGAAATAAATGTGCTTGAAATCAGGCTTATTTATTTATATGGTCCACTGGGCTCTGATTTACTCTGGGTATTTTTATGAAGCTTTCTAAAGGCCAGATCCAATTAATGGTTTTATTCAATGTTCTAAAAATAAACAAAACGTTAAAAATCATCACGCTGAATTCCCTACAAAAATATGAAAACATCTGTATTTTATTTATGTTGAAAATTTCCACAATTAGAGTTTTTATCATTGAATATTTGACCAAAAACGAAAAAGCTGTTTTTTCTTCCAAGCTGCAGCTTGCTTTGTTTGTGCGTGGAATTTTTTTGAAAATTTCAGTCAAGTTACCTCCAAGTTTGATTTAAATTGCTCAACCAAGTAAAAAATTCAAATTTCACAGGTTCCCCGTTACATTATAACCCTCCACGAGCTGTTGGCACACACACCGCACGACCATGTGGAACGCAAGAGTTTGGAGAACGCCCGGCGGCAACTCGAAGACCTTTCCCGGCAGATGCACGATGAGGTGCTTTTGCATTCCAAACGGGTTCTTGAATCTGTTTATTTATCCGCTCGCTTGATTTGCAGGTGAGCGAGACGGAAAATCTGCGAAAAAACCTGGCAGTGGAGCGGATGATTGTGGAGGGCTGCGACATTCTGTTGGATGTGAACCAAGTCTTCGTGCGACAAGGTGAGCGCTTTTGTAACTTATTTGTCAAATTTGCATGGGGAAGGAAAGAAAGTTGAGGGCGCTCAACTTCCTGCGCTCATTAAATCCGACGCTAACCGCATAATTCAAGAATTTCTTCTCCGTCGTGAATGCTGAAAGAATTAAGTCAGTGTCACCATTGTTGATCACAAAAAAGGTAGAATTTCGTTAAAAGTTTTCGTTGAATAAGAAACTTTTCAACGGAGATGTTTTTTATGATTTAATAAGATCAATTGAATCATTTGGTCTCATAAAAGAGGTCGTAATTTCAGTTTTTGTGGCTATTTTATTGATCCTCATCAAGCCAGGCTTATATAATTAAACTCTAAACTTTGGAAAAGTTAGAAAAAAAAGAAACAGACACCATAAAAATAAAAATTTGTGGAAAATTTTAATAATTTAGTCTTCTTGACTTATTTTCAAAACCACTGTAAATGTGAATTACAAAACTATAAGTTCCAGACGATTTTCAAGAGAAAATTCACGTTTACCATTTCTTCTGTTTGTTTCTACACAACATCAATTTCAATTTACTGTGCGAATTAATGTGGCCAAAAAATTTTTGTACTTTCAATTCAATTAAATTTAATGAAAAGTAAATAAAAGAGCCCAAATTTGTGAAATAGATAAAATTAAATAGATACAAGTGTAAATAAAATTTAATTAATTTTGCTGCCATTATAAACAAGATTAAAAATTGAAGAATATGAAAGTCAACTGTTTGCTAATTTGCAAAAAGCTATCGCCACAAGCACCACAATTTTTGCGTAATGAACAAATTCGCCGTGCTCTCCTCATGCAAAATTCACATGTTTCCAGGGAAAATTTATTTTCGGGCTGCGCAGCCCGCCGCACGATGCCCTGCCGAGCGTGCAAATAAAATTTTGCGGTGTTTGTACATTATGAAATAAATGGCAGAGAAATGGAAACTGCTTGAGGGCAGTCGGCCGTAAGGTCAGCACATTAGCTTAAACGGCTGCAAGGGCCTGATGTGGCGAGTGAGGATCGTCATCAAGAATTAATCGCAACAGCTCGCAAATTGCCGACGCGCGGTCAAATTAACCCAATTTGCCATTTGTGTGTGTGCTGGATGTGCTGCAAGCCATTAAAGTTGCACACGCCGAGGTCACTGCCAAAGGTTGCCGCCGCTGACCGCGACCCGGCGAGGGCGCAATCGCGGCGTGTGTTAGTTGGGGTTAGCGCCGCGGGGGCGTCACCGCTCGAGCACCACATCCCTGACCCAGTATTTATTGATCCGAACCGACGAGGCTTGGGTGCAGACGCAGCACGCCTGCTCCTGCGGTCACAGCTGTTCACTGGCCGCGCGCCAAGCTCAAAATCTTCACCCTTAAAAAAATTTTGTCCTCCTAGAATGAAAAAAAAATTCAATTGAAAATTTTAAATATTTCATGAGAAGAATAAATTAAAATATCCTTTTCTGTTTTTTACTTTTTGATTTCTAATTTCTCTCTTGGGATGGATTTGAATGAAAAAGAAGGGGTGAATCCAACAAGTTGTTGTCACTACGTGAGTCGAGTGGTGATCGGTACCACCCTCGACACGATCTTAGTCCGAAAGTACCAAATACGAATCCGTTTGGAATAAATCTCCTGAGAATTTAAAGCCGTTTGTCCACAATTTTCAACCCACCCCCGAAAACCCACCCCGTCACGGCTGGTCATCGGACTCAAGGGGTGCGCTCCCCGTGTTTATTCAGTGCTATTTTCATCCCTGCACAAGAGTGGCGGTGACGTAATTGGCGACCTTGGCAAGGGTATCGTAACAAGTCGAGGGGTGCGGGGTGCTCGCTCGCCCCGATGCATTTCGTGGCTCGCAATTCGAGCAGAGACGCACTCGTCGCCGCGATTTATGCAGCCGTGCTGCACACGTGCGACCCCCTGGCTGCCTAGCCGAGCCGTTTAGGCCGCCCGGCCGTGCGACCCCGCCGCCTCCGTGCGTAGTACAATTTACTCCAGCGGCCGTAAGCGTAAATGTAACAGGTCCGTCGCCCTCTGTGTTTTAACCCTCGTTGCTGCTGCTCCCTTTTCACAGTCACGAGCGTGCCCTACGTGAAATTTCTCCCGCTAGTCATTGCAATTTAATTTCAACTGCTTGAAATTAAATTTTGGAAGAATTTAATTTTTAGTATATGAAAAAAATATTGTTAAATCGATTAGGATTCAAAATAATAATATTTTCAATTCTCCGTGCCTAATTTTTACGCTAAAATGTTTTTAAACAAAATTTAATTTGATCGATATTATTGGCTTTTTCCGTACCAGACCAAATCATGCCCGAACGTCATCAAAATTTTCGCCCCTAATCGAAGATTGCTCCCCTCGCCAAAGAAATCGACAGCTTCCCTCTGCCTGAGAATCGATTCGTGTTGTACAGTTGTTTTCTTGCATCCCTTCGCCGACTCTTAAACAATATCTCACCGCAGCGCCATGTTGGTACCAGTAGATTAAGCAATCGAAAGCAGGCAGAGATTGATGAGTTCAGATCAGTCCCACGGTTTTGTTGTTCATGCTCGGTTTTTGTGACGCGGTGGAGCACCTGCCTTTCGAAATCTTTGCCCCGTCTTTGCCTGAAACTGATAGAATCGATCTTCTCTTTCAGGATGTTTGATCCAGGTGCTGAGCGACAAGCAGAGATCACAACGTAGTCGACTAACCAACTTCAAAACTGAAAAGGAGGCACTCCGCCAGTGTTTCCTATTTTCCAACCATCTTATCCTTGCCACAAGGTAAACAAAAATAAATTTAATTGAATGCATTTTATATTTTGTTGATAAATTTATAATTATTTAAAACATATAATAAATCGCTTATATTTAAATTTCTTACATAAGTCCTAATTATGCAACCTGCATAACATAGGCGTATTTTAATTTAATCTTTGCCTTCCTTAAAGGGGTTTATATTTGAAACCCCGCCAATTTTTTCTGTTTTCAAAATTTGAGATTATTTATGCTTTCACTAATTTAATGGTTCTTCTTGGTATACCCACTCAGAAATCTGATTTTTATTTTTTTTATGAAACCTATCACTCAAAAACTTACTGAGTATTATTATCATTATTATAATTTGACATCCTTATTAAATATTTACAGCGGATAGCAGCACATTCTGGCGAATATATTTCTTTGGGATTTTTTTTTTTCAAAACAATGTTATTTGGTAAAAATAAACGCTCTGCCCGCCTATTTGGTGATGTCTGTATCAATATTTAAACAATCTCACGAAAAGAAAAAAATTTAAAATAAAGAACATCATTTTGAAAACATTTATAAAAATTAATATAAAAAGTAGATTTTCCATAAAATTTTACGATTTTTATTTTCATGGCGTTAGAATTTAATTTTCCTCTTTAATTAATTTTCACTCAGTTATTATCCAAACATGGTAACATAACATCATAGTAGCAAAAAAAAAACACACACACACATACACTTTGATCGACATAAAAAAGTATAAACGTACGCAAAAATTTCGGAAAAAAACAGGAGTAGATCATTTTAATTTCATGATTCTTTGAATTAAATTTTTAGAACATCTGGGGGCCGTTTGCACTTGCTGCCAGACATCGGCAAGATCCCCCTGGCGGATGCCGTCCTGATCGAGGACCCGAGTGAGTCGAGCGCAGCAACAGACGATGACGGTATGGCATCCTCCACGGCCCAGTCGCCCCAACATCTACTCAAGCCCGCCTCCACGCGGGAACCAGGTCTCTCTAGGCCCTTTATTCTCAGAACCTGCATTCTCACACCCTGTTGAATGAGCCAAAGCCTTGCTTAGACAGGCCTCTTTTGATATAAAAAAAACTTTCGTGCGACTGCCGAACTAACGGCTACTCGCTCCCTTTCAAAACAACCCTTTCTGTTCACTGCGGCCGCCCCTCTTGCTGGTCGGTGTGCCGATGGAATGGCGTTTTTTGTGCCTGCTTGTTTTGTTTGCCTGGGCGTAAAGTTGCCACTTCTTAAATTTATAAATAGCGATTTTATTTAAATATTTTTACATGCAATAAATATATAGTCATTAGTTGATTTCTCCTTCACGCCCAAAATAATACAAGGAAATTTTTAAACACAATTTAAGCATTTTCTGCATTTATAATTAGGATTAGATTTTCTATAATAACTCTTGACTGCGGCCTAAATGATCACTAATTATTTTTTTTCTGCCAAATTACTCATCTTTAGCATATTTGATTGATTGTGCATGGTTATTTTTTATGGAAAACGACATTTATATACATACATCAGGGATAATAATCATAAGTTTGAATGCCAGGATAAAAAGTGCAACTTTACCTCTGTGTAACCAAATGGCAAAAACCTAGAAATTATCAAACAAATTTTCAAATTTAAAACACAAACCCTGAACCACAAAATCCTTCCTTTCACATCCTTCCTTTAGTATTAACACTTTCCCTAGAGACCAAGCCCTGAACATTCCCATTTGCAAAATAAAACTTTTTCAAATTATTAAAATACAAAAGTATTTGAGAAAGCTGTGAATCGAAACATTAAATTACACATAAGCTGCCTAGTTGTAAGCCCAATGTTCCCCCGACCCTGATTGAGACTCGCGAGAGCAGACTGGATGTTGGGGCGGCCTTCGCGTGCCGCCCCCACCCCTCGCATGCCCCCCGCGGCGCTGCACCTGAGGCGTTTCTCTAATTTGATGATCAGGTGCTTCAGTGTGCTCAGCGTCAAGTCAGTCCAGCGGCACCAGCGAGAGCAGCACCACGACCGGTACTGCCCATTTGACTTCGGGCCATAAGTCGTCTGACCTGCACAACCGTGATTTCAAAATCGTGCTGGACGTGAAGAGCAGCTCTTCGGGCGGCGGCGCCTCTCAGGGCTCCGCCAGCAACCAGATCACGGTCCACCTCGTTGCTTCAACTATGCAAGAGAAGCAGGCGTGGATCAGTGACATTAGCCAGGTTTGTGCAGTGCCATAGTTTTTTATACCAGCACGTTATGAAAATATTGTTTCTCTCTCATTATTTTCCTTTTATTGTTTTTAATGTTTGTACTTCTTTGTTAAAAAAAAAAATAAAAAATCTAATGTACTTCTGAATTGAACGGAATTCATGATTAAAAACTACAACCAAATCTTAACATTAATTGCCATATAATAAAGTAATTTAATAATTCATATAAAAAACTTCAATGACCAGGAAATATTACAATTATTTTTCATAATTGCTGTCCTACTCGACCTACTCAGATACTTTTTCAATATCTTGGTTAGTGTTACATTGTGTTATATTTATGCATTAAATAGGCTAACAATATCTTGTCTTCGTTTTGTGGCACACGCGGTCTTGCTTGCACCAAGGGTGCGCAAACAAATCCAGAAGCCATTTGAATTAGTTGTCGAGTTGGCTTATACGTTACCGTTACAGAACTTTCGCAGGGGGAGCTTCATAGCTGCACTGCTGTTATAGTCAAACCATACCAAAGTTGAAAGTATACAAACGTAAATATCGCGATCTTATCAAGCACGCAGTAGTTTGTGGCAAGCAACCGCCGGTGTTGCATCAACTTTTAGCAACCTATTTTGCTATCTAATTATTTAAGAAAGAAGACATTTTTTTTAATTTTCACCAACATGTTTCGATCTTTAAAGGTATTTTAACTTGGTTTCTGATCTGTTTACATTTTGTTTTAATCGTTTTTAAATTTATTATTCTGATAGTGTATGGACAACGTACACTTCAACGACCTGCTGCACAGCTCCATGTCTGACACGTCTAGCGTCACAATGCCTCAGTCGATAAAAAACGACCCCAAACTCTTCAAGGACGATGTGGACATCCGCTTCAGTCGTACACTCAACTCGTGCAAGGTGCCGCAGATTCGTTACGCAACTCCTGAGCGACTGCTGGAGCGCCTCACAGACCTCCGCTTCCTCTCCATTGACTTCCTCAACACTTTCCTGCTGACATACCGGGTCTTCACAGACGGCGTCACGGTGCTCGAGGCGCTCAAGCGCGTCTTTTACAGCGCCGACCCCCCGGACCAGCCATCAGCAGGACCAGAATCTTTCATGTGAGTGAATTTTTTCTTTTATTCTTAGCGAAATTTGCTCACAAGTGAATTTATTTAAGGGCGATGGAGGGGATTACGGGCAGGGAAGATCCAAACATGTTACATTTGTACGATACCGAGCGGCGCCGCAGCAGCGCTTTGTCCCCGTGCCGCAGAACCAGCGGTGCCAGTTCCGTCTCAGGTAAGCGAGTTGTGATTAGGTGTGCCCTTTTTTGAGATGGATAAAACATGTGAAGAGATGCTTTCAGGCTACGGCTCTGAGATGAGTGACCGTGACAGGAGCCACAGTTACGACTCGCAGGCGGGTTACTCAAAGGGCCACTGGCGCTGCAGCTTCCGCAAATGTGAGAATTTTGAACTTAATTTTTTTATATATAATAATATTTTTATAACATAAATTTACTTTCCAGTTGAAGATGATCAAGTATCTGGTCTGCAGAAAATCAGGGAAGCTACTGCCATCACTGAAGTCACAGTGACAGCTTCACCTGGCACGCCAAGAAAGAGTGTTACTCTGAAAGTGGATCCTGACGGTGAAGCAGAGCCGCCCGGCACAAAGTTCCTCCAAATTCCAAAGTCCATAGCCGTATCTTCAAGCTCAGAAACACTAACAGGTAAATCGATTATTTAGTTTGTCATTTTCCGCACAGCAAGCAGCCCTTGCTTCAACGGTTTCGTACTTTGTTAGCGTTGTTTACAGGGTTATGCAACCTGTCTAGCATGTGCGTTGAGCCGGTTGCATAACCCAAGATGCTCACATTTTCGATTCTCTTAAACTCTTCCCTGCAGGTGACACGGTTACGAGTGTTCCCTCGTCGCCTGGCAACCTGAGTACCATGACCTTGGTGGCCTCAAGCTCGGAGGACAGTGGAGAGTCTGACAAAACCCTAGCCGGAAGGCCAATAGCCAAAACTGAAAGCTCTTCTGCGCCAACGCATCAGCCACCTCCACCGCCAGAAAGAACTCAGCCAATTCGTCCTCCTGATCCGCCTCCGCGTCCTTCCAAACCCCCAGCGGTTCCAGCTAGGGTTAGAAGAAAAATATAACTTTTTAAAAATCAATATAATTAATTTTTTTTATATAGTCGTCCATCTCTGCCAGAAGTGAGAGAGCGTCTGTGACAGAGTATGAAGACCAGGATGACGCCGAACTGGAAAGGGCTGCGGCTCTGAGGTCATCATCGATTGGTACTGCAAATGTTGCCTCCTCCTTCATCCAGGTTAGCCAATTTATAGATTAAATGATGAAATTTCAATTGAATATTAAATTTTATTGCAGAGTTACTACGCTGGTCGTAGGTCTGTGGTTGACACCGAGGGCGGCGGCACCGTGTCCCAAAGGGCCAGTTTCCAGCACGACTCGCCACAAACGTCGAGTAAAGCCGGTGTGGTCATCACCTCATTCCGTCAGTCACAGAGAAGGTGAGCGACCAATTACAACGTTTGGCAAACCATGCGAATTTATTGATTTTGTTGGCTGCATTTTGCATCCACTTTTGTTACTGCTGCTGTGCGTTCTGTATCAGACATTAATCAGCAAGTCGAGCACATAAATCACCAAAACTAAACAAACAAAATATATTTCTGAACTTTCTTCGTTGTTGTTATGTTCCGTGTTTTGTGTGTTTCTCAAAAGTAATTTTCTTATCTTTACTGACTTAATGGAAATCCCCCAACCAATTGGATCTTTTCTATATTTGTCGGTGCTTTTTTTCTCTTTCAATTATTGTTATTATTTACTATTTATAAAAAAAATATTTAAATGTGCTAATCTCTTTTGTAAATAAATCTTTCTGTAAATATAGACGTATAAATGTTCTTTCAGAACATACTAATCCTTCCCTGCTGAGCAAAAAAAAAAAAATAAAAAATAAAATACTTTTAATTTTGACTCGACTGGAAAATTACTAACATGCGTGTTTTTTCGCCAAATATTTCTGCAAAAGTTCAGAAAAAGTACTCACTGAAAAACTGCATCGGTTTTTTTGGAATGAAATATTTGGCTCTGATGTTGAGTTACTTCATTGTCACTAAATGTTGATCATGCCTTGTGCAAATGCGCCTGCTCTCCTCTGGCAGCATTGGAAACGAACCGCTCTGGTGAGTAAACTTTCTTCCAAAAAATGCAGTTGCATGTTAGCCTGATTGGTATTATATTATCTGTAAATACATTTTGACAAGAAGAAGATTTTCCAAAGAAAAAGCGCACTCGTAGAAGTAGCCCAGGGTTGAACCTTTTAGTCTCCAGTTCTTGCTCGGCTGAAAGTGAAAATTAGTCAAAATTCCAGGTCGAGCACTTCTTCCGCAGCGGCAGCTTTCGCCATCGCCACCTCGGCCTCGAGCAACCCAAGGGACCACACGCCAGCCGTGCCTGTGATGCCGAGGGCCTCAAGGTGCAGCGTCGGCGACGCCATGAGTCTACGCGGCAGCTGCAGAGACAGAAACCGCAGGAAGGAGTCGGTCATGTCCACGGCGGCCACCATGCGGGTGCTCAACGTCCTCAGACACTGGGTGTCCAAACATGCTCAGGTACGATGATTTTTTTTAAGCGATCTCAATTGAAAGGAAGTCAAAATTTTAATTAATAATTCCTGAAATATTTCAGGACTTTGAGTTGGACCAGAGGCTGAAGTCAATGACTATTGAGTTTCTGGACGACATCACTTATAGCCCAAATCTGTTGCCTGCCGAGCACAAAGCAGCGTCGCAATTGCTGAGACTAATCACCAGAGAGGAACCTGATCACGTCAAGGTGGATTTGGAACGGCTGCTGGCAGCGCCAAAGGTTGGTTAATATTTTAAATAAAAAAGCATTTCTACTTAAAATGTAGCATTTTACATTGGACTTGATTTTGTTGATACATTAACATCCCAAAAATAAAAAATTACATTCCTTTACATTTAAACTTACACATAACCTGTTTTTCTTATCAAAACATTTTATTAATTCAATCAAAACATTGCAGTCACCAAGCAAGGAAAGCATTGAGACCCTCTCTGCTCTGGAAATTGCTGAACAAATGACCTACTTGGACCATCAGATTTTCGTCTCCATTTGTAGCGAGTATGCTCTTTACTATTTTTACAATTTTAAATTTTATATTTAAATTAAATCTTAAATTTTGTAGAGAATTTCTTGGTCAGGCTTGGATGAAGACTGACAAAGCAAACAAGGCGCACCACATTCTGCTTATGACCAAGCGCTTCAATGAGGTTTCTCGTCTCGTCGTCTCGGAAATCGTTCGAAGGGACAATTTGGCGGCCAGAATAGCAGCCATCGAGAAGTGGGCGGCTGTGGCTGACATCAGTCGCTGCTTGCACAACTTCAACGGCGTCCTCCAAATTTGCGCCGCGTTCACCAATAGCTCCGTCTTTCGCTTGAAGAAAACTTGGGAGAAAGTTTCCAAAACTGTAGGTTTTTGTCAAGGATTATGGAGAGCATATTTTGATTCGTGATTAATTTGCAGACAAAGCAGTCAATTGAAAAGCTGCAGACCATTGTGTCCGCAGATGGCAGATTCAGAAACCTGAGAGATGCTCTGCACAGATGCGACCCTCCCTGCATCCCATACTTGGGCATGTATCTGACGGATCTGTCATTTATTGAGGAAGGCACACCAAACTTTACTGATGAGGGTTTGCTAAACTTCTCAAAAATGAGAATGGTAAGTAATTTTGTATTATAATTTTTAAAAATAAATTTAAGTTTTGAAGAAAGTTGCAAATATTTAGTTCCTCTGTTCCGATTCAGTTTAGCTTTGGTTCAGTTATGTTTAAATTTTAAATTTAATTTGTTTTCTTTTGGAATTTTTAACCTCAATTGATTTTTTATTAATTTAGTTCATATTATTTTTTTCAACACAATTCAATTTATGTGAAAAAGCTTTACAATTTCTTTGTCTAATAAACAAATCCTTATAACAAAAGAAAAATTTTTATAGATTGCTCACGTCATTCGTGAGATTCGCCACTTCCAGCAGACGCCATACAAAATTGAATTAATTGCCAAAGTGACAAACTACCTGCTGGACCCAACACTCCTGCTGGATGATGACCAACTGTACAACATGTCGCTAGAAATTGAGCCCCGCACCTCGAGGCTGGGTTCAGCGGTCGGCATGAGCCAATGCCAGGACTCCAACTAGGAAGCCAAGTTCCGAGCAGCATATCCAACTTTATAGTAGTTGACAGAATCACACTACACATCATAAAAGCACTCCTAATCAAAATCACGAGAGTAATAATTATATGGATTGTGACTATGCAACTGCCCTGTGTGTACTTGTGTGTAGAGAGAGTTTTTGTGCAGACGAAACTGTGCTATTTTCATGTTGTGCATCAATATCTGTCTGAAAGAAATCGTCACACGACAATTGGATCAAGTTTTGCCATTTAGATTTTAGTGCTCCTCAATTGGCATTCAGAAAAGTAATATCAAGCACAAAATGTGATAAAACAAACAAAACACAGTTCTAGAAATTGGAATCCAAATAGTAAGTTTAAATAACTAAATTATTTTTGCCTAAAAGATCAGTTTGTGATTTCACATAGGAATAATTTGAGCAGGAAAATTAATTCGGTTCCTACGTGTTTACCAATCGAAAGTATTTTTGCGCTATTTATTGAATATTTTGCAAAGATACTCTATTTCAAAGCAAAAACGCTGGCGTTTATAAATCAGGATCAAGAAATTTTCCGCTTAATACTCGGCAGTTAAATGATGGTAAATGTACCAATACAATAGTATCAAATTAATCAAAATCAGGTATTTCGTGCATATTCGTAAAATATTTCAGAGTATTTTTTGAGCATTTTGACTCACTATGAAAGTGATCGCAGCAGAAGTCATATCCTCTCAACTTAAAAAAAAACTGCGCACACGTGGTATGCAAAATGAATGTTGAGTTTAGACGGCGTAATTCTTTTCGTTAGTTCGCGGTCGCCATACTTAATTAATTTCCTCGATCTTACGAGCGAGACGTGGAAACCAAAGCAGTTATTCTAAAAGCAGTGCGAATTCTGTCTCACATCAAGTCATAAAAATAGTATTTGAAAGAAAGGAAAAAAACCCGAAACAAGGAACGAAGTTTGCATTCGAGAGCAAAAAAATTATCCAAATATTAAGAAGCCTTTTGTGTGTGTGTATCAAACTAACTAACATTCCTTTTCATCTCTCTTGTAGACGCAGAGTCTATAAGTGAAGTATACGGCACAACACTACTTAAGTAAGGTGGAAGAACGACGTGTGTCCCAAAACTATGAACCCCCTAATCTGTCTTCCATACTCTTGAATTTGCAGTCAAGTAGTCTCGTGTGTCGACAAAACTATAAATTATCAAAGAAAGCGCGCACACGAAATTTTTCGAATTATAAAAAAAAATTATCTTCTTGCGCTCATATCTAGAAATAACTTTGCGAAAACTGAACCAAAAAAATATACATAACATATTTACCCTTTTCTCATTTCAATGCGTGCGAATGTGTGAATCGAAAAGCAACAATTCTTAGTCTTGCCTTACGATTAAAAATCTTTATAAATTTTATATGTACCTTTTTATCTGCGCATTATCATCTTTTACTATAAAACACTATAAATGCAGCAACAATGCAAAGGAAAAGCGAATCAAAGATTTAAAAACTCCTCTTCTCACAAAAATAAACAATTCTAGTCTACTTCTCTAGTCATTAATGTAGCGAATATTTGCGTTCAACATTATCGCTGAGAATACCTCACAAAGTTGTTCCCTAATGAAAAAGAAATGTGTTAATTATAAATATTGATCTATCCAAAAATGCTGTGCGTTGTTGGTGTCATCGTAGAAAATGTCATTGTTTCGCTGGCGATGTGTACATATTGTAAATCTATTCCGTGAATGTGTGAAGGAGGTCTGCTTAGGACACAATTAATTATTATTTTGTTGGAAAAAGAAGCAGGGTCAAAAAGAGCAAAACTCCTGGGGTTACGAAGCAGCCGAATTTTTGCAAAGGGGAAAATATAATACGTTTTTACTGGGATTCATCCGACTAGCTTATTGCTCTGTCATCGTAGTTATTATTTTCTGAAGGAAAAATTCGCATATCAGATCCAATACGAAAATTTCATTTTCTGGGTGATTGTTATAGCGTTCGACCTCTACCTCTCATTCTCAGTGCTTCAAAATCCCTCTCGCAAAACTTGCATACTGCTAGAAATACATTTCCCGCGGTCAACGCACTTTTGACGAGGATAAAAAGTTCCGTCATAATGCAATATACCGTGCAAAAAAGTATGTAAATATCCGTATGCGGTGACAAACAAGACGCGTTTTATTACACACAGTGAATGTGGAATTTTGTTGTTACTACTGCCAATACTTATGACAATTGGCCTGCCTTCTTAAAGCTTTAAGCAATAATAATATACATACTAGGCGTTCATAACAAAAAGTAGAGAGCAGGAGATTATGAGAGTAACGCAATTCCACTTTTAGCGAGCAGAGAAAAAGAAATATCCTCCAGTAGGTTCAGGTTGGAGAAAAAATCATTCTTCAGAAGACCCATTCATTGAAGTTCTATATCAATGGTTGTGAAAATGTTGTAGATAAATATAATTAATTGTGGTGGCAAAACTTAAGTATCAAAAATCGTATCCCCCATTAAAAAGTGTCCCGGTCATATTGCTCGTTAGTTGTTGAACAGAGGGGACGATTAAAAAAAAAATACTAAACATGAGACAAGTTTTGAAGATAGCATATCGAAATTACATGATTGAAAAAATTTTTCCGCCTCGTTCAGTTGGTTTCCATAATATTTTATTCCGCTTCTCTGATTGGCAACAAGTGAAATATTCCTAATATTTTTGTAAGTGTTAAAACTAATTGGCTATTTAAAGATATTCAATTCAAATCATTATCACTGTTGAAACGTCAGAAGATTATTTCCCCAAAAACAAAGAAAAGTATATATATTGCTGTTGCATTGCCAGAGTTGTTCACATGTTCCAAGCATCCCAATCAAAATCGTGTTGATCGATTTATTAACCGTTGTTTTAATTAAGTGTAGTGATGTGTACGTCGGCGTGGCAAACCAAAATAAATTCTTCTGTCGTGCATGAGTCTAAGAATGTATTCAGTGGTTAGTTTGTAGTAGACAGAATACACATGTGAAATCAAGGTGGAGACCTTTCGAAGAGTTGTGTCCCGTGTGAATGCAAGAAATTAAAAAAAAAAAAAAATTAAACACGTAGCCGAATCGTCAAATTACACACACACACACACGAGTAAGAGCAAATTAAGAAAACATATCTCTATCCATCTAATAAAGCAAGCAACAAAAACACTTTGGGATTTCTCTTAAGGCTGTAACCAAGTGAAAACTGGAATGTAAAAAGGTATAAAGATGCAAATAAATCAAGTAGTTGATTATGTTTGAAAATATGCCACTTTTTCATTATTAACCAATTCTGATTCTCCAAATAGCAACAAGATAATTTAAAAAACTTAAATGATCCTACCTTGATGCTATAAAATGTCCATTCACTCGATAAAGTCCGCCAGCATGGTCGCCACGTCGTTTTTGAAGCAATCTGGCTCATTCACCTTCTTCTTTTTTATTGCTGGCTGCTCGTCCAAAAGTTCTATTTCCTCTAGGTCAACACTACTTTGCACTACTGGCTTCTTTTCTTTGGCTTCCTCGACAATTTCCTCTTGCTCTTCTTCGAGATCATTGTCATCAGACGCAGCATCTTCAACTGTTGTTACTTGTATTTCCTCCAAAACTTCAAGATCCGAGTCCTCTTCTTTTTCTCTGCAAGTTTCTTTGTCTTGGAAGTTCTTTGTATCAGGTCCTTCAGCTGAACTTTCCAACTCTACTTCCTTGATATTTCCAGTTTCACTCTCTCCACCAATCCCGTCTGGAACCTCCGCATCCTCTTGCTCTGGTTCTCCAGATGCAACAGATTCTTCATCATCTTCGTCAACTTCTCTCTGAGCCATGACATGGTCTTTCAAATCTTCTAAGACTTCAGATTCCATCACGATACTAGGATAGACGGGGAATGAAACCCGGTGAGTTACTTGCAGACCTTGTTGGCAAACTCGTTTAATCTAAAAAGGTAAAAGAGTAAAAATCAATTATTTAATGTAATGCAAATATCATTACTTTTTTGTTTTGGTTTGACTGTCCTGCACTGAATAGCATTGTGGCGTAAATGGTAGGAGGTGGACACAGTGGATGGCTGAATAATATCATGGACTGCAAAATTTCGTACAGTAGAAGTTGACAGTCCATCGGTTTGTAAAGATTATGCAAATCCTGTCCTCGTTGAATATCAATTAACAATCCTACGACCAATGTTTGCAGTGTCTAAAAAGTTTTAACATGACATTAAATATTTTCATTGATAAAATGTAATTTTAAAATAGTTACCTTGTGGTGAGAAGATTTGATCAAATTTCCAGCTACAACCAGAATGGAATTTACGACTTCCAAAGCAGCCTTGCAGAGGCTTTTTTCCACAACTTTTGGGACATCAATTGCTGGTTGAAAAATACTTGGCTTTGCGGGAGCTCTGCCCTTTTTCCTTTTTGTTGCTTTGTTAACAACCTGAAATTTAATATTTTCATAAGATTAAATAAAACCTATTAAAAATATTCTAATATTAATGATAATCACCTTGAGGACAACCGCTACTTTTTCCGGGGTGATGTCATTCAATAAGTGAGGCATGATGGCGTCTGCGTAGCTCTCAAATCCCGAAGCACCCTTCATTTCATTCAACCATGAATCCAGGCAGTCGTAAGCATATTTACGAAGACATCTTAATTTCAAGAGGCAGAAATAGTAATCAGACCTATAAATTATTATTTTTTTTTTAAATACCCTGTTGACGGAACATTTTGCTGTTTGTTTTGCGTCCAAGCAAGGGAATTTTTCAGCAGCTGGTAAAATGTCTCTTGGTAAATCAAGAGATTTGTTCCGCTCCTGATTTAAAAAAATGAATTAAAATATGACCTTAAAAAATTCAACTATCACAAACTTACACTGAGATAAGAGCTGTGAGAATACTCAAGAAAGAACTGTGCACGGCAGGAATCAAGTCTCGAAGAACCTGCATCTCTAATAACTCGCCAGTCCCTAAACTTGTGCTTGTCACACCTAAAGCTCTACAAACTAATCCAAGAATATCTTGAACAAGAACACTCTTTTGAATTGTCATGGGCCGTCTATAAAATGTAAACATTAACATTAATGAGCACTTTTTGATGATACAAAGTCAAAACTTACATCAGGAGTGCATTCAAGTAGTAACTCAAATACTTGATCCTCTTCTCAATTTTGTGCAACCGAACAGAAGGCTGCACAGCTTTGACTGGCAACAAGCCAAGGTCGCCAATTGCATTAAATTGGAAGCTCTAGTATGTGTAAATTAAAATTGAGCGTAAAAAATGTAAATTAATGTTACCGTAGGCAGTTCCTGGACTCCTTCATAAAGTGCGTCCAATTCTAAATGCATGGAGCCAATGGTCTTTTTCTGGAGTTGAACAAATGCTGCTTGATGACCTTGCTGAGCCACTCCGCCACCTCCAATCAGTGGTAGACTGGCAAAACAGTTCGCAGCAACCATCGGCAAACCTTTGCCGCCAGTGTTCAGATTGTCTACAATTTCCAACAACCTCTTCTCCACGTTGGCCTTGAGGGAATAGCAATTAAATTAAAATTTACAGTCAGTTTTCAGTTATTAAAATATTATGCAATTTACTTTGATCGAGCCACAAGAGCTGGAAAAACTGTTGAAAATACTGGAAAGTGCATGGCAGGCATGTAGTTTTAGCTGCAAGTTTTTAAATATCACATCATTAATAATAAATATATTATGGATTTATAAACAATCAACTTGCATTTGGTGAAGGTTCATTAAGACAGTCCACAACCTGGGGCACCGCACTGCCAGTGATTGCTTTGATCATGTTTGGGAACTTATCTGCTCTTTTGGAGAGAATTTCTGCAATTCATGATTGAAATAAGATAATTATGATCACACTGATTTAAATAAATCATTACGAATTATGAGAAGACCGTAGCTTCTGACGTTGAGGTTGTTGTGCTTGTCACAACATCTTGACGCTTGCTGAATGAAAGCAGCCCCATTTTCGGCCAAGCAACTGTCAGAAGCATCCTTGGCAATCTGAACCATGAGCCTCAACCCATTTAGCCTGACAAAAATAAGAGTTCAAATTCAAATCAGAAAAACTGTTTTATAATTTAATATAAAAAAGATATTTATGTTTGTACATACTTATCATTTTGAGATGCAACTGCTTTGTTGATGGCTGTCAAGATAGGCTGGACAGTATTGTGATCCTTTGGAAAGTCATTTAGTTATAAAATTAGCAAAGCAAATAAATTAGAAACTTACTGCTCTACTCAATAGTTGGCTCCGTTTCCACGTGTCTATGAGGCATTTTATGGACGCACCGTCTCCCCATGGATTGTTCAAAACGGACAATGATGATTCTACTTCACGTTCCATTTTTTCACAAACAAGAGGATTCGGAATCCTCCGGGGTCTTGAAAGCAATTTAAGTTAAGTAGGCTTTAAAAGATCCCACTTCAACAAACAACACAGCGGCGTGAGATGGGAGCACATGGGCGATGAGAGGGGCGTGTCCACGCCGAAAAAGAGGTTTGAGACAGCTGTGTTTTGTAAATAAATGAAAATTACATTATCTGTCGATGCTTTTTGGTGTTCTATTCTAATTAATTAATAACACGTACGTTAAATTTAATTTATATTTAAAAAACATTTACTTCATAATTATTGTCATTTATGTGTTACATTATAAACAATTATCATTTTTAGGACTTTTAAATTCCCACTGGAATCAAGAATAAAGTGAAATAATTATATCAATTTCATATCATGTCTCGGCTAACCCAAATAATGACCTTTGCCGGTGTTGGCATGAGTGCTTGGCTGGGTGGAATGATAACTGAAAGATACAAAATAAAAGAGCAATTTCAAAAGCCCGGTCTCCCTATTTTTTCCACCGTCTCAGCTGCTACTCCGGTTCCACCACAATCAACTCTTCCAAAGGCTGTAAACCGAGATCGGAGGTTACAAAATTTTAGACAATGCAAAATGCTCTAGCAAAATTAATGCAGAAGTTTTATTACAGATCATGCGTTTTGGATTTCCTAGTCTCGACAACATCAGATCTATGGATGACTTCGTTTTATCTTACGACAAAAGAAATCGAGTTGCAAATTGGGTATTTGAACACATAAATAAAGAGTCGGTCCAGAAAAACCCAGCCGTTGACCGCTCTAAGTGTGAATTCTATGAAGACAAATCAGTTCACGAGTTCTTCAGGTAAAAAAATAATAATAATTGGATTTTGGTAATCCAGATAATTTTAGATCGACTAACGCGGATTATAAAGGAAGTGGATATGATCGAGGACATATGGCTGCAGCAGGAAACCACAGAATTAACCAACAGCACTGCGACCAAACCTTTGTACTTTCAAACATGGCACCACAGGTTGGAAAAGGATTCAATCGAGATTCGTGGAACAGGCTGGAAATGCATGTTCGAAAATTAACTCATTTTTACAGGAACGTCTACGTCTGCACAGGGCCACTGTACTTGCCCAAGTATTAAGTTTGTTTTAAATTTTATTTAGTTATCTAAAGTGTCTTCCTTGCAGACTTGAGGCAGATGGGAAAAGCTACATCAAGTATCAAGTAATAGGCAAAAACAATGTAGCGGTGCCGACGCATTTTTTCAAAGTTATTGTGATGGAGAGCGACAACCAGAAATTGGACATGGAAGCGTATGTTATGCCAAATGCTGTGATTAAAGATGATACTCCACTAAACGTTTTTCAAGTAATTTCTCATCTTAAATTCTTGACCACAGCTCAATATTATTATTTTTTCTCAGGTTCCCCCGGAGTCGATTGAGAGAGCTGCCGGTTTGTTGTTTTTTGACAAAATAAGCCGTAGCAAATTAAATAAAATCAACGGCAGATGGGCATGACTTGGTAAAAATTATAGTACACGCACTTTAAGGAAAATAAATATTATTTGTAAATACAATTACTTGTACAATGTTCATCTTCTTAGTCGTCATCCTCTGGATCAGGGCACTCAAAGTCTTTTGTTTTAACATCCAAATCTTCTCCATACTGAATGGCCATATCAATGCTCAGAAGAACGTCTGCAATATTTTCTTCGTCCCTCCTGTCTAGAGGAATGAAACGCACCAGGCTGAAGTTCTCTATTAAATTTCCAAGCGCCTCAGTCAGCTTGCAGTACTTTTGACCCCACTTGCTTGTGTTCTCCATGGTTCCCATTAACTCTTCGGTGTCAGGAAGGAGGTACCTATGCAAAGAAAATATTAATTATATTAATTTGTTCGAAATAAACATTTTTAAATAATCTACTTGTCCAATTCTTTTTTGGCTGCTTTGGTGAGAAGATCAATCTTAGTAAGGAGGTTGACGTGGGGTATTTGAAGGTTGACCATCACACTGAGGGCTGCGGTAGTTCCTGATAAAAATTTAGCTCCATCCACCATAAACTGGGAGTCTAAGAGAAAAACTCCGCAAACCCGAATATCCCATCTTCGAAAAGAAAAATAAATTAATTTATAACTTTTCATTATTTAAAGTAATACATGCCTCTGAAGCAGCTCTACCAATTCTTGTAATACAGTCATGTGTGTGTAAAGTTCAATCTGTCCAGGGCAATCAAATAGGAGGTAGTCATCATCTGCTCCTCCTCCGACAGCTTCCTCGAGCCAATCTGTGTTTTTGATCATGTACCTAGGAATAATTATAACAATGATTTAAAAACTTAAAAACATTATTTCACATACTCCATGCAAAATACTAGACCTCCATTGGGGCCCAGGTGCAGATCCTCATCTTCCATCACATCGTCAACCTTGATGAGGTCTCGGATGTCAATGATAGGTTTGTAGTCAAAGTATTCTGCGGCAGGGTCAAGGTTAATCACCTCCATTGTGTGATTCACCGTCTGTGCGTGTTTCAGCATCATTGCGCAATATGACGACTGGAATTGAAAAAATTAAGTATGTAATGCAACAAAAATAAAATATGCATGTTTCGTAAAAAATACCTTTCCGCAACCGGCAGGTCCCATAACCAACTGAGCGTACCGCATTTTGTTTTGTGGTGTCTTTTATGTAGTAAAAAAGGAGGCTTTAATTCGCAAAGACGAAGTTATACACCAGAGGCTCCAAATGAGATCAATCAACAATCTAGAACCCAGAAGAAAAATGAGCGAGACCCACAGCAAAAGCGTGCAGCATGGTGTTGTTTATTTACTTTTTAGCTTTGGCAACGCCCCCTTTTAGTCAAGAGGTTTCGTAAAGTCGGTCGGTCGGCCCGGCAGCGACATGACTTATTCCTTTTTTAATTTCGGCATCATTTTAGTGTCAGCTCAGTGTGCTGATTCTCTAAATTGACTGCACTTTCACTTCAGCACGTTAACATGATTGCTGATCCGAGGAATTCGAAAAGTGCGGCAAGAAAAGCTTATTTTATTCAGCAAGACATCAGAACCATCAAAAGCTAAATAATTTTATTTCACAATTTTACCTTTGATTGTGAAATGAGTGAGTCAAATACTGATCACAGAGAAAGGGCAGAAAATTCATTATTTTGGATTCTGCTGCGAATTGCTGTGTAAATATTTTCTTTGTACCACTTAAAATATTGGTTAAAATATAACTTGTCTGCTGTCGTCAGTCGACCGTCCTGATCTCCTACCCGTCCAATGCAAACTTATTTTAACCCTGTGTGAGTACTTTTATCATGTTCTTATGCAGTAGCAATCATAAGGAAAAAATATATTGTACAAATTTGAGTAGCGCTGTTTCCTGGAAATGGTGAATGCTTGTATGTACTTAATTTTTATATGACAAAATATTTAAATTCTCTAAAAAATATATGATAGTTATACACATGCACATAAGAATATGTCTATATATGAGATATAACTAGCTGCACTTATTGTGTCGTTGTAATTTTGGTAATTTTCTCCTATAATTAAATTTTCTATTTAATAAAAAATTTGGTTTCTTGTTATAACATTAAATTTTTAACAATGAATTGCGTGTATGTTGCAGGATATAACTGAACAAAACTGCGTGATCTTGCATTTTTTGGAGGTCATGAAGGAAGGAAAAATGGCAATAGAGGGAGAAGTGATTCTCTACAGAGAAAAATTTTGAGTAAGTATTGCTTTGTTTAAAACGTTTAAAGATATATAAGAGACTTTTTTTTATAAGTAAACCTCATTTTGAGTTTATTATTTTCTGTTTGCATAAATGGAAGCGCAGAAAATAATATTTGATCATAAATTATTATGCTTTTAAATTTTTAAAATATTATGATGAAGATGCAGCCATCATTAGAATAATTGAGACAAATTTTAACTCACGAATATCACGATATAAAAAAGACAAAAAAGTTGCCAAATTATTTATTCGTGTTTACATCTCATTGCAATTTTTTGTCTTTTTAAAATAATTGAATATAAGTATATAGCGGGGCTATACTATAAAAGCAAAAATAAATTCAGAGTTAGATTGACGACATATTTACAAAGAGATTTTAGGTTAAGAACTGACAAAAATATTAGTACAATAAAAAATTTAAAAACACTAAAAATTTGCTCATTTTACTGCCTAATGGAAAAAATGTTGAGTTTTAAGAAGCCGGCGATCTTAATCTATTAAAAAATGAATATCAATTAATTGTATGAGTTGCCACACCCTAAACGGTTTTTCTATATTGCAATATTTGCCAAGACAGATAAGTCTAACGTGGAACCCTTTATACTCATAGTAAAATTCTTTGATTCGGATTGGACAGCGCACAAATCAACGTTCCAGCGTTTATCAGATTTTTGCTGGCGGTTGATAAAAATGGCATTTTCTGCCATCACAATCATTCTCCAATATGAAATTGGTCTTTACGTGTAGGCTGCGCTCTTGTCCGTAATCTGTTTGTAAGTATCAAACTGCAATAACTCATTTTTTTATTGCATATGTCATAATTTTTATGCTACACATTACTCATTTACAGCCCTCCTAAATTTTGATTTTCAGACGCAATCCATAAATTAATCTACAGTAATGCCACAGTGATATAATTAAAAAAAGATGTGTTTTTTATTTTCTAAATTAAAACTTAATTTTGTTGGATGAAAAAATCAGTCAGCTGTTTTTCCTTCATTTTTCAACGCTGTTTAGCGCAGTTTCAATTTTTCATGAAGTGCTTACCTTAAAATTCTCATTTATAGCTATATGGTTATTAATTTTTGTTGGTAAATATTTTTTTTTACTTCTAAATTTTTTCATTTTTTACTGATATATTTCAATGAGACCATGTTACTTTATAATATAGTGTGAATTTTTATCAGCTTTGTGCGGCTTTGTGGAAGGAACTGATTGTACAATACGATTATAATATTAACTATAGGCACCATAGCTCCATTTTCATAAACTCAATATGTGATGTAGTCACTATAAAAATAATTAATAGCAGAAAATATTTGGAATTTTTAAAGTTTCATTTGACTGAAGAATTTATCAACCTTTTTTTTTTAAATCCGCCCGCTATAAGTTTTACTTAAAACATCTAGAATAATTATTATTGAACTTCACACTGGGATTACTGGGAGCATTAAGTCTTTCACATTGCACTATCATAACTTGATAATAATATATTATATGCATCGCCTGATGAGTACACTGATTTGAAACAATTGAGGAATGATCTGAGTGGTCCACTTAGTAGCTCTTTGCGTATCAGTTTGTAAGCAGTCTTGACCAGTTAATCTTATCAAAATTAATTACAAATTGGCGTCTGAGACACGTGAAAATCCCCAGGCTGCTTTTTACCTTATCAAAGAATTATTTGCTCATTTAGATTTAGCTCTTTATTGCAGATTTTGATGTAAAATTCATTAAAATATTTTGGTGTTTAACATATAATTTAAGAAAATAAATATTATAAATACTTAAAATATCAAATTCTTGGCCAAGTAAAAAAATTAAAGTTTGAATAAGAAACATTAATGATTAAAATCTAAAAACTCTCGCTGTAAAAAATAAATTTGCTCTGCTCTTTTTATTTCTTCTATTTATCACATGTTTTTATTCTCTCCGAATTCTCCAATTGAGCTTTGAACTCATCCAATTGAAAATCATAATGCATTTTAGTCTCTGAACGTCATCTGATTTGTTTCCTTGACACCATTGCTTTTGATTTTCTTTGTCAATGCAACTAAAACAAGTTTTAGTCTTGTAATCCATATCTACTTTTGTAGCTTAATTCATTGCTGATAAAAAAAATCGGACGCCATGGACGCAGGCAAGACCTTAACCAGTCCCCATCCAAGGGCCAAGGCTAACTTCCTCTCGGCAGTTACATTTTGGTAAGGAAATAAAAAACATAAAAAAACCAAAGTTTGACACAAACAATTTAAGGTGGACTTTCTATGTCTTTGCCCGAGGTTACAAAGAGGAGATGAAGGTCGACGACCTGTACATTACACTAAACGATCACAAGTCAGGCAGAGTTGGCAATAAATTGGAAGAGTGAGTGAAAAATTTACTCAAACAGCTTATTTTAATTTAATGGTTGTTTTTTTCTATAGGAACTGGAATAAAGAAAAAGAAAAGGCAAAATTAAAGAATAAAACGCCAAGCTTCTTCAAAGCAGCCTTTAAAACTTTTGGTTGGAAATATATGGCCTGGGGAATAGTGCTGTTTCTTCTTGAAATGGTCATCAGGTACGATTGAATGCAACTATTATTAGAGTTAATGCAATTTATCACATCAATGCAGGGTTTCCCAGCCTATCTTTCTTGGGCGCCTAATTCGCTACTTTTCTGGGCCCAACTCTGGAATTACGCTGGAAAACGCATACCTCTATGCTGTAGGCATAATTATATCTTCAGGACTTGCTGTTATGATATTGCATCCGTACATGATGGCTGTGATTCACCTTGGAATGCAACTCAGGGTAGCGACTTGTTCGTTAATTTACAGAAAAGTAAGAAATTTCACAATTTTTCTTTAAAAAAATTAACTTATTCAATTTCTTAGTCCCTTCGCCTTAGTCACGAAGCAATGAGTCAAACCACTGCTGGTCAGGTGGTTAACCTATTGTCTAACGATGTCAATAGATTTGACGTTGCACCCATGTTTTTACATTTTCTTTGGATCGGACCTATTGAAACAATTTTATGTACTGGTTTAATGTACCTCGAGATGGGCTGGTCCGTGTTCATTGGCATTGCGATTCTCCTGGCTACAATCCCTCTGCAAGGTGTGTAAATTTCTATCATAATTTTACTTCTTGTGGAGGGATTTATTTATTTAAGTTGCTTAGGATTACTTGGAAAAAAGACTTCTGAACTCCGCGCTAAAACAGCAAAGCGCACAGATGAGAGGGTACGTCTTATGAATGAGATCATATCTGGAATTCAAGTAATCAAAATGTATACTTGGGAAAAACCGTTTGCTAAACTGGTTTCTGTGGCTCGAAGGTTTTGATGTCTAAAAATATGTCTCTAAGTAATTTATCAGCTCTTCTTTACAGGATGGAAATCAAGCACATTAGACACGCTTCTTACATTAGAGGCATTTTCTTATCCCTCATTATGATCATTACGAGATTTACGATCTTTATCACAATTGTGGTCTATGTTCTTATTGGCGAGGAAATTACTGCTGAGAAAGTAACATTTCAACATATTTTTACATTAGATCTTAATTGATTTTTCTAGGTTTTTGTCATAACTGCATACTACAACATCATTCGGCAAACAATGACAATTTCGTTCCCTCAAGGGATTTCCCAGCTTGCAGAGTGCATTGTTTCCTTCAGAAGATTGCAGGTAATTAAAGTGATCATCATAAATGATTTTTAATGGATTTATTTTTTAGTTTGTTTAAATTTTTCCAACATGACGCGCTCCGACGTTTAGCACTCCCCGCTCCGCTCACGCTTTTTAGAAAACTCATCGCTCCGCACTCATTCAATTTCCAAAATTTTTTGCTCCGCTCCCCAATTCTTTAAAAATAACTAATTCAAACATAAAAAAGCAGTTGTTCGTCTTTTTTAATTTCCATTGTGTTTGAAACGTAAAATTTAACAAGTTACTATTATAATTCATGTTTTTTACTCTCAATAATTTCAAATTTTATTCAATTTTTTTGATGTAAAACGAAAAAAATAATTTTGTTTTGCAATTTTATTTATAAAAAATCACCAATAAGTTAGGATTTCAATATTTTTTTATTTTTACCAAATAAAAACAATCTGACTTGTACTATTCCAGACATTCTTTATGCTAGACGAGCTTAAGACAGAACACTATAATAAAAAAGTAGCAAAAGAGATGAAGGCAGAGAATCAAGAAAATGGCAAAGACAAAAGTAACAATGGCATTCTACTTACAAACGCTGTTGCAAAATGGGACGATGAAATAACTGAGCCAACATTGAACAATGTGACAGTGAGTCTCACTCGTGGCAAACTCGTCGCTGTTATTGGCCCTGTGGGCTCAGGAAAGGTAGCAATTCCATAAACTATTTTTCGCGTATTGAATAATTTTTTTACAGACGTCATTGATTCACGCACTGCTGGGAGAGCTTTCTCTAAAATCTGGCTCTTTGAAAATGAATGGCAGTGTCTCCTATGCAGCCCAAGAGCCATGGCTTTTTGCTGGGTCTGTCAAACAAAACATCATTTTTGGTCAGCCTTGGGATGCCAAAAGATACAAGGAGGTTGTCAAGGTGTGTGCCCTTGAAAAGGATTTCATTCAGTTCCCATATGGAGACAAGACCGTGGTCGGAGAACGAGGAATTTCTCTGAGTGGTGGGCAGAGAGCTCGAGTGGCACTTGCTAGGTAGATATTGCTTTGATTCTAAATTGTTTTTGGTATCAGCCATCAACTTACAGGGCAGTCTACAAAAAAGCAGATGTCTACCTTCTGGATGACCCTCTATCGGCTGTTGATGCGCATGTAGGTCGCCACTTATTTGATGACTGTATTAAAGGGTACCTAAAAAAGAAAGCTGTGCTTCTTGTCACTCATCAACTTCAGTACTTACATGAAGCCAGCCATATAATAATTCTCAAGAATGTAATTTTTTTAATACATAATTCAAGAACAAATTTCAAGTCTTGGGTTTTAAATTTAGGGAAACGTAGAAGCCCAAGGAACATACCAGCATCTCCAAGAGAGTGGACTCGACTTTGCTGAGCTTTTGGAGGAAAAAGAAGAGGAAGCTGCGGACGATAATGATGGAAAAGATCAAGATGGAGACAACATTAGCTTAGGATCAAGTAAAAGCAGCGTTAGCAAGTCTTCAAAACTTTCTAGGCAGTCGTCAAAGATGGTAAGAGTGAAAACCTTCTAAAAGCATTAATTTATATTTTCCCCTTTTAATTCTAGAGTGTCAGCTCATCTCAGGAACTGATGGGCAAAGGACCTGAAGAAGTTGCAGAAATCAGGACGGAGGGAACAGTTTCGGGAGAAGTCTATGGGCAGTACCTAAGTGCAGGGGGAAGTTACTTCCAGCTTATTTTCATGTTCAGTGTTTTCACGTTAGCACAAGTTGCTGGAAGTGCTGCAGACTACTGGACGTCATTTTGGTGAGTTTAAAAGGTGCCTCAGTCTGAAATATATGACGAAACAATATTTCTAAAGGACAAACTGGGAGGAAGCCCAAGTAGTCAAGCCAACTGAGTCATCTGTGCCAAGAAGCTACTTGTCAATATACGACTTCAACTATTCAGAAATGAGCTGGATGAGCACCGAAAATGGAATCTTCATTTTCACTGGTTTGATGGTGGGTGTGATTGTTTTCTCTCTAGGGAGAACATTCCTATTCTTCAGAGTCTGCATGAGGGCGTCTGTGAACCTCCATGATAGCATGTTCAATTCAATCACCAGAGCAACAATGGCCTTCTTCAATGCAAATCCCTCAGGTGATTTTTGCTCGACATAATATTTGATTTTAATTTATCTTACATCGCAGGACGAGTGCTAAACAGATTTTCAAAGGACATGGGTGCCATTGACGAACTGCTACCAACGGCTATGATTGATTGTTTGCAGGTTAGATTAGAAACTTATCAATTTGGCCTATAAATGTTAATGTCTTTTAATCTCAGATTGCCTTGGCCTTGACTGGAATCATTGTGGTAGTAGCCATCGTCAATGTTTGGCTACTGCTTCCAACATTTGTGATTGCCATTCTATTCTACTTCCTTCGAGTCATCTACCTGAGAACTTCTAGAAGCGTGAAACGCTTGGAAGGTGTGACCAGGAGTCCTGTTTTTTCTCACCTGAACGCGTCAATTCAAGGCATAACCACAATTAGGGCTTTCCAATCACAAGAAATTCTTGCGGAACAGTTCGACAACCACCAAGACTTGCACTCTTCAGCATGGTACCTTTTCATCTCGACAAGCCGCTCGTTTGGTTACTGGCTTGACTTCATTTGCTTCATCTACATTGCAATTGTCACCCTGAGCTTCCTGTTCATCGGCTCCGAGACGTCTGGTGGCAACGTTGGTTTGGCCATCACCCAAGCTCTTGGACTAACTGGAATGTTCCAGTGGGGCATGAGACAATCGGCAGAGATGGAAAACCAAATGACATCTGTGGAAAGAGTGCTGGAATTCTCCAATCTGGAAGCGGAACCACCTCTCGAGACAAACCCCAAGGATGATCCAGGCAAAGGTTGGCCTAGCAAGGGTAATGTCAACTTCGACAAACTAGTCATGCGGTATAGCAAAAACGACCCTCCTGTGCTGAAAGGAATCACCTTCAACATCAAGTCTGGTGAAAAAATTGGCGTCGTCGGCCGCACTGGTGCTGGAAAGTCGTCTCTCATTTCTGCCCTTTTCCGCCTTGCTGATTGCTGCGAAGGAAGAATTGTGATCGACGACATTGACACAGCAAAATTGGGCCTTCATCAGTTGAGAGCCAATATTTCCATCATCCCTCAGGAACCGGTGCTCTTCTCGGGAACAATGAGAAAAAATCTTGATCCATTTGATGAGTTCCCCGACGATAATTTGTGGTCAGCCCTTGAGGAAGTTGAATTGAAAGAAGCTGTTGCAGAATTGCCAGGAGGACTTGGTGCTAAAATGTCTCAGGGTGGCAGCAACTTTAGCGTGGGACAGAGACAGCTGGTAATGTTTTATTACAAAACTATTTAATATTGTTAAGGTAATTCTAATCTTTGGTAAATTTTTAGGTCTGTTTGGCAAGAGCCATTGTTAGAAACAACAGGATCCTTGTCTTGGATGAGGCAACAGCCAACGTTGACCCCAAAACGGATAATTTCATTCAGACTACCATAAGAAAGAAGTTTGCGCATTGTACCGTTTTCACCATTGCTCACCGCTTGCACACAATAATGGACGCGGATAGAGTCTTAGTTATGGACGCAGGCAGAGTTGCAGAACTTGCTGCTCCGTCTGAACTACTAGCGGATCCTAAAACCATTTTTGCTGGCATGGCGCAACAAGTGGGATTGAATCTGTCAAATTACTTGCAAAAAGATTCTTCTAGACAGGCAGAATCTACTAATTTTTAACAAGGGTGAATAATTTTTACTTTTTCAAAGTGGTTAAAAGGTTATCGAACCCGATGTGAAGTTTTGTTAATTTATATTTTCTGTTGTGATACCGTAATTTTTGTGAAATGTGAAGTTTTACAGACATGGAATCCCGCTTCAGCTCTGCTCCGGGCAAAAGAAAAATAAAATTGCTAGCAGCGAAGTGAATTTTTTCCTTAGGAATTGTATTTAAAGACTTTAACTATGGGAAATTTCCAGATTTTTAATTTACTTTAACATTTTAAAAAAAATTTTGTCAAAGAATATTTGAAAATTAAAACTCTCTTGAAATTTCTTTATTAAAAATATATGACATATGATTTTTTCCAAAGTTTTACTTTGTTTTTAAAGATTTTAAAAATGTTTTCCCTCGAAAAATTGTATGACGAAAATGTTTATTGCGGTTTATTGTGATTATTTTGAACAAATCTATTTTAATTTTAGTGTTAAAATTATATTTTTTAGAATGATTTTCTTTAATTATATTAAATACATAATTGTATTTTATGAAAAAAAAATGCCTTATTTTTTTTCTTTAAATCCTTGGGGACTGTGGTATGATTATTAAAAATAATTTAATTTTCATAAATTGTGAACATGCAGTGCATTTCTTTCCTTGGTTGCAAATTCTTGCTTTACGAACTATTAATTTTAGAGCGCTGGAACGCTTGGGTTATATAACTATGGGCTCTCGTGGAAGTTTCTGTGATCATAATATTAAATAACCTGAATAAATCTATAATCCGCAGACTAAAAGAAAAACAGTTTTGTATAACTTGCTTTTAATTTTCCAGTTAAAACTCACAACACAATTGATAACTTTGACAGAGACTATCTCTGGCAATAAAAAAGGAGATCACATTAAACAAAACTAGCGGAATCACATCATCAGTTTGGTCCAAACTGAGACGCAGGTTAAGAAAGGTCAGGGTCGAGTCCCAACTCGATGTCCCGAACACCTCGGGAGTGAGGAAAGGCCGCAGGCGGTGCACGTGTCTCACTCAGGGTTTAGCTGCTCTTGCCCTTCTTGAAGCGCTGCCGCGCCTGTGCCTTTGAATAGCGGGGGGTGTGGGTCTTGCCCTCGGGCACCTCCTCATCTTCACCTTCGTCCTCAGGGTGCGGGCGCGCGGACAGGTCTGGCGGCGGCTCAAGCAACGCCTTCCGCTGGCACTTGACATAGTGCCGGAAGCCGCGCGCCAACGCATATCCCACCATCGCCACCCCCATTGTCGTCAGCACCATCAGGATGGGGTGCTGCAGAAAAAACTAATTAATTAGAAGTTCGGCGATAATTGAATGAATACCATAAATAAGATTCAAGTGAACAGGAAAATTAGCTTGGACGTGGAAATGAACTAGAGTTAAAAAGGAATTTAATGTTTACCTAAGGGGAAATTTCGAAAGTTAAAAATATGTTTAATGTTGGTGTATTTCAATGTTCATCAAATTTTAAATTCTAATGTAAATTCAATTTATTTTACCCCAAAAGTTGGAACAAGTCAGAATAATTAATCATCTTTTTCTAATTAATATTAAATATTTCAAATATTTATTTTTTGATTGGGAAACAGTAAAAATATTTAAGCTTTCAATGCTATGATTGAAATGCTATGATTTAAAAAAATTGTATTTGTTAATAGCTTAGATTACCGAAAGGGACGGTTTGGCTGTGGCAATTTGGTCTGCTATCACAATGATGACCCCGAGAATGATTCCGATGCCAGCTCCGAGCCATGGAATTTGGTCGTCAGCTTTAAAAGAGAAAAATTGGTTTAAATTTTTAAATCACATAAAAAATCAACTTAATTTAAAAAATTTATTTAAAAAAAATTATTATTATTTTTTCTATTTTTGCTTATGGCACCCATGAGCTTATAAGGCTATTGGGTCGGTCTCTTGCCGAAGTCGAGCACCCTTAGCACATTTGTGCTTCCCAACCACCCTGACCCTTGTTCGGGGGCTTTCTAGCAGATTTGGTGGTGCTCGCATGGGCCCCCACCCCCCTTGAGACCTTGCCCTGGCCTTGCCACAAAGGACTTGTGATGAAACGCAGGCATTCGCCACACAAGCCGAGTTCTTCCAGTTTGTGGCTTGGAGGAAACGTGGCAAACCTCCGAGTGCGAGTCGGTACAGCTTGCGACATACCTCCCAAATTCCCGACGTGTCAGCCGAAATGTTATCAATGATTCGCATACCAGAGGCTATTTGTTTCCACAAACAGCCCCAGGCTGAGCATTGATCCCATGACGGCCAAGGAACCCACCGATTAGAATGCAAGCATTCTAACCACTGGGCTTAAAAAAATTATAAATTTTGTGACATTTGAGATTTTAGTAAGAAATTAAATTTGCAATCATCTTTTTCTTCAAATTTAACAAAACTTCAGGATTATTATGGGATGCACCTTTCTTGTCCTTGTGGCACTCATGGGTGGTCCTTGCGATGGCCCCAGCAATGGAGGCATCGTCCGGCTGCAGTAGCAGCGCCTGCCGGTACGACTGAAGGGCCTCTGCAAAGTGGAAGGTGGCAAATTGCACCTCCGCCCTCCGAAAATAGCCCTAAGAAGGAAAATATTTTTAAAAATAGGTACTAATTTATGACATTAAGATTAAGAAATAGACTTTGGCCCAGGTGGGATTGAGCTTGACGGTCTCGTCAGCGTCCTGCAGGGCGAGGAAGAAGTGGCGCATCCGGAGGAAGGCCAGAGAGCGGTTGCTGTGCAGCGAGAAATTGCCGGGCTCGATGGACAGGGCGTGCGTGTAGTGCAGAACAGCCTCCTCAAACTTTCCCTCTTTGACGCACGCGTTGCCGCGCTCCTTCAACTCCTGCACGTTCTCCTAAATGATTAAAACGATTAAAACAAAGTATTTGGAATAAGAACTCCAAAATTGAAAACCTATTGACAGAAAAATTAATTTTTTATGTTTGAATATGTAATCATACCTCACTCATGATTGACTCAATTGTTTTGCACCATCAAAGTTATCAAAGAGCAAAATCACTGAATCAATCGTATCATGGCTTTATAGAGAATTATATGTGTGTAATTTGGAAAACTCAAGATTGATCTGAAAAATCGATTATTTTGTTTTGTTTTGAATTTCGACTTGTGTAATTTGCAATTTTTTTGGAAACCGAACCTTGACCGAACCAAGGATCTTGGACCGAACCTTTCCACAAATCAGCATCATCGATCATCAAAAAATATTTGTAAAGCGTCGGGCACGCCCCTCTGTTTTGTTTTGTAGTTTTGTGCCGCAAATTAACGATACATTTAACAATTCAGGCTCGTTTTACAAAATTTACGCCAAGAAAACCTATATCAACTCGGTAAATTAATATTGTCATTTAAATTTATGTTAGTTTGTAAACTAATTCACCTTAGAAAAATTAGTTTTGTGCTTATTTTGTACATCAGAAAAGATGTTGTTACTAAATATGTAATGCATACATATAATTATCAATTGCTTTTTTACACTTTTTATGTTTTTATTATTTACATAGCTTTTTGTCATCAAATTTCATCTAAACTCAAGGTTCTGTATATAATTCTTTTTTCAGACCTTAAACTTCACTTTTTGGAAGATGTCAAAGAAGTCAAACGCGTATGAAGTCAAGGACGACGGCCCTGGATACGTCGGCATCATCTTTTGTCCAGAATGGTTCGTTATCGTTTTTATTTTTATTTTTTGAAAGTCTGAATAACTTTTAATTAATTCAAACTTTCAGCAACAACATGTTGTACCCGAGAGAAGACAAAGAGAACAAAATCTTACTCTATGCGGTAATTATTCATATGTATAATATTAGAGTAGTTGTTAGTTGTTTAACTTTTTAAATTTTGCCACAATATAGTAAATATTCTTTAAGTTGCAAAGTGTCTTTATTGATTTATTATTCTTTTATTTTAAATTTAGTGTCGAAACTGTGACTACAAACAAATTGCGTCCAGAAGTTGCATTTACGTCAACAAGCTGACACACGACGTTGAGTGAGTACCAATTTTTACTTCGACAAACTGATTTTAATAAAAACTTTACAGTGAAATCAAGCTGATCAACTCAGACGTCCTTTCGGACCCAACCCTGCCGCAAACCGAGGAGCACCCATGCCCGAAATGCTCTCAGGCGGAGGCTGTTTTCTTCCAGTCTCAATCCAGGAGGGCTGAGGTAAATTAAAAAAATTATTTCGTTAGGAAAATTCAAAATTCATTTTTTTAGGACGAAATGAGACTTTACTACGTCTGCAAGAACAGAAAGTGTCTCAATCGATGGACTGAATGAGCAACTCAATTTTTCCAACTCAACATGCATTTATCTTCAAGTACACTGAAATACACTATACATAATTTATAGGATTATTCATGATTAATAAGACAACATGTAATTGATCTTAAAGTTCTCTTTAATATCTTGACAATTTCAAAGCTCACACATTAAAAGGTTGATTGATTGTTAATGAACATTTTTTTATCTATAATAATTAAATTTGCTTCAACTAGAAAATGAACACTTTTTTTAGTATAAAATCTACTCTGGAATGCATAAAAAGTAGACACAAAAGCATGTGCGTAGGTTGTTCTCCATTCTTTCAAAACTGCTCTGAACACTGGCAGTAATAATCATGGTGGTAACATGTGTGCCATGATACGGACTTTTGTACTAATAACTTATTGCCCACGTATTTTTTACTGAAAAACTTTAAAAAGTTTGAACTACTGCATAAAAAGGATGTGAATTCTTTAAAATTATATAATTATTATTGAGCCATGAATGGACTTTACGTGACTGTATTAAAAAATGGCACCAGCGACTCACTTTCTTTCTATTGTTTAAATCATTATGGTCTACATTAATTATCATGTTTAGCATATCACAAAGCATAAAATTCCAGATTCCTTATCATGTAATTTGAGTTGAAGTTAAAAGTAATGAATTTAAAAAAAAAAAAAATTAAAACAAACAAATAGTTCCGGGGATGCACCACTCAGGATTCCATATCATAGATTATCACAAAAATTAATGTTGTCAGTCAACACTGTCACTATTTGGATTGACGCCGAATTAAATTATACGGGAGAGGTTATTATACAGATTCTCAAACGCTCCACGTCCAACATTTTAAGGGCTCTATGGAAATATTTTGCTATCTAAAACCAATTGAAATCTTGATCAAATCTTTGCACCTCTTTAAAGCAGAAGTCGGTTGAAGGTTTGCCTGCTTTGCCCATCAATTAATTAATATTGAGGCAAGTTGGTCTGGTTTAGCAGAATTTGGTTGAAAAAAGCAGAAAAAAAATATTCCCTCCTAACCTTAATTTCTCAGGAAAAACTCAAGCACTGCGTATCTCGAAGGTTCCATGCACTATTGATAAAAAAAAACCCTTTTCCACATAATCAGGATTAAAAAGTGGCGCCGCAACTGCCGTAGACCTTGGGACAAAACTTTTGAGCCAAGAGGCCGTAGGGCTGTTGTGAGCCGACCTGGACGGGGGTGTGGGCACTGAACTTGTTCCACACGTGGATGGCCCTGCTGCTGCTCAGGCGCTGCATAGTCTGCTTGCTGTGAAACGTGTTAAAGTAGAGACGCCACTGTCGCCACGGAATAGGGTAAAAGTCGCTGGGTGGCAAAACTTGGAATTGTCCTTTGCACGCGTCCAGTGTCATGCCCTCTGTCCGGTTGGTGCGGCACAGGCGCTGGGCCACCCTGGTGATGACGCCGGGGCCATTGGCGCCCCAGTCATCCACTTGGAAGTGGTCCCTGATCTCGTTGACACACTCAGTAGCCAGAGCGGAACCACGCTCCAGGTTCAGAACGCCGGCCGCAATGTCCTCACCCGACTCGGCGCCTGCAAAATTCTGCAGACCAGTCAGCGGTCGCAGCAGGATGATGTCCAGGTCCATGTACGTTCCGCCATACTTCCACAGGGTGAAGTACCTGGATTGAAAAAGCGAATTTTATCAAAAATTGGTCAGAGTTCGCAATAATATAAATGAAGAGTTATGAAACGCGGAATTACTTTCTAGAAAAACCACTAACATTAAATAAGGCCAAAATTGTTAAGTCAAAGTTCATAAATTCCGTGAAAGATTCGTGCATCGCAACAATTTTAGAGCAAATTTGGATTGTTGCAAAGCGTTCTGATTGGGTTCTTTTTTACTTGTACCAGTTGTACCCAAATCAAAAAACTCAAACAACAATCAAATTATGATTCATATTGTTTGATGCGCGAACCTCGGTTCATTGAAGGGAAGAATTTTTTTTTAATTTAAAATTTGGTTAATTATTTTCGATAATTTTCAATTGAAATTCTTGCAAACCTGAAGGCGTCGCTGGTGTGCGACTGCTCAAAACTGCTGGCCCTGAGCATTCCTGAACGGTACCAGTGCTCGAGCGGTCCGTCGCTGAAGTATTCATCAAGGTGCAGATAAAGCAGGTGGACGTTGGGGTAGGCGGCTGCAAGGGCAGCGAGCCAAGGGTTGCGTCCCACGTCAAACTCGGCGGGCGGCGACAAGAGCAGCAGGTATACGTCTGCTTCAGGGTGCAGAAGGGCGGCCGACTCGACGGCGCACGCCTGACGCGCGTTCACTCGCCCTTCGCACGACGTCTCCACAAAGAAAAACGCCAAGCGCGAATTGTCGCGAATCTCCAACACCCGCGTCGCCTCTGACAAAGAGCTCTGCACTGACCTGAAGGGCAAATACGAATAATTGGTTAACTCCGATAAATAACAGCAAGCGATTTTAATATAAAAAATAATTTATTTCAGGTTAAAATATTTAATTGTTTTTGCTAATTTTTGTATTTTTATATATGATAGGCTAGGCATAACAATTTTCATTAAAAATCATTAAAAGCATTTAAAATTGATTTCAACGACGTCTTGAAAACATTTTTTTTTCTGCCCAAAGTGCCTAATTTAATTGCAAATGAAGTTTGAAATTTATGCACTTTAAAAATGTCGTCATCGGAAGCGGAATGATCATATATTTAAAAAAAAGTTGTTAGAGACATTTAAAATTTATTTATACTTATATTTTTCCCCCAAAGTGCCTAATTTTTGCACTTTAAAAATTGGCTTTTTTTAAAGTGATCATAATGTGTTGCATTTAATTAGAAACACCACCCTACATATCATTAGTCAACTCCCCCAACCTATGGAATGGAGAATAATTATGAGAGTTGAAAATTCAAATCTGAATTAGAAAGTTATTTCTGCTTTAAAGTTTCATGAAAATTGTTTCCATTCAAAATCAAAGGAGTCAAGCGAAAGCAATGCCAGTCTTTGTTTTCATTCTCTTTGTTGACAGTCTGGTGTATTTTTAGCCGCGCGGCTATAATAGTCACCCCTTTCTAACAAAAGAGAGTGATTGATATAGGGATAAAAAAGGAACCACTGCGGTCAAGCGTCGAAAGAAAATGAACTGTAATATTAAACTCTTTGCTAGACGAAGAAATGTTTGCATTGCTTGTACATAATTACGCTGAATAATATTTTATTTTTATGTAATTTCCGTTAAAGAAATATTTAATTTAATATTTGTAAAAAGAGGCGGATTATTATCATTTTTGACACACAAATAAAGAGAAAAATGTAAAAATTTATGTTTGAAATAATTAAAAAAAATTGAAAATTGTAGTAGTACAATCGAGGGTTGATTTATGGTGATTTTAATTTAAAATCGGCTTTTCCTCGATGGGTTTTGTGAGTTGTTTCATTTCAAAGTATACAAAGATCATACATTATCGCAGCAGCCGAAACATGTAGAGCAGGGTGTTGTTTTTCACAAAACCTATATCGAGGAAAATCCGACTTTCAATTCAAATCACCATGACAAAAAATTACATGTATATGACCAATGAAAATTGCACTAAACATCTTCAAGTTAATGTATTCAAAAATAAACTGAAATGTGCTGAAGTTAACATTAAGTTATCTTTAACTATAAGTCGATGTTAGGCAGATGTTAGGTAATAATACAACATAATTTAACTTATTACATATTAAAGAAATCATTCAAATTTGTTTGAAAAAAAAACTTTTTTTATAATATTTAAATCATTGTCACATACAGAGTGATACAGAGTACAAAAAATTCAAAATTCACATTGATTTATTTCATTATTGGAAAATTCAATTTTTTTTAAAGCCAATTCAATTAAATTGAACCAGTGGAGATGAATTTAATTCCGAAAAATTTACGGATGGGATAGTTATTTACATCTGTTAAAATACATTTTTTCTATTCTATTCAAATAAAATAAAGTTAAAAAAAATTGAAACTTGGCTAAAAAATAATGCTTTTGAAATCACGTCAAGTTAAGTAAAATTCAACTATTGTCAAAGGTTCTTTTTTACCATGCACATTGAATCCATGTATGGCAAATTAAGATTATGCCAGGGAAAATAAATGATGTTTGATTTAATAAAGACAAACCCAAAATAAAATAATAATAAAAAAAAAGACAAAATTGAGTGGCGCCTTCTGCGCCACTAAAAAGGGCACAGGCCGACAAGACTTTGTCTTGGCCTGACCCAAAGAAAAAAAAAAAAAGTCAGCCAACAATTATTTCGTAAGAAAAATGAAAAAAAAAATTATTATGCATATAAAGATTTTCTTGTGTATATATAGGAACAAAAAGAATTTATTTTGGAAAAAAGATAATATTTTGAAAAAAAAAAATAATATGTTTGTTTCTAATTTTGAGTAACAGAGAGTCGTTAGTTAAAAGTGAAAATTATGAGCGTCTCGTGTCTCACGACAATCGATTGTGTTTCTTTAGCACTCGAGTGTTAACAAAATTTCCAACCCTGGGCGTTAATTGTTTAAAAGAATAAAAAGTATAATACCCGTGTGCGGCGTGTTGGTCGCACTTTTGTCCGTAGCCGTCACCGAAGAGGCGCTTGAAGAAAATGCGGACGCCGAGGCCAAGGGGTTGTTTGGCCGGCGGCGGGGGTTGTTGAGGTCCAGGGTCGGTCTGCAGGTTGCTGGCCAGCAGCAGCAGCACACATACCCCCAGCAGCAGCAGGTACACGTGCCGACCCACCCAGCCCCTCTTGCCCTTCATCCCTTGACCCGCCGCATTGCACTGCGTTTAGCCTCGCCAGTCAGTCACCACTCTTGTTTTCGTTCCTCCCCCGAGAGACGCCGCTCCACAGGGGTTGGTCGGCACACCCCTTGACTGATTTCGGCGCCCCTTTTGAATTTTACAGAAAAAGGTACGTTCTAAAAAAACACACTCGTGCGGAAACTGATGTAATTCTAAATTCGGACGAGCAGTTCAACGTGCGTGCGCTCGGACGCAACCCCTTCGCTCGACTGAAGTCACTTTATTTTAGCATAGCCGATGACTGGTGTGGAATGGAATAGAGACGGTCACGGCAGTCGCGAGTGCAAAGCGAGAGGCGGCGGCGCAGACGCCTCGACTTCACATACACCATATAATAAGGTGTGCACGGCCAAAAGTCCGCAATCGTTTTCAAAACAATTTTTCTCGCAATCCTCCCTGCAAAATGATAAAAAAAATTATATTATATCATAGAAAAATGCACTAGTCAGCACTAGCAAGTTTTATAGAATAATAATTATTATTGGGGGATATTCACATGCTAAGTTAATTAAGACCATTAAATCCTATGTAAGCAAAAATTAGCATGTGAATATCCCCCATTATTTGTTGAATAATCAACATTCTTAATCTGCTGACTTTGTTCCTTGTTGGTTTTAAGAATTTAAACAACAATTCAAGTGGAGTGAAATAAGGAAATAAGGTGTTTGAATATTTCGCGACACATTGCAATAATATCATAATGAAAAATTACATAATATTTTTTTGTTGAAAATTTTGTTTCCCATAGCTAGTTTTCTATGCGGATATATTTTTTATTAAAAGATAATTAAAAAAATTGATGAATGAATGCAAATTAAGACACAGTTGTCCTCAACAAAATCACCATCACCATTTTTTTATTGTTGTAATATCAAATCAAAATGATAGAGCCGCTCGAGAAAGCCAGAATAGGCCCGAATTAGTGACTCATGTAAAATTTTAGTGTGATCCGTGTAATATTTTACCCCTTATACAATCTCTTGTACAAATATATTATTGGAAAGTGTAAAATTAATTTTCTTGTGAGATACTAAAAAAATAATTATCCATAATTTTTTTCTTATTCTTCACAAATTAAAGCATACATGAAATAAAGAAAAACCATTTAATTTTCATAATTTGACTGAAATTAGTTGCATCGTCTGACAAAGATTACAACCTGATTGCTTGACTCATGACGGGCTTATTAACTTTATAATTTTCTTTGAAACATAAAAAAAACATGCCAAGATCAGCCTTGGCGGCCGAGTCTCTTTAGATATCACAGCAAACATCTGCTATTATTTTGCCTATTATAAACCGTTTCTTCTCTTTTTCCAATTTTAAAATTTTGGTCTCGAACGAGAGGAATAAATAGTAAATAAGAGTATAAAAAGTATAAAATCACTAGCATAATTTAATTTAAAAAACTCATTCTTCAAGCTTCCTCAAACAATCAATTTATGTTCATTTTAACCTCTATGGATATAAAAAATGTAAAATATGTATTTCAAACACCAAATAAAAAATTGATGGAAAAATCGCTCTTTTTTGAAGTAGGTCAAAATTTAATAGAGTGTGGCTAATTCTAAGTAAGCTGTAAGATGATGAATGTAATTATAATGCGCATTATGCAAATGAATTTGTGCTCCACCTTATTATAGTGCGCAATTTACACAGGCCAAAAGTAAATATAGTGTGGGAGATTGCGATGACTCATCACGCCTTGACTTTATATTTTTATTTCCTCTCGCAGCCGCAGCAATATAATTTTTATCAAATCCGACATTACTTTCCTTTATCTGCGGATGTAAAAAAGTTTATCACTGGTCCTTTCAAATGTGTGGCTGGTCCACATGAGCAAAGAGAATAACAGCATAAAAATCTCAAATTGAGCAGGAAATTATAATACAATTTTGCTTTTAAAACTGTAGGGAATTAAACATAATGTTATATTTCTTCATTTTTCAACACTCCATACATATTAAAAAAATGTCTCATGTACATGCCCGATTGTTTGTTGTTGTTATTTTGCTAATTATAAGTTTGGTTTGCAACTATCTATAAATTGTCAAAAATAATAACGCGCAGAGAAAAAAATTGAAAATTGCTGTAGGGACAGATTTTGGATCGCATAAACAAATTATTATTTTTATATTGGATGAGCTGTTTTTAATTGCCCATTTTTTTTCAATAATTATCTCATCTTTTATTAGAGCTATAGACAAAATCTTAATTGATTCTGACAACTTACAAATAGTGGTTTTGTTATATTCACAAAAAGTGATAAAACAATGATTAATTTTTTACAAAGTTTTTGCTGCATGATTGAATGAAACTTCTGTATCTCACGTTCTTTCCTTGTGTTTAAATATAAGATTGCAAAGAAATTGGAGAAATCGTTTAGTGAAAATTGACATGTACGTTTGGCAGCGTACGTGTGCAGTAAAAAGCGAATATTAATAAATAATTATGGAAAAAATTGAGAGCTGTCGGCCGTCGCAGTCGGTTGATTTTTTATTCATCGCAGTTGTGCGGTTTCGCCCCTAACCATATGTTAGGGTGCGTTCACTTCTGGTGTCAAACACGATACAGGGGAGGTCGTTAGCGCTCTATTGATATCATGACCACTACAGCACCTGCCCAATAAAAAATAATTGGAATTAACATTTTTCATTAAAACAATTTTTCACTATTTCCCTCTTTTGATTGCTTTTGATAATCGGCTCAATTTTTTATAATCTATAGAGTCATAATATGTGACAAGTTATTTTTATCTTTTCGATCTTTAAAATTTAAATTTAAATTTCCCATGCATTTAATTTTAACTGCATTATGATTTCTTATACGCTAAGTTGGAAAAGTAGATTTTTTCTTTTTGGTTTCTGAAGTTTTGGTGGTGAGGGCTTTTTTATTCAACATTATTTAAATTTTTGTAACAATTTTAGCAAATAAAAAAAGGCAATAAAAGGAATCCTTGTCAACATAGTTAAATAAATCCTTTACACGACAATAATGATTAAAATTTCCTATTATTATCATTGACTTATGTACTTTTTACTTTTATGCCAATAAGAAGTTCGTTCCCTCCTCCCTAGCCACTTTTCATTAGAAACTGTATTTTTTATTCTTTATTTAAAAAAAAATTGTTATCAGTAAGGAAAAGTTTTATTTAACAATTTGAATTTCTGAGAAGCCATATAAAGTGAGCAAAACATCCGAGTTGAGGGGAGGCTTGCAGAAATTTGCTCTTGCAGCTCTTTTATTTTGTCGGTCTGCAGTGACTATAGCATGGTCGAGGCGAAAATATAAATGAGAATTGGATTTCGCTGAGTGTGAGTAAAGCGAGAGGCGTATATAATATTAGCTGTTTGTGAATTAGGATTCATCGTGCGCCGCTGTTATTCGTTTTATTTGCGATCAAACGCGGAGACAAGCGAGATCGGATGGACGCTCTGAAAAGTAGCCGCGGCTCATGGTGCTCATGTAAGAATTAATTTCAGCTGCACAAAATTCCATCGCGAGATCACTGGGTCGTGGCTTCAATTAATTTCGAGAATACATAGGGGGGGGGGGCTGCTTTCAAACTAGACAATAATAAGCTTCCTGCTTAAGTACAGTCCAATTGGACAAAAAAATTCTTAAACGCTGTAAACAAAAAAAAAAGTTTTTTTATTCTTAATTTGATGGCTTAAAGTAATCTGTTAAGTTTTATGTTATCTTTAATTGAAGGTTAAAATTGCGTTACATTATCATAATTTTACTAACAATTTTTTTTACTAAAATAAATTAATCAAAATTTGGAAGTTATTAGTTTAATATTATCTTGATACCTTTTTTTTTTACAAAAAAAAACCTAAAATTATAAACTCTTTATTTTTCTATTTTAAAATTAATCTAGCTGTCTTCAAGCAAGAATTTTATTGTAATAGAAATTTACCTTCAAAATTTTTAATAAATTTTAGACTCCAGCAACTGCGCGTCTGTGTAATTTATCTTGTTGGCCATTGTTGGCGACGGACTGGTAGCTGAATGGACCCATGTCCTCTTTATCGCCGCCGACCTTTGGCCCCTCGCGCTGTGCTCTTCCAATTTGATTTATTTCCAATTAACAATTTCCCCCGCTACAAATTTGCCCCTCGTAATAAACAATGCAAATTCAACCGGCGCAGCCAAACAAATTCCTAAAAAACACGCCCCTCGGTCTCTTTCGTCGCGAACATAAGCTTCGTCAGCCAAAATCACCTCTTCAATTTTTAAGTATTATGTATAAAACGTTGAGGAAACGCTGACGCTGCTTGTGCTCTGGAAAAAATAAATCTCGTTTGTTTCCTTTGCTTTAATCTGAGCTGCTCTTTGCTCTCCGCGCGCAACAGAAATATACATAATAAATATAATTCTGCTTTTCTCTTTTTGTGCGCGATACGCGGGCGGTCAGTCAACAGCAGACACAGATAAGCCGCGGCTCGTCGCTGCTGTCCTGCGACCCAAACAATTCTAGTTTGAACCATCGATTTTCCATTTGCATCCTGTACTGTCCTGTACGTACATTCTTTTTAACTTTTAACCGACACATGCGTCTAATTGCATTCTAATCACCAAAGTAATTAGCGCCAAAAAGGCTCAACGACTTTTCCTGGTTTAGCGCCTTATCTGATTTTGCTGATTAACTTTCAATTTCCACAAGCGGGACAATCCTCTATAAGTCATCTGCCATCAAGGTGAAATTTTTATCATCACATCAGTTTTTTAATGAATCATGTTTATACTTGTTTTGTTTGATCTACTGAAGTTTGCATTAATTTGAAATCATAAAATATTAATAGTTTCAAAAGTGCATTTTGATTGATTTTAACGTATTCAAATATTATTTACTTTTTGTGGAATATTATCTAGTTTTAAATTTTATACTTACTGATTTCAATGAGTGTTGGAAAATTTTAGGTTGTCTATCTCTGCAAGTTTTGTCATTTAAACTTGCTGGGTTATATTTATTATAACTTACAAAAATTACTTTTTTTTTAATTTTAAAATTTTTGAGCACCTGTAAAATAAGCAATTTGCCAAAACTCTTTGAAAACTTAGCTTACTTTTAGAGATATGAGAATAAATGAAAAGGTTAGTCAAATATATATTAAATTTAAAATAATTCTTTGTTATTTTGAAAAAGATTTTAATTAAAATTTGTTGATTGATTTATATTGGGCATTTTGTTTTTAAATTTCGTTGTTTTTCTCTTTTTGCAGGTTCAGGAGCGTTCGTCGATTGAGACGGAAGTCGACGCTACTGGAGATGGCGGCGCGTGGTGCGTGGGTTTTACGCAGCGTGGAGGAGAAAGCGTCGCTGGGCAGGCTGGCTAAGTCGACGCTCGCCCTGGCCGTCGCCTGCGCCCTTTCCCCCCTCCTCCTCCTCTCTTTTCTGGGTGCGCGAGCTTTTGCTTTTGTTTTTTCCTCCTCTAAATATTTTGGTTGATTTCAAAGGGGTATCGATATTTCGGCGGCTGTACTGCTGGGTGCTGGAGAAGAGGTTCCCGGGAGTTGAACCTGACTGTAGCCCTTCCGTCAGGGCGGCCACTGACACGCGCCGCAACCAGGCCATCGTCACCCTCCTCGCCCACTTCAAAGGCACCTGCGACCTCAATTTAGTCAGGAACAAAATCAAGGTACATAATACATTTCATACTTTCTTCAACGGAATTGAATTATTTGCTTATTTTCCTCCAATTGTTACTCGTAAGTGACATTTAAAATCATTGAATATAAAAAGAATAGAATGTGAAATTTTGAAAAGAAATGGCGAAAATTTTAATTTTCTGCGAAAAAAGTGCAGTATTGGTATGTATGTTATGCTTTAAAAATTAAATTTTTATTTTTATTAAATTCTCTAAAAAAAAAAATCACTTTTGTGTCCCTAGTTAAAATTTGATATTTTAAACTGATTTGTTAATTGTTCAATTGTAGAGAAAAACAAATAATTTTTGTTTAATAATGTTACAAATTAAATCTTGAACCAAAATAGACAGATTTGTTGAATTTTCATATTATAATGGATTAAAATTTTTATGTGAAAAGGAGGAAATTTTGGAGCAAAGAAACAGCGAGGGCGAGTTGGTATTTGCAAGACTCAGGGCGGTTCTAAGTTCTCGTTGGGGTCACTACGTGTGGATCCACAAACCCAACGAGTTCCAAATCGACAGCCACGTAGTGCTCGGAGGTCAACTCTTTCGCGGCAGGCCTCTCACCGATGGCAACATTCAGGTTTGAAATTATATATAATATGCTTGCACATTTTATGTATACTCAGGGAAAAACTCTTTTGAAGCAAATCATTTTAATTCACGATTATAATTGTATGTCGTATAAAATTCTAGAAGATTTTTTTAAAAAAAAGGCTCATTTTTTTTACAATACTTTATTTCACTCTTTATTATAAGATTTAGTAAATTAAAAAAAAATGAATTAGTCTATTTTGTTGGTTTTACTGCGAAAGTATAATTTATTAGCTTGATTTTCAAGTTTCCTTACGGAAAATCTCAAATTAAATCATTTTTAAAACACTGATTATTATAATTATTACATTTATATAATTTTTTATATTAATGTCATTGTGTCGTTTTTTCAGATTTACATGAAATAAAAATAAGATATATTTATAAATAATCATGCTCATTTTTTTTTTTAACGTTTCAGGACTACGTGAGCGACATTGTGTCCAAGTGCCTGCCGGTGAACCTGCCACCGTGGCAAGTGGTGCTGATCCCAGTAGCAGCGAGTGGTGGAGCTTCGACGGGCGACCAACAACACTTCTACGCGTTGCTGCGTTTGCACCACTTGTTGGTGGCCGAGTGCGGCGCCCTGCGCGACCTGCTGGCCGGTGACTGGGGCTGGGGTCAGCCCCTCGTCCCCCGTCCGCACGCCATCCCCACCCTTATCGACACCGCCACCACAGCTGCCTCAAACGCTTGGCACGTGAGTAGAGTAACCGCTAAATTTTTCATCAAGCCACGCTAATTATTTATTAGAGGCCAACAGAGACCAAATTGTTAATTTTTTATTCAGAAACACAGGTGTTCCAAATCCAGCAATATATATCATTTCAAAGTTCTCAGCCCTCTGCATGGGGTTGAAGGACAATTCGAATTGACACTAGTTTGAAAATAACTCTATAATTTATCTGCTGCGGACCTAAAATTGTAGCTCAAAGGTGACTTGAGTGAGCTTTAAAATTCATAATTTAAATGAAGAGTATACATAAACTTTTATTTTATTTTATTTTATTTTTATTTTAGGTAAAATTTTATGTGTGATTTTTTTCTGGGAAATAATTTTTCTGAAATGTTTAATATTTTTGCAACTTTTTTCATATTTTCAGAGTCTTCGGGAGGAAAAGGACCCAGCGGTGAAGAACAAGGCACTACACCGGCCGCTGCTAGACACGCTGGCCGCCGTGCTGGTGTTTGTGGCCGTGGACGCTTGCGACGTCGTTCTGAAAACTGAACCCTGGCACAAACTGCACCTGCCCAGTGTCTGGATCAACTCGCTCAGGGTCCAGGCGGACCGCAGGAAACTCACCCTACGCAGGTTCGCAGGTAAAGAAATCTAACCTATAATTATTTAAAACTTTTTAATTTAAAGATTAAATTGCAGATTTCATCAATAAACTTTGTCAAACTTGCGATTTGCTAAGATTTTGTCTTGTAATCATTATTGTTGTTTTATATTTGTCCTATTGTCAAAAAACATAATATTACATGTTATGTAATATCGGCACCATTTTTCATGTTTGCTTCTTAAAAAGTGAATTATAAAAACTTTTATATAATAAACACGATTTACACATTTTTATTAATATTTTTAAAATTCATTTGTATTCAAGCCGAGAATTGAAAATGAAATTGGTATTTTCCTAATGATTGTCTTAAAACAGGCCTGACTGCAAAAGCGTGCTATCCAGTGCCGTTGTTAGCGTTTGGCGTGCGCGCCCTTTCTCTCGGCATACACATGGCCCTGCAGACGCCCCTGTTTCTGCTGCGGACGGCCAGGGATGAAAAGACGAGGGCGCTGCTCCGCGACGCAGTCAACGAAGTCATCTTTTGGCTGCGAGTGTCCTTTGACGGACCCCGCATCGTCCTTGAAGAATTCTTCACCGGCACCCTGTCGCCGCCGCCCGTCCACCTTTCCCTATGTGGCCGACGCGTCGTTGCCTGGTCTGAACCTGTCTCTGTCAAGTTGGTCCGTATAACACTTCTAATATTTTTAATATAAATTCTCGCTGCAAAAAAAATCAACTTTTTGAAGAGCGCAAACATTCACTTTTCTAAAACTATTATAATATTTTTTCAATTAAGATACTGATTTTTAAACTTTTGTGAAAAGAGAACATAATAGAAAATTTTTATTAAATTATAATTATTATTTATTTATATTCTATATGCCGTGCATTAATTAATAATTTGATTTTTCAAAACTTAACCATACATTTACTTTAAAAAATTTTAGAAGGTAGAAAGATTTAAGAAGAAAAATGTAATAAAGTCAGGCTCTGTGTAAAAAGAATCGATGCAAAACGGAAACAATTTTCAGGTTGAGCGGATTGCAGAGGCGTCGGAGAGCACGCCCGCCGAGGTATTGTTGGCGGCGGCGTCAAGCGCCGTCCGCGAACACTACCGGAAGCAGGGGTGTGCGGCGCCGGCGGTGCCAGTGCAGCCGCTGGGCTCGTCTGGCGTTTTGCTGCTGCCCCCTCCCGCTGATGGCGAGGACTGCGTTGACTCGCTGTTCACCGTCAAGCAGCGCATCGCCGCCAACAGGCACCAACCCACCCTGCTGCTGGCCAGCGCCTGGCTCAGGAACAACCTAACCAGCATCCTCCCCTCACTCACTGTATGTTTAATTGTATTATATAAAATAATAATTTAATTATTATTTAAAAAAAAACTATCAGGTGCGACTGGTGCTGAACTGCGTGACGAGGAGGTATGCAACCATCGTAATGACATCGGCCCCTACCGTCCTGCGCTCAGGGCACGCCAACCTGTGGGGCTACACTGCTGACAGCGTCCTCCTCTGGAGACCCCCACAAGCAAATATCAGTGAGTGTTTTTCCTCATCAATTTCTTTTGTATAGTGAGAATGATATTTTTTTTAAACTTTTTCAAGAGTTCTCATCGATTTAATGTGAGGACAGTTGGGGAAAATCGCTGCTCCTAATTTTTATTTTTGTTGTACTACTGCTATAATTTTTTTTTTTTTTTTAGTGACCTTTGGCTTTTAACGTGGATTAATCTGTTCTTCTGATGATATGCGCTTATTATTTAAATCATTTATTTTAAATCACGTAAATCATTTAAGATTCTTTAGAAAAGGTAGAAATTTTAATATTAATTTAAAAAGAATTGAACAGAAAATATATTTTATTATGAAGTGAAGTGTATTTCAGATTTAAAAAAAATATAATTGAAATTATCTTTAGCGTGTAATTTAAAAAATCTAAATTCAGCTAAAAGCTATTTTTATTGACTTTAGTGAATCTCTAGTGAATCTTATAAAGGAATTCTTTCAAAGATCATTTAAAAAGCAAAAATATCAGAACAAAATGTCTCTGAAAAAAAAAGATGAAAAATACCTAGTTCCCTTTCTATATTCTGAATGATCAAAAGTAATAATAATTCAAAAGTAAACAATAATTATTTGAGTTAAGTTGGTGATTAACGTTCAAAAACCATGCCCTCCAAAACAATTCTGCAAAATATATTAGAGAAATCAGAATAAACTTTTATCAGAAACGGACAACAACAAAATTATTCAGTAACCTTCCAAAAGATCATTATTTAACTTTCAAATTTGTAATTACTTTTTGGAGTTTCAAAGAGGGATGAAAACCACAAAAAAAAGAAACTTCTGTTCCTTTTTGCTTTTGAACCAAAAAAATCTTGCTATAAATAATGTCAATTAAGAGCAGATTTCAAGATAATAAATCCAAGTTTTGAGCGGAGATTCTTTAATTAGAAGTGACGATTTGATCTGGGTGTGCGTGCGGGAGTCTGATATAAATGTGTGTGGGTGTATTAATAAATGAGTAAAATGAGAAATTTGGCGGACAGGTGTGTCGCTGTCGGTGGTGCGTCTGGGCGAGAGCGTGCGTCTGGCTGTGATGGCTGACCAGCAACTGTGGCCGCACCACGCCGCCCTACCGGCCGCCTTCCTCGCGCAACTCAAAGAAATGGCCTCCAGTCTGCAGGTGCGAAACCCTGCGCCCCGCAACTCGCCGCCCCCAGGACCCTCCACCATCCCCGCCCTTCTCAGACTCGAGGAGGAAACTCTCGTCGACTGAAAACCTGCAATTCATACAAAAACGAAACTTTCAAAGTGATATATTTTTACTTTCGTGTGCGGTTTTTGTACATAAAAAACATTAAGCCTCGGCGTGAAGGCTCAATTTGTTAATGATTATTATAATTTCATATTATTTTTTGAACTTTAAATGGGGAAGATGTTAAAACATAAAGGACTAAAAAAGAGCTGACTATAGAAGTTCCTATTTTATATTGTGTTTTGTACACCTAGTTTTTAATAAAACCACAAGCTATACATTTCATAAATATGATAATTTGATTGGACCTTCCTCGGCGAATCGTTTTAAAATTTAAATTATTGTCGGTTTCGGAGACAATTGAAATAATTAATTTTATTCTTACTTAGGAAGTTATGATCGGATTATTTAAAATTTAATTGTTTTTTTTTCTGTAAGGTGTAACAATGGTAAGCTACTGAGAAAAATTTTGCTTCCAAAAGAAAACGTAACATTCAAAAATTCAAAAAATAAAAAACCTTTGCTGAGAAGTATTAAAATTGATTTTGCAGTTGAGGTGCTGGCGAGAGTGAATTTCCTAACCTACCTCACGTGCTGCCGAAACCGTGATTCAGGGGGCGCATGCGTGACCCGCTTGAGGGGCTGCGGGGGGCGCAAGGGGCGAATGTGCCGCAGTCTGGCCGAGCAGTGAATCGGCGCCATCCGTCACCGCCGCGACCGCCAGCAGCAGTCCGTGAGTAAAAATAGCCGGCCTTGTCCTTGCCCTGTCACTCCAATTTTATTTTCCCTCCCGGGGGCGCCGCCAAAATTTCATAAATCCAAAATCGTTCCCGCATCCCAAAAACCCGAACTTTACTGTAGCTTGCGAATATGTTAATATTTTAGTGTATATTTATACTCTGAGTAGTGTCTCAAATTTTGAAACTGGGTCTCGGCTATTCATTTTTTTTCGTGCACTTGTGAATAGCGTACTTGTGTTTCCATTTTTATTTTGATATTGGCGCGCGCGCGTGCTGCCAACAGGGGCCATTTGGAGCGCGGCGGCGTTGACGTTTCTGCAAATTGGGCCAAGTATTATTTTGAACCCAACGTATGTACAGTGCATATACCGACGCAATCTCGCTCCATCTATACAAAGATGCAAATTCCTAGTGCAACTCTTTGTCAATTGCACACTTTTCCAAGGGTGCATGCAAAACTAATTGCTTGTACGCTAATTAGGACGAGTGCGTTAATTAACTGCATAGGTTGTGTTGTTTTCGCATCAACTACAAAAGCTCTCAACGCTACATTCCTAGGCTGAGCTCAATTATATCGGCTGTTTTTTCCTTCAGAAAATCATTTTTTGCGCTATAATGTCAATCACTTTTAACTTGTAACCACTCAAGAACCAAAGAAAAGACAATTTTAATTCTATACTCATGCACGGGAAGGGAAGAGTTCTTATGATAAAACACGAAAAAAAAATTTGAGATGCGCCTTAAATTATACAAAAATGAATAAATAATAAATAAACTAAAAAAAAAAAAAAAAATTAAAATGTTGAAAATATTAAAATAATATTACTTAATGTTATATCATAATAATACTATGATTATCATTGTTCATGAGCTTTTTTTGATTATCTGTCCACATTGTTAAAATTTCATTGTTTATTATTGAAGTAAAATATGTGTTTGAAGAAAATTGAATTGTTGGACAAAACAATTAACACTTTGCATTACATCATGAGAGTGTTAAAAGTGAGACGTTTTGAATTTGAGCCAAATTTAAAGATTAGATTAGAGGAATCTACCAAATTTTAACTTTTCTTATCTCTGATTAGAAGCTTGGTTTTGATTTTTGATCTTTATGTTGATTTGCATACTGCGGTTCTCATTATCGTATTTTGCAACCGTGTTTTTTCTTCTATTCACTCTTCACCTTGGCGGTACGTGTGCCAGTCAGAGTGTCCGCCCGTCCGTCAAACACGCGGAGATAAAAACTTGGCGAATCAATAATTGCAAGTGAGTGCGCGAGAAGTCAATAACTCTCTTCTCTTGCTTGGACTCGCGGCCGCACGTGTTCTTGCACACATGACACACTTTTTGTTGTGCTCTCTCACAACACACCATTGCATTCTTATGCAAGCGGCGCGAATCATACAAGTTGAGAGCAAAAGTGCCGCCGGCTCACAAAATAATGACAAGACTCTTCCGAGTGCCACCGAGACCATAACAGTATGTCTCTTTTTACGAACATGGGTTCAAAAATTAAGAAGTTGGTTGGAACAAAAAAATATCCTTATCAATTATTCCTACCACTTATGTCTTCAGCACACCCTTTCCTGATTTTTCTAACGATATTTACAATTATTACCCATAGTTAAGATAAAACTAATTGCTGCAGAGGAAATATAGCCTTATTCACTCTTTATCTGTTTTGCGAAATACAGGGTAATCCATGCTTATTCATATAAATGTAAAGTTAAAGAGTGTTAAAAAAACCGCCAAAGCTTTTTTACATAATGAGAGATAATGTAACAAATTTTGAGATCTCATCTTCCCTTTCTCTCTTGGCGCATAATTCAATGGATATACAATATTACTTTAATTTGCTTTAATTATTAGAACAAATGAATTGCTTGTAGTTGATTTGCAAATCATCACTTGGAACGCTCTGTATTGCAAATTTTATTGACTCCGTTTGAGCTTGAATAGACGAGAAGGTCTATGGGCCGTGGGGGCGCACGCATGCGAATATCTCGAGCAAACAAATTGCATCTCGCGCGAGGCGATGAGTGTATGCGCGACGATCGAATGCATTATTTTTTCTGTTTGCGCTCTCGTTGCAGCACAAATCGCACTCGCCACTCTGCACTGGACCGCGACGGTGCTCCTAACGTTTTTCAAAATGCGCCGCTCCAAGTATTCAAAGAATCAATTTTTAATTTTTTGTTAATATTGTTCGGACTCACTTGTTGATTGCAGGCACTGTGCTTACATGTACAGTTCGACGCCTGCCATTGTGGTCACCCCAAGCTGCAATGCCCCCCTGGTCGGCTGGAGCGCCCAGGACGCGGAGGGCGTGCTGGACCAACACACGCCAAACGACGACGACCAACACGCGGCCGCCGCCAAACACCTCCAAAGGTACACTAGCTATTCTAAAACCGATTTCTCTGCGTCGCTCCTGGTGAAAGTTTTAACTCGCGGGAGCAGTGGTCACTCACGCGCGCTGTTAAATAACACACGCACGCCTATGCGGCCACGTTTCTTATTGTGTACAAGCGTGAAAAAAATTCAACGTTAATTACGTTTTTACTCCAAAAACTTCAATGACTTTTGTTATCCGCTTTCCATTATTAGCCCTTCCATATCTCGGAACGCATACCTTTAATATTTTTCCATAAAAATATATTTCAATTTTTTTTTTTAATTGTGAGGCGCTTAAATTTCTGATTTATCAAACTCTATGATTTCATGAATTTGATCCAAATTTTCTCAACTTTAGAATTGAAAAAATTTTGATGTTCATTAATTAATATCAAGTATAATTTGTCTTCCTAGCAATGACCTTCACTTGACCGTGGAGTCAAGAAGAACGGTGAACGAAAGGGACGGACCCCCGGACGGTGGATGGGGGTGGGTGGTGGTGGGGTGTTCGTTGATGATCTCGCTGATCCAGGACGGAGTCAGCTACAGCTTCGGTCTCATTTACGTCGAGTTGCTCAATGAGTTCCACGCGAGCAAGAGCAAAACGTCGTGGGTCAACTCGCTCTTCCTGGCAGTGCCTCTGCTCGCGGGGCCCCTTGCTAGTCTCATGGTCGAGCGTTACGGCTGTCGCGCCATGACGATGCTCGGAGGCCTCCTCGGCGCCACTGGATTCGTCCTGAGCGCCCTCGTAGGTCTGCAGAAAAAATAAAACATTAAGTTGAGAAGATCTAATAAGTGTTTTTTCTAGGCTACTCAATAGAAATTCTGCTCCTAACTTTTGGCGTCATCACTGGACTGGGTCTGGCCCTTGGCTACGTGACGGCGGTGGTGGGAATCGCGTATTGGTTTGACAAAAGGTTGTCCCTGGCAAACGGACTGGGCGTGTGCGGCACTGGAATCGGCACCTTCCTCATGGCTCCCTTGACGCAGCTTCTCATCGAGCACTACGCCTGGAGAGGCACCACACTACTCCTAGGTTTCCAATTAGACCATGCTTTCTAATAAACACAGAATAACATGTCACCATTGCAGGTGGAGTCTTCCTGCAGATGTGCATTTGCGGAGCTCTGATGCGCGAGCCCGCCTATCTGATTTTGCAGAAGAGAAACAAGAGCCCGAAGAGCACTACTGTGGTACTAGAGACTGCCAAAGAACCTTGCAGGCGCAGTTTGTCACCTGCACCTCTACAGAAGCAGCTTCTGCAGCACAGGTATTGCCATTATATATCATTGACTTGCGATTTTACCAGAAATTTCAAAACAAATTCTGAAATAATAGTAAATTCACAGGCAAAATTAAGCCACTCAGAATTCCTATTTCATTTTTCCTTACATTAAAAAAAGAAATATTTCAATTTCAGACACTCTCTGACGTACCGAGGGGCTATGGTTTGCCTGCAACCGTGGACAGAGGAAGGTGTAGATGCAGACCGAGCGGCCTCGTGTCCTGACCTTCTTCTGCAGGTGCGAGGGTCCTCCCTGTCAGCAGGATGTGCAAAGAGGGCTGCCCCTAAGCGGCCTCACTACTGGCTGGACGCAGGTCTGTTCTTGGAGCCAGCCTTCCTCCTGCTCTCGGCGAGCACCCTGCTGCTGTTCATGTGCTTCATCGTGCCCTACCTGTTCCTGGCCGAGCACATGCTCAAGCACGGCTACACGCAGGCCCAGGCGGCCGCCCTTATCTCTGTCATCGGCGTGCCCAACACGCTGGCCATGGTGGTGCTCGGCTGGGCCGGCGACAAGCCTTGGCTCCCCGTCAGCCAAACCTACTCAGCCTGTCTCCTTGTGTGCGGCGTCTCGATTTTTGTCATGCCCCTGGTGGTGCACACATACGCAGGCCTGTTGACTGCTGTCATCTTCTTTGGCCTCTCATTTGCTGCCAACTACTCCTTCACGCCCGTCCTCCTCGTCCAGCTTGTCGAGATGGACCGCTTTTCCGCCGCCTACGGACTTATGCTGCTCGTTCAGGGTGCTGGAAACCTCCTCGGACCACCAATCGCAGGTCAGATGTTGATATGTATTTATTTGTAAATTGCTATATTTTTCTCACACATAGTAAAATTATCATCGATTTTGGCAAAATTCTTGTCACACATATGCTAAGCACAAAGCTTATTATCTAACCAGTTTTAATAGCAATTTAAGTAAAAATTTTACGAAAAAAAAAATTAAATTTATTAAATTTCCTTTAAAAAAATTCTACATATTTGATTACAGGGTGGATTTCGGACGTTACAGGCAGCTGGGACCTGGCCTTCTTCGCGGCGGGCGTTTTGACTGTGATATCGGGCGGCCTCACCTTTCTCATCCCCATGTACAAAAAACCACTGCCCGGCAGAGACACGCCGTTGCCTGAAGTGTGAAACGATTCAACAACTTATATGATTATATAAAACGCTCGCGCGCGCGAGAGAAATTGTTCTCTCAGAAAATTTATATACACCTGAAAAGACTGAGCTGTGATCGACTGCAGTGATACTAGAACTTACAAACCCATAGAAGTAGAAACCGAAAAAAAAACTCAGTATTTTTGCGCTCCTCTACACTTTTGTGTTGTTTTAACTCAATGTACGCAGCAAAATCGAAAGTGCAATTACTATTGTATTGTATATAGGTTTTGCTTTCATTATGTTTCTCTTCCTAATCGAAGCTTTAAATATATAACAATATAAAACTCGTTTTAGCAATTAAAAATAAAGAGAGATGCGAAGGTAATGTAAAAATCTATTTTTCTCTGACAAACACAAAATTGTCTTTGCCCCAGGCTGTGTTTTCAGATCCGTCCAGGGTCCTGTAGCCTTTGGACTTCATGAAGTCCTTCAGCACCTGCTTTCCTTCCAGAACTTTTGTAAACTCCACCGAGATAACCTTAATTTTTTCTTGTATTTGAAAACGTCATTTGCTTAATAATATTACTGTAATATCAAAGTATCCAAAGGGGATGGTCCTCAGGACGTCGAGTTCACTGCCCTCGAGATCGAGACTCAGGTAGTCAATTGTGGTTTTGTTGAGGGCCTTCAACAGGGTGAAAAAGGGCACGCACTGCACGTCGACGAGGCCCGGCCTGTGGGCGCCAGGTGCACCCTGAATGCGCCCCAAACTTAGTTTTTGCTCAAAAGAAACCTTAAAAAAAGTTGAAAAAATAAAAAAAAAAATATTAATAATAGTAATAAATAAATAAAAATGTAAATATTTCACCATGATGGGCTTTTGGAGAAAGCTGAGGCAGACGGGGGCGAGCCAGGCCTTTCTGTTCCTCGTGAGCAGATCGCGGAAGTTTAGAGGATCGGGCTCGACTAGAAGGCCGCTCCAGCCGTGAAATCTTTCCATCATCAGGGTGCTCGACATCACTTCGCCATCCAGCGCGCCCGCCTCCACAAAAAATCCTTTTGTCTGTTCTTTTCTGTTAGTTTGAATTAATTTAAATTTTAAAACAAAACCATATTTCCGAGGAGGCCGACAACGGTCAGGGCAAGACCTTTGGAAGGGTCGGTCACATTGGGCCGGTCCAGTGAGAGATCTAATTGCAAGTCAGTTGGAGGAACCAAAATTCGTTTTCTGGCATGGTCTATCAATTCTTCATCGTCTTCGTCCAGTTCACTCAAATACGCAGCTAGTTTTTAATTAAAAAAAATTGACGAAATAAAACCAGAAACTCACTCTCCTTGGGGAAATATGTATACCATTTGGCCACCTCTAGGGATTAAAATTGAACAGTTTGAACTTGGTAAAATTTGGAGCCAACCTGGGGGCACGTTAGCCGCAATGTAGGCCATAGCCTGCTGGAAAACCAAGTTTCTGGCGTCACTCTCTAAACTGGCTATTGAATTCCGCAGGTGCAACGCGTGCCATACGCAAAAGAGACCAAACGCCACGCTGCTGAAAATAATTTTCCGCGACGATGACCCCGGCGGTCTTTTGAAAAAAAAATATTTTAAGTGTCTATAAAATTGGGACCAAAAATAATTCGGAGTAATATAAATACCCGCACTCGTCAGCCAAGTTGTTCATGATCATTTTGATTCGTGATTAAAAATGGCCCGTTGTTCTACATCGGAATGAAACAGGAAATAGCGAAAGTGGGGCACCGCCGATCCTTTTCCCCCAGATAATTTTTCAGTAAAATTTTCAAATTTCCGTACAGTAAACTTGAATATTTATTAAATTGATTGTATTTTTACACAAAAAGAAAAAGAGTATTTTTGTTGCAAATATAATTTGGCAGCGGTTTTCACAATCTAGGCAAGCCACTCTCCTCCTTGACAAATAGGTAGTCCTCTGCCGCCCAAAGGTCGACGGTGGAGTTGGTCTTGAAAAGGACGTAGCCCTGCTTCTCTACAAACTCGCGCAGCGTCTCTTTCCTTGTACGGCTGTGTGCAAATTTCACAGAAATCGCCTAAGAAAAATTTCATAATTAAAGAAGGATTTGCAACTTTTAGAATATTAAATTTCCTGATTTGGTCTTTGCAAAACTTTTGATACATCAGAACTAGCTAAAAAAATTATTTCTGGAAAGAAATGATGGATTTATAGAATTGAAAATGTTAAAAAGCTACAGTTAATTGTTTTGATTTCTTTCCCATAAAACTTTAATGAGTAACGAAAAGATAAAGATCAACCAGGATTTCCAATTTTTAATGTATTATTATTTTATTACAGCAATGAAGGTGGAGTCAAAGGTGATGGACTGGAGGACGCCGAGTTCGTCGCCGTTGAGATCGAGGCGCAGCAGGTCAATGACCGTCCTATTTGCGGCACTCAGTAAGGCCATCAAGGGTAAGCAGTGTACGTCAACGCTGGCTTGCCCCCTTTTCACGCCGCTCACCGCAATCTTCGTCTTTGATTTTAAAATAAATTATTTATAATGAAAATAAAATTTATTATGTACTAATAGAGGTTGGGAGTTTTGGCTGAGGCAGGTGGGCGCGAGCCAACTCTTGCGGTTGGTGGCCAGCAGCTTCTGGAAGTTTGAGGGGTCAGGCTCGATCAGCAGCCCTTCCCACCTTTTCTCTTTTTCCAACTCCAGGGTTACAGACGCGTCCTCGCCGTCCAAAGCCCTGCTTTCCACAAAATACCCGCGACTCTTTTTTTTTCAAGATCAATTTATTTTTATATTAAAAAAATACAAATTTTGTACCTTGTTTTGAAAAACCTTCAACAGGGTTTTGACCAGGGTCGAGTTGGAAGGTTTGCCCTGGCGATGAAGGGTGTAGGGCACGTTTGGCTCAGGAGGCGCCACCAACACCCTTTTCCGTATGTGCGCAATCAAACTATCGTCATTTTGCTCCAAATCGTTCAAAATTTCCACTGCAATACATTATTACAGTCAAAATTCATCTTTAATATCAGCTAAAAAAAAAAACAACCTTCCTCAGGTAAATAGGAATACCACTGCCTGACCTCTGAGATGAAAATTTTATTGTTATAAATTATAAAAAAAATATATATATATATATTTTAGTAAATTACGCTGCGGGAGATTTGATGTGAGATATGTCATCACCTGAAACTGGGCAGCCTTTAGGACGCGGTCCTTGGCGTCGCTCAGGTCGTTTTCGAGCACCGTCAGTTGGTAGACGGAGAAACCGGCCAGGGCGCAGCAACTCGCCAGCAGCCACTTGTCACATCGCACTCTTTGCGAATTAAATTAATTGAGGAAAAGAAGTGGAAAATAAATGTAGGCAAATAGAAACTAATTTTGCGTGATTTATTTTTTATCTAAATTTTTTACTTTTGAATTACAGAAAACGCTATAAAAAGTGAAAATTGGCAAAATATGTAATTTAAATTGGGGTAAAACGCTCTTTGTGATGTTAAGGAACCATCCTCGATAAATTTGTGAATTAATTCACAAAAATAAAAAAGATCAGAGAAATACCTGGGTTTATTCATCCTGTGCAGTCGGCACAGCAGCATTGCGGCCTAGAATTTTTAATACACGCCTGACTGGGGGACTGTTTGAGAGCAGAGCTGGTTGAAGCTTCCGGTGCGTGCATCAACGTCACAAATTTGGCAAATGAAAAAAGTCATATTGAGGAAGATACCATTTCAATTTCAAATTATGTTCAACTGTGTCAGAAAATAATTTGTTGTATTGAGATTATTGCATGCAAAAAATGCGGTTCAGCAATTTTAGGGAAATATACAAAACATTAACTATTATAAATCACGAGACTCATGTTCATATAAATAAAATAACAAGGATTCATGCTTGTGTGTGAATAAATGGTCAAATTTAATGGGAGCAGCGGTTTCAGTCACGTTTGGGCGATAACCTCGCCGATGACCCGGCGCGCCGTAAATCCTTTTCTTCCACTGCAGCACTCTCGCAGTTTTGACAAAATCTTTGAATGAGTACGTCCTGCTGGTACAGCAGCGAGAGATGAAAAACACGAAAGTCCTTCTCCTGGCCATCCTGTGTCTCTCCCAAAACGCCACTTCCACTGAAAATAAGGAACTGAAGCCTGATAAAAGGTAACACAATATCTGAGTATGAATTTAAAAAAATAAAAACCTTGATGAAAATACATCAAAAATGGTTAAAAGGGAGAAATTGCAAGGAAGTTGGAATTTATTTAAAAGGAAATAAATAATGTAGGAAATTTGCCGGTTTTTAAATAAATTTGAAAGAAAATGTTACTTTTGCACTGAATTAATCCGCAATCTTGTCCACGTTTGCTTTAAGAAAAGAATTAATAATAAAAAAAAGTATTATTTAAGAGGTCAGAAAACTATAATATTCAAAGCAATTGAAGATTTAGAAATGACTTGCATCTACATAAAAGTTAATAATTAATTCATTTTATTTTTAATGAATAAAATATTAAAATATAACAAAATGATAATTAAAACTTAATCTAATTGTAATAAGTAAGAGCAACAGAGAGGATGTCTCAAAAAGTGTTTTTTTTTTTTTTAATTTGTCCAGTTAAAAAAATCCTTTGACATCATTAATTAAAAATGAAAATGGTTGAACAGGTTTGTGGATGGGGGGTGGAACGAGGTGGTGCGGAAGGGCTCGGCGGCGGCGACTCGCGTGGAGGCGCAGGGCGCCATTCTAAGGGAGAAGGTGCAGCGGCTTCTGGGCAGCGGAGGGCCCGTGGACGTCGTCTTCCTGATAGACGCCTCGTCCAGCGTCGGTCCAGACAACTTTGGTGGCGAACTCAGGCTGGTGCGCAAGGTGCTGGCCGGGTTGCAGGTGTCGGCGCACCGCACGAGGGTGGCCGTTGTCTCGTTTGCCGACGACGCCGTCACCCACGTCGACACGATCGGCGAACCGCCGCCTGCCTTTGCTCGCAACTTCCGCCACAAGTGCTTCCTCCTTGAGAACGCACTACCCTCGGTCAGGTACAAGGGTGGTGCCACCTTCACCCTTGGAGCGCTCAACGAGGCGCAGGTTAGACTAAACTTTTTTCGAAACTGAAAAAAAAAATATGAAAAGAAGCTAAAATCATTTTTTATAACCTGCAAATAGTTTTATTTAAAAAAATTTGACTCTGCATGAATACTGAAATAGAAATTGCTGACAAATCTTTACCTTTTTAGTCAATAAGAAGGTAAATTCAAGTTGTTTTGAAATACTTTATTGTTATTAGTTCATTTAAATGCTAATAATAAAAAATTTATACCAGGTATTATAGGAGCAAATTTAATTATTCATGGATTAAAGGCCTTCCTATCAAACTGATGAGTAAAATTAAAGCAATCATCAATCAATTTAATTTCAAAGAGTATCAATTACCTTTTATTTAGATTATTTAAAACACAAGAACAATAGTGAAATGGAAAAATTTTAACCAATTTACACTGATTTTATATTATTTATTTATTTTTAAACACCCATTCTAAAAATGACAGTAGCTAAGTCAACTGGAAAAATAAACAATATATAGGAATTACTCAGTTATATATTGTTTGAAAGCATGAGTGATTAAATTAAGGTTGAAATTTTACCAACGATTTCAAGTCCTTAAATATATACAGTATTATTATAATTATTTTGGCAGCGCATCTTACGGAGGTCTCGCGAGGGCACTTCGAGAGCGGTTTTCTTGTTGACCGACGGATACTCGAACGGTGGAGACCCTCGAGGGGCGGCCCAGGTCATCAGGGAGGAGTTGAGCGCTGAGATTTTCACGTTTGGCGTTCGGAATGGCAACACTCAGGAGCTGTTGGAGATGGCTTCGTCGCCCAATCACACCTTTGTCCTCTCCAGCTTTGAGCAGTTCGCCGCCCTCGCCAGACGTGCTTTCCACAGAGGTATTTTTATCATATAGGTTCTTTAATAAGAATATAAAGCGTGGTTCGTTGTTTTAAGGGCCATTATATAAAAAAATTCAAAAAATTGAATTTAAAAACTGTTGACTTGAACTTAAAAGATAATCTCGGGTAAATTTATTTAATACCAGCACGTCAAAGTTGAAAAAAATTTTATAAACGAAATTAAGGCAAAAATTGCATTTGAAACCAGGTGACTTTTTGGCAAATTTTGTGTCGTTGTAGAATTAATCAAACATCTTCCTTGCTTTAAAATTGAGTAATAATAATTACTGATTAATACCTGGGGGATTTTAATATCATAATATATTTTCTATAATTTAAATAAAAATTTCCTACCTTTCAGAATTATGAATGTTTTAAAGTGTATCGATTTGTGAAATAATTTTATTAGATTTGAAAGCGGAGGACGCTTTTGAGGTGCAGGACGACCCGAGTTGCTCAGCCCTGTGTGATGGGTCGTCCTGCTGTGACCAGAGCGCCGTCTGCACGTGCAACATCGCCACCGGAAGGTCCACTTGTCTTTGTCCACCGGGACACTTCGGATCTGGGCGTCCAGGAGATTGTCACAGTAAAAAATGGGAAAATAACTTAATCTTCCATAAATTTAAATGCTAATATTTTGTAGGATGTCCTTCCGGCACTTTTGGCGCGGAGGAAGTTTTGCAACCTGGGGGCGTGCTGGTGTCCCTTAGGTGCTCACCCTGTCCCGATCCGAACCAGGAGACAGAAGAGGGCGCCACAAGTGTCCACGAGTGCAAGTGCAAAAACGGGTTCACTTCAACCACAGATTCACTGCAGTGCCAAGGTTTTTATTAATTAATGTTTATTTTCTTTTTATATTATGTAAAAAATATTTATAGCAAAAAAACAATTACGTAAAATATTTTTTAATATTATATTAAAAATTATATTTTAATATATGTTATTTATTTATTGTTTTATATTAATTTGTGTTTTATTTATTATTATTTTTTATTTTGTTTCCGTTTTTTTATTTATTATTCTTTAATTCTTTTACCTAATTTTAAATTTAAATATGGCCATACACTCAGAGATATACAACCAAAGTAATGGAATTGAAAGAAAATTGTCTTATTCTGTCCTAATTTCTTTGCTTTGGAAATTTATAGCAAAATCGCAGCCCGATCCAATGACAATTAATTTATGCAATTTCTTTTATTATTTCCTGCTTTACCTATTATTTTGTCATAAATTTCTCCCCAATATATTAATTCCCGATTTCCCGATAAAAAAAAAAAAAAAAAAAAAAACAGAGGAGCGTTTCCGAGTGAATTTAAAGGGCGATTGGACGATTTTGGACTAGGCAGAACCTGTGTATGATTTTTATACATGTTTGAGAGGGTGCCCAGGGGTGTCCACACACAAATTTTCAGACCTCTAAAAAGGGGCGTTACCCAAAATTTCGGGACGTGAAAAATGGGCAAAAATTATTTTGGATTTGCTATAACTTTGGAACGGATAAAGTTATATTGACGTTCTTGCCGGATCCTGACGTAACTTTTTACGCTGAACAACTTTGCTGTTGACATCAAAGTTGTAGTGTTAAGGGAAATGTCACTTTTAGGTGACCTCTGACCAAAATGTCAAATTTTGACAGGGAACGCCCCCTTCGATTTTTTTCCAGGTATAGGAAAAAATGTAGCCCATGAAATTTTACATCACATATGTCAAAATTAGAACAAGGTTATTTTTAGTTTTCGAGTAATTAATCGTTAAATAAGAAAAAACGAGTCCGAGGAGGGTCGAAAATTTTGAGGTTATTTCAAAAATCGAAGGAAACTTAAAAAAATCGTGTCCTGTATGTTGCTTTTGCCTTAATTGAATATTTCTGATACAATGGAACATTGCTGACTTGATTTAGTTATGTTTCTGTTAATTCTTTAATTTACCTCAAAATTTTCGACCCTCCTCGGACTCGTTTTTTCTTATTTAACGATTAATTACTCGAAAACTAAAAATAACCTTGTTCTAATTTTGACATATGTGATGTAAAATTTCATGGGCTACATTTTTTCCTATACCTGGAAAAAAATCGAAGGGGGCGTTCCCTGTCAAAATTTGACATTTTGGTCAGAGGTCACCTAAAAGTGACATTTCCCTTAACACTACAACTTTGATGTCAACAGCAAAGTTGTTCAGCGTAAAAAGTTACGTCAGGATCCGGCAAGAACGTCAATATAACTTTATCCGTTCCAAAGTTATAGCAAATCCAAAATAATTTTTGCCCATTTTTCACGTCCCGAAATTTTGGGTAACGCCCCTTTTTAGAGGTCTGAAAATTTGTGTGTGGACACCCCTGGGCACCCTCTCAAACATGTATAAAAATCATACACAGGTTCTGCCTAGTCCAAAATCGTCCAATCGCCCTTTAAATTCACTCGGAAACGCTCAGAGCTAAATTAATCTATATTTTAAGTTTCAATTTTTAAATTTTTTAAAAGTTTCTGAGTGTCCGGAGCTGCGGGCGCCCAAGTTTGGCAAGTTGGTGCGTTCGACGTGTCCGCGCGTGTTTAACGCTGCGTGCGGCGTGACGTGCGAGACGGGCCGGCAGCTGGTGGGTTCAAGCATTCGGCTGTGCACGTCCAACGGCACGTGGTCGGGCGTCCCGGCCGCTTGTCGCAAGAAGAAGTGTCCAGAGTTGCGTGCGCCGTCCGATGGCTGGATCCGCTGCAACGGCCCTGCCGAGGTTGACGCCCGCTGCGAGCTCGGCTGCCGCGACACTTTCACCCTGCTCGGCTCCACCTTCAGAAACTGCCTTGCCATTGGCATGTGGGACGGACTGCCCACTACCTGCAGAGGTACGAACACTACAAACATCAATATTTTTTTACACAAAAAGTCTTAAATCGAATGAAATTTTTTGAGTGAATTTAATTTTGAATCAAAGTTTGGAGGAGAATAGTTTTAAAACAATCGCACACGAAAATGTGATTTTTAAAAAAACAAAATTTTTAGTATTATACATTTTGCATAATTCATGAGGAACTCGCTAAGAGGGAAATTTTAAATTATAAAAAAGAACACTTCTAACTTTTCGATCTCCACCTTAACCCCAAAACAATTGTGCGATGAAATTTCAAAACCACATAACATTAGCTATGATTAGCTATGCAATTAATATTTAATATTTAATTTTTAATCAACCTTCAGAGGTCAAGTGTCCAGCGATCGAGTTGCCAAAGAGCGTGAGCATCAGTCCTAGCAACTGCTCACAGGAGAAGCAGAAAATTGGGCAGGTGTGCCGACTGTCGTGCACGCAGCCAGGGTACCAGCTGAGGGGCGCCTCCAAGAGGAAATGTGGAGAGTTTGGGCGCTGGAGCGGCTCCAGAATCAGATGTGTCGGTACGTTTTAAATTAGTTTAAAAATAAATAACTAATCTGACCTTATCCGAAGACGTGGAGCCACCAAAAATCGATTGTCCAAAGGACAAGTTTGAGTTCCACACAGACCCTGACGCTGACTTCGCCACTGTCGCCCTTTCCCTGCCCGAGATTGAAGGTGAAATTTCTCAAATTATTTCAAAATATAAAGGTCCCGGCAGAAATTTTGTTTATTCATAATTTTTAAGATAAACAAAATTAGATATATAGGGTTTAAATAGGGGTTAATTTAACTTTTTCTGTTCCAAAAACATGCCATAAATGTTTGGTGAAATTAGTTCCCAATGCTGCAGAGGACCTTTATTTTGACAGAATTTAATGTTTCGCAGACAACTCGAACGACAGGGTGCGGATCCACATAACGCCGACGGTGCACCTGCACAGCGGCCAAATTCCTCTGGGCGTCACCAGCATCGCCATCCAGGCTACCGATCTGGCCGGCAACTTTGCTACCTGCGCCTTCAACATCTCCGTCATTGGTAATCGATTTTTTAAAGAAATAAAAAATAAAAATTGTTTTTGTCTAAAAACCATAGACAAGCAGCCGCCGCGTGTGGAGAGCTGCGAATCGCCTTCGCCGTTCCTGGTGCCCTCGCACATCCACGCCGTTGACATCACGTGGGTGGCTCCCTCCTTCACCGACAACTCAGGTCTCGATCTCAAGGTATTTGAAGTCAAGTTGAGCAGGTTGCATACCTCGATACTTGCAGGCGTTCAACTTCATAATCTTATAAATCGTATTCTTTATTCTTTTTAAGGAAAAACAACGAAATTATAGATTTATTGTAATTTTCTCTTAAGGTTTTCGCGAGTCACGAAAGTGGGTCTTTGTTCACCCCAGGGGTGCACAACGTCAATTACGTCGCCTATGACAGCTCTGGTAATAACGCCTCTTGCGACATGACCATCATTGTCCAGAGTAAGAAACATTACAAAGAAATTACCATTGTTTTTGGTATCTATAAAGTTATTAGATTTTCAAGATTTTATTTGCAAAATGTATGCAATTTAGTGTTAAAAATGTAAGTTAAGTTTTTATTTCCAATTAAGTACTTTTTTTTACAATTTGGGCATTATAAATTTCAACCAAAATTGAAATTATTTTCCTCAAATTTGCATGATTTCTAATTAATGGAAAATTTGCTGAATAGTTATTGAAAATTCTTTAAATTATGCAGTGTAAATGACATTTAAAGTTTAAAAAATTACAGTTAAAAGTTTCTTATTTTATTGTATTTTTTGTCCAAAGAGACAGAATGCGAGGGTCCGTTGAACGGCGATAAAGTGTGCAACGGCTCGGTGTGCACGCTGTCTTGCGACGAGGGCTACGACATCGCCTTTTCCACCAACGACTTTTGTCAGAGCCTTACCAACGGCTCCTACCCGGACTGCACAAGTAAACACATTATTCGACTTTTATTAAAGAAATAAATAAAATATTTCCCGAGTCCAGTAATTGATCTGCCAGACAGCATTGAGCAAGACTTTGGCATTGATTCGGAGGAGGGCGAGTGTGATGAAGAGCAATCAAACGATCTCAACGACCTTGTAAATTGGCAAATTCATAAAGTAGAAAGATGATTAAAATGAAGGGAGGTTCTTTGACACGATCAAAATTCTACATTTGAGATGGAAAAAAATTATTGTTTTTTTTTAATTAAAAAAGAAGTCATTATTTAAAAGAAATCTTAAGAATATCATCAATTTTAATTAAAAAAATTATAATTTAAAATTAAAAAGAATACAGAAAAGCTCTTACAGGTAGTGAACAATTATAATTTTTTTTTTAGTTTCCGTTTTCCCATTATGTAAAAATGAGATATTGCAGTTTAATTAAAAGATTTTTAGTTGGCGGGGGCGGTTCGAATGGCGTGCGATGACGAGTTTTACTGCCATCTTGAGAAGGTGTCGAAGTGCACGGATGCAGAGACGGACATTAAGGACATAGAGGAGCAAGAGTCCAACGCCATCTCACTCAGGGTCCGCCGACAAACCACCAAGCCGACCAGAGTAGTGCGAAATTTATTTATTTTTTCACAAATAACTAAATGCTTTCAGAGCAAGGGCAGAAAGGGTTCTCAGGAGTTCACCATTTCGGGAAATCACTCGTACGAGTTCAGAATTAAGATCATTGGTGCGTACAAATTGAAGATAGAAGATGATTTTGATTTTTATTCTCCGATAAAGGAAAAGTAAAAGTGGCTTCGAAAGGTCTGAGGGCCGCCCTGGGGACGGTCAGGGCCGTGCTGACCTCGGGGTCAGTGACCACCAGTCAGCGACTGCCCGCTTTGGAGCTCAAGTTCTCTGAGGCTCGACTCGGCTGTCCAGCCGGAAGCGTCCTCCGCCTTAACGATCTTTGCGGTACGAGTTTTTCTTTTGGCGATGTATTTAATTTCAAAATACATTCAAGTTTTTTTTCCATTAACTAAAATTTTACCAACTTTTAAATGATTATGAAATGAGAAGTCAAGTAATATTTCCAAATCAAATAAATGATGTAATTTTCAAACCAACAAGTTCAATGCCCTCGAGGGACTTTCCTTCCCGCTGGTCACAGAGAGTGCGTCGTTTGTCCCGCTGGGAATTTCCAGCCGCGACCTGGACAGCAAAAGTGTGAGTCGTGTCCCCGAGGCACCAGCACCGCTCCCTCCATCCTCCCAACCAAGAAGCAACACTGCATTGGTTTGGAAAAATTTTTATATGATATTTTACTACTATCAAATTATTTAAGACGTTTGTCCGGCGGGTTTGTGGTCAAGAAACGGGTTAGCGCCGTGCTCGAGGTGTCCCATAGGCTCCTACCAGACGCAACCAGGTCAGCAGGGGTGCATCCCGTGTCCTGAAGGATATTCCACCGCCCACAAAGGCGCCACCTCGCCGAACTCCTGCAAAGGTCAATATATTTTTAACTTGAAGAGCTTTAACGGTAATTCCGGCAATTCCTGCATTCGAACAAATTTGCTGAAGAATCAGGACCAAATTCTTTTGAAATCTAAATGCGATCAGCTGGAAAAGTTGAATCACCATAATTCAACGTATTTTTTTTCTTTTCAGATTTAGAAAAAAAAATGTAAAATATGTGCTTTCATTTAATTCATTATTCAATAATTAATATTCTTTTTAACGCATCAAATCTGCTGGTTTATAAAAAGCAGGCCTTTGTTCCGAAAACTGGATTTCGCGGAACGGACTGGAGCCATGCACCGCGTGTCCTGAGGGTTTCAAGCAAACGCTGCGAGGCCAACGAGTGTGCGAACACGAGTCGTGCGCCGGCAACGGCGGCCGCTGTCTCTTACCTCCTCTCTATGCGACGCACCCTTGTGTACGGCAAAGGCCTTGTGGCCGAACGGCTGCCTGCGTGCCCGCCTCGACCACAGCCCACTCCTACCTCTGCATCTGTCCCGACGGATGGACAGGTACAAATAAAATTAGTAATTACACATCACTATTAAAATATATGCAAAAACTATAAAATTTTTATTTTTTACAGTATATTAAATAGAAATTTTCATATAATTTTATTTCAGATCAGATATTGAAATAATAAAATATATTAATATTGCATGAACAGATGCAATTATAAAAAAAAATAATAATAATAATTTCATGTTTCTCACATTAATGTAACTTTTTTAATTGATAATTTTATTTAAAATTTATATCTATAAAAATTTATTTATAATTATTATATGTTTTTGTTAACTGTTTTTATTATTAATAGATCTATTGCGAATGGTCATGCAATAAATTTAAAAAATATCACAATAAAAATTTTTTTTTATTACATTATCATTTTAAAACGCTTTAAATAAATTAACTGAAGTGCATTTTATAAATTAAGTAGAGGCGCCACAAACGTTTGTACACTGTTATGTAATTGTTGCAGGTGACTTTTGTGAGGAGTTAGACGAAGATCCTTGCCTTAGCGAACCGTGCGCTAATGGAGCCACGTGTTTGAGGTCAAGGGACAAGTTCATCTGTCACTGCCCATCCGGTTTCTCTGGAGACTTCTGTGAGGTTTCTTTATTTTAATAATTAATATTGGGGAGGGTTGTGTTGGTAAGGCCATCAGGCAAGGTTCATATTACATCAAGTCTAAAATCTAAAATGCGCTGAAGCATTTGAAATATTATATTATATAATTAACGCTGCTAAATTTATTTATTTTTCTTTATGAATGAGTTAAAAATTTAGGTAATTCCAAGTTATTTTGAGCAATGTATTAATAATTGACAGCAATAATATGTATTCAATGGTGCTTAAATTATTATATTTTAATTAAACATTAGATAAAAAGCGTTACACAATGTTATTGTTAAATTAAAGAGCAGTATTAATTTTTTATTAAATATTTAATTAATGTAAAATTAATTTTTCAACATATTTTGCTCTATGTGGAAACAAAAACGTTTGCCGTGGAACAAAAAATCTCAGTTTCTATGAATTAATTTTGATTTAGAGGCAAACATTTTAATGAAAATTCTTAAAATTAGGAGGATGTGAACGAGTGCGAATCAAATCCCTGCGAGAACCTGGGCGCGTGCGTTGACCTGGCAGGGTCTTTCCGGTGCGAGTGCGTGCCAGGGTACGGCGGTGAAAGGTGTGAGCGCCTCGAGTCTGCTTGTCAGGCCCTGCAGCCGTGCCCTGCGGACGCCACCTGCCAGGATGAAGGTCCTGACTTCAGGTGTCACTGCCCCAGAGGACGCGACGGCAACCGCTGCCTGCAGGTCGTCGATCCTTGCGAGAAGCTGCTGTGCAAAAACGGCGGCACCTGTCTGCCCGAACCTACAACCGAAACGGGAGTGTCCCTGCGCGCCAGGTGATTTTAAATTTTTCCAAAAATTTAATTTTCTCCTATGAAAGCATCAAGAAAGTTTATATTTTATCAGATCTTGCGACTTGGAGTATTAAAAAAGAACAGCAATTCCATTTTTTTTAATAGGATTGATGGAGAGGATAAATTTTATTATTATTTTCTTCTAAATTTTCAGTTTCTATAATAGCGGCAGCTGAACTTTGAAAAATATATCAATATTTAGCTTTTTTTACTCTGGCAAATTAAGAGATTCAAGCTGACTAGTTGTTGTATAATAACATTAAATATGAAAATCATTCAGTTGTGCGTGCCGAGAGCCATTCTTTGGCGAAACATGTGAAAAGGGTCGCGGCGCTTGCAGAAACCTGCCATGCAAAAACGGCGGCGTTTGTAGCCTTGTGCATGCCACCCCTGGCTACAGATGCGAATGCCCCAAAAACTTCGCAGGAGACAATTGCTCAGTCGGTGAGAAATTCTTAAAAATTTCAACAAGAAATATTTTATTAAAATAAAATTCGCACAGCCCTATTGGACGACGGCGTGCTGCAGTTTCAGAACGCGGGCAATTTGCGCGACTACGTCTTGAAGGAGAACGCCATCAACGTCTCCCTGACTGAGGTTAAAAAATTTGATTCTTTACAACAAGTCTTTTCAAACTTCTGTAATTTTTTTACTAATCTGTTACAGTGTCAAATTTGTTGTAGAAAATTATTGTTGAACTGACGTAGATAAAAGACTTAAAACTTACCCAAGTTTGGAAGCCCACCTTTTCTGAATCCGGCCATTTTTTTCATAGTTCAAAAATAATAATTAATTCAAAACAATTATTTATATCGTTACAAAACGCATCTAGATTATGGCTCTCTATTAGGATTCTTCAAAAAAAAAAAAAAAAATCTTTCTAAATTTTACATTTTTTTTATTATAGTTCACTCTGTGCTCGTGGTTGAGAACTAGAGACACGATCAACTACGGGACGCCCCTTTCATATGCTACGCACGTCCAGGATAACACCCTGGCGCTCACCGACTACTCAGGGTCTCAAATTTAAATAAATCCAATTTTTAATATTCCTTAATAATTTTAAACAAAAAGATTTGTGGTTTACATCAATGGAGAGCGGGTGGTGACCGACGTGTCTGCAAACGACGGCATGTGGCACTTGGTTTGTCTTCTTTGGAGTTCGCAGAACGGCTCGTGGTCCCTTTACAAGGACGGCGTCCAGGCTGAAGGCGGCCACGGTTTGGCAACCAGCACCTCCATTCCAGGTAAGCAGTATGCACATTGAAATAGGAAAAAATAATTATAATGAATTATTTATAGTTTTCCACATTTAGAAATATGTAAGAAAAAATATATATTATTTATGAATGAATATATTTTTGGTTGGAGAATTTTTTTATTTTTTTCTCATTTCATTTATTTCAATTAATATGATTAAGGTGGAGGAACGTTGGTGCTGGGCCAGGAACAGGACACACCTGGGGGCAGTTTCAACTCGGAGCAGAGTTTCCTGGGACGCTTGGGGCCGACGGCTATGTGGCCGACGCTGCTTTCTAAAGCGCAGTTGGCAGCAATTTTCAACGACTGTAGCTCGACAATAGGCGCCGCGACCGACTCGCAGTTGCGCGACTTCAGCGTCAATGCACCTGCCCTTTGGTCCTGGCGAGAAACCCTGGCCGGAATCAAAGGAAACCTTCAGGTTTGTTCCAAAGAGGAAGTAATTTATAAGATATTAACAACTAGCTTTGAATATTTTGAGTAAATCGAAGATATTGAGGTGGAAAAAAAAATTAAAAATTAAAAGCAATTTTTTGCAGTAAAAAAAGCCAACCACCATGTATATGATTGACAATAAAAGCCTGACGCATTAAATAAGTCTCATTTGAAAAGCAAAAGATAAAAACTTTGGAAACTACAAAATTTGATAATTTGGGCCTAAAAAAATCAATTATGTCACTTACGTCTTTTATAAAAGATTTTAAATCGAGCGTAAATTCACCTATTATATTATAAAATTTAAAAAAGTTGCTTTGCAATTCAAGTATAAAGAATTGTAAGAAAAATTGTCTGACTGAAGAGGAAAATTTTGGCCAAAAATAAAATGCGATACAAAGTTAAATTAATTTTTTAAATTTATAGTAATAATGTTGAAAGCTTCTATTTAGTTCAATCGAGATGAATTTATTTCTATTTAAAACTCTTTAAATTTTTAGTTGGAGCCTCCTGCGTTTTGTTCTGGCTGTCCCGAGCTGCCGACTTTGGCAAATGGCCGCGTTTCGACCAACGGAAGCCACGCAAGCGTCGTCGCCACCTTCACCTGCGACCTGGGTTTCAGACTGAGCGGCGCTAGATCAGCGGTTTGCACCAAACGGGGCACCTGGCAACTCATTCAGGGCCATGCACCCTCCTGCTTCAGTCTGAATCCAGTTTAAAAAATTCACTACTTTTTTAATACCATTTTTGCAATCCAGGGATCAACTGCGGGACGCCGGAACCGCTGGAGAATGGACTTGTGTTGGGTGACAGCTACGACTTCGGGGCCGTGCTGCTGTATGAGTGTTTCCCAGGGTATGAAATGATGGAGGGGGACGAGCGGCGCGAGTGTCAGGACACGGGAAGGTGGAGCGGACGACAGCCCTTCTGCACAGGTAGCGGAAACAAAAAGGGCTTTTCCTAAATTTCTTTTAAAGACATGAGTTTAGATTTATTTTTGAAGTTTTTAGTATTTTATGATTTTTTCAATCAATTTCAATCATCAACCAATTTTGATTTAGTAAATTAGCGAATTACCGGTAATTAGTATAATTTAATATAAATGCAGGATTTTCAAAATATTCTAATTGATAGCTGTTAATTTGATTGTTTAAATGAATTAAAAAAAAAAATGCTAGGATGAAAGAAGGGAACCGTAAAAAACAAGATTATTCACATGAAAAATAAAAATCTCATTTTTTTAAAGAGATAAAATGCAAGCTGCCTGTAGTGGTGCACGGCCGGCTGCACCACTTTGGCTCTTCTGAGGACTTGGGCGTCGACCAGAAGACTGCCCTGGCAGGAGAGCAGATTGAAGTTTGCATAATTTTACTGATTTTAAAACCACAATTTGATATTTTTGAAAAAAAAGGTGGTGTGCGAGGGTGAACGCAGTTTGCAAGGCGAGGCTCTGCTGACGTGTCTGGAGTCGGGCGAGTGGGACTACAGGGCACCCACTTGTTTTTCGATATGCGACTCGTCGCCGGGGGAAATCGCTAACTCAAAGCCGGTGCTGGTGCTGGGCGCCAAGGCCCGCTTCCAGTGCCTCCCTGGCTACACCATCGTTGGCAACCCCCTAGTAACTAGATCTGCAAAATTCTACAATATTTTTGCAACGCAATACTCTATGACTTAGAAAAATACTATATTAGCATTTAAAAGTATAATTACTCAAGTCAAAACTTCACAAACAATTAATATTTTTACGGTTCCTCTCTATTTTATATTGTTATTATTATTATCAATAATTAAAATAGTTGGATTTACTTCATATTATTTTATAAAACATTCAAATTTAACTGCAGAATTATATAAAACTTACAAAATTTCCGATAAAAATTAAATAACTTAATATTAATTCAATTCTTACAATTGAATGATAATTTTAATAAAAAAATATATAATTATAGTTTTTATACAAAAACTTTATTTAAAACTAAATAAGTTCAACCTGTAGCTATTTGTAATCTATGTACGAATCATTTCAGTAGAATATAAAAAAGGACATCCCACACTAAAAGCGGAACGAATTTCAGGTCGAGTGTAAGGGTGAGCGATGGGGTGAGGCACCAGAGTGCCAGGCACAGGTGCGGTGGACCTGCGAAACGGCGCCGCTCATAGAGAATGGGCTGCTTGTGTCATTGGTGGGCGGCATCGCCACCTACGTCTGCGACGAAGGTTTCAATATGCTCCACCACGACTTCCTCAGGTACACACCCCCCTTTAACCTTTTTTGACCTGAAAATTTTTATTGAGTTTTAATTTTAAAGGAAATAAATGACACATCAATTTCTTTAATTAATCTATTAATTGAATTTTGCGTTTATTTTGATTCAATTGCATGTGTCATTTTTTGCTTGAAAATTATTAAAGTATTTAAAGTACTGAAGTTAAATTTTGAATTCAGGTGCGTTGGGGGTGAGTGGAGTCCGGAGGCGCCGCGGTGCCAGGCGGCAGGGTGCCCCCCGCTCGCACCCCTCGAAAAAGGGTCCGTCAGGGTCAAAGGGTACACAAAGGGCGGAGTCGCGGAGCACGCGTGCGACGCAGGGTTCCAACTTGTCGGGCCCAGGCTGCGCAAGTGCCTCGGACTCAAATGGTCTGCCTTCCCTCCCTACTGCAAACCTATCGTCACCTGATCAGTTTTGTAAAAATTTGTAGTTTGATCAATAAATCAAAAACGTTAAAAAACCAATAATTGATAAATTGACCACGACTAAAATTAAATTTGTATGCAACCGTCAGAGCAGCCGCGTCGCGCAGGTTGCTTGTTGGCCAATTTGTAAAAATATTTATTAATACTTTTATTTTCAGTAATTTAAACTTCTTCCGGCCATAGGCCATATTTGAACCGGCTTTTTATATTATATTAAAATAGAATAAAATCTAAAGCATAAGGGAATTCTATTTATCATTATTTAATATTTTTCACATAAATTCCGAGGCTCACTACGGCTGATGGGGTCTTTTTGATCTCGAAAGTTTTAGCAAAATTCTTGCTATGTGGTGGGGCCATTTTTTCAAACAACCCCTTTCTTTTCTAATTAATTGTTTTCAATAATTGAAGGTAAACAATGTGATGTGAATTTGGACAAATAAACAACAATAATTATTCAAACTAATCATGCTGTCAAAAAAAGGTGCATGTATTTAGATGTGGTGCCTTTTTGTCCAACCATTCCCTATTCTCAAACAAAATTCAAAATAAACAATGTGATGTAAAAATTGCACAAATAAATAACATCAATAACATTACATCTAAATTTTTTAGCAAGAGTAAGGAAATGGATTTTTAACGAGGTTTATGGTATTTCAACTTCATATATAATATAAAAATGAAAAATCTACTAAAAAGAGATAATGATGGTGTATAACTCTCAACCATCACGTCTCTTTGGACCCAGGGGGTCACAAAAAAGCTCTCATCTCATTTTGTTTTCTCTCTGACTTTCCTCCCAATCACGTGTCTCTTTCATGAGTTTCATGAACCCTTTTCAGAATGTTCTTCCTCCTTTGTAGCACATTTTCTAAATTATTATTATAATAATTATAATAATTATAATTTATTAATAAATATTAGACAGATCGAAGCACAAAGAATTAAGGTGTTCAAGAGCAAAAAAGTGGAGGCGAATAAAAGCTGATGCTGGGGCCAATATATATATATATATATATATATATATATATATATATATATATATATATATATATATATATATATATATATATATATATATATATATATATATATATATATATCAACTTGTTGTTACAGAAAAATTTTGACAATAGCAAATTAATTATAGTTTATGGTTTCAATTGTTTTTTTTTCCAACATTTTGAAATAGAAAAACTTCCATGTATAGTGTGTTGGCACTTTCAACGTTCAAAACAATTTTGAATATTCTTCAACCTAGCTAAAACATGTAAAGCTGCATGTACTCGAAATTGTAACTTAATGACAATCAGTGCTCATTTGGGATGATGCAATGCAAGCGAAGGAGGAAAACACGTGACTACTGCAGAGCTTTATTAATTCAAAAGAGACTTTTGACCTTTAGTTATAAAAAAGCTAGAAGGGTTTAAAAAACAAGGAAAGTTTATTGTTAAGCAGGTCATTTAGAAATAATTTTCCTCTTCGTTTCATCCGTAGCAGAGGGGCGAAAATTTAGTATAAAAGCTGAAGCAATCGCAGTGAAAAATTATCACATTCACTTCTCGATCTGGAAACTGTAAAATCCTATAGTGAAAGCATCTTCTTTTTTTTGCAATCATGAAGATTTATCTCTTTGTGCTTCTCATTGGTGAGACCCTTTTGATTTTATTCAATTTATATACTCTCAGCTTCTTTAAATTTTTTATTTCAGCAGGTGCACTGTTGTTGGCGCAAGAAACAAGCGCTCGGGCAATGGAACATTTGAGCCCATCAGGCCCGTTAGTTAGTGCCAAAAATCAGCCGCCAAGGTGAGTGACTGTATACGACTGTGTATCGAATGGAGAATAAATAAATAAAGTATTTCAATCTTGCTCCATTCACACATTTACAAACTGATTTCAGTTTCGTTCGAATAGCTACAATTTTTTTCTCACGCGTGACATATTTTCTAGCACACCTGCAATTCATGATGTTCACCAACCTAAAGCTGAATTGACCACAGATGTCAATGGAGTTGCAGTTCCTGTTCTTTCTCAGTTTCAAGACAAGAACGGCACGCTCATGAGGCAAAAGTGAGTTTTAAATTCACTCAATATTTTCCAGAACTATCAGTTCAACCTTCCAAAAAAATGAACAAAATTCTAATTTTACCACTGTTCAAGGCGAGACGGCTGGAAAAAATATTTGCAACAAGCCTCACAAGTTCTGTTGGCTTCAGCTAAGGCATATTCTGGCGTCAAAGGTTGAATTCTCTGATCGTTCACAGCTAGGAGCTAGGAGTCATAGCTCATAGCCTAGGACAACCAATAAGGAAATTTTCACTTTTTTTTTAATTTTCCTATTTTGGTATAATGAAAGCTCATTTAGTTTGAAAACTAATACAATTACATACTTTTTATCACTTTTTATAGACAATTCAAATCATGTATAAGAATAACTATAAACACTTTTTCTATAAAAATTCAATACAAACTTACTTGTCAGTTGTTATAACTAATTTTTTTCTTCTAATAGCTGCAGAGCTAAACTCTCTGCGAGAGTGCACTGCATGTTATTTGGCAAAGTTTGGCAAATTGCGCAAATTTTATTCCTGCAAATTTTGATCAATAGATAAAAATTTAAAAAGTAACATTTGAAATCACACCATTATATCTTAATGGGCTAAGTTTGAAAATACACCGTTGTAATCTGTTGTAAAACAAATAAATAATATTCTTTAAAAATACATTCTGGACCAAATTTCATTCGTCATCTACAATCAACAATAATAACTAGCTAGGTAGCAGAAATAAAATTACAATTGAATATAGATCAACTATACTTTAAGTATTATTCGGTATTATTAATGAGACAATGAGACATTCGTGGCTATAAAAAAAATTTAAGGATTTTTTTTCACATAATTGGGGAATTGCCTTTGCAATTTTTGCCCACTTAAATAACAAAGGAAAACAGCACATTTCAAACTTTACTGTGAGAATATATTATCTTGGAAGAAGAAGATACAAGTCTTTGTAACCCAGTGCAGCTAATCCGTTGCTTTATTATTTTCTACAATTTTCAATTTTTTATAGAGATTATTATAACTTTTACTGATTTATTCATATCCAAAGATTGAGACGACGCCTCAAGTACTAAAACTCAGGGAGAAATCTGAAGTAACTAACAATTAATAAGTAAAAAAAATATATGTAATGCAACTAAAATCCCCACTGTTCTTGTTGCTGTTGCAATTCGGTGCCGTCCACCTTGATATCTCTTGGAGACAGCTGTTCTAGTCTAGGAAACCACCTACAATAACCTACAATCCATTCTCCATTCATACACCACCTGCGGGAGAGCTTGTACGTCCATATTCGCGCCAAAATTACCCGTGAACGGCGCATGCGTCACCTAACTGCCCGCCGCTTCCCCCCTCTTTTCGATTCGAGTTACGCCCAAGAAGTTACGCCTACTTTGGTTGTTTTGGTTTTTGGTTTCTAGTAAATTTAATACCACATAAGTACATAGCCAAATTATGCGCACGATGATTTTCTTTTACAGTTTCCGTGAATGTCTTGAATTGAAGTTCGATTTTGGTCTGTAAAAGTAAAGGAGTGAAAATGGGTTCTGAGCAGGAGGCTAACTACACCGTGTACGGCACGCAGCTCGAGGAACTGACCGAGGGTAAAAAATTTCAAATTTGAACCGGCTTTTTTGGAACGTGGACAATTGTGCATTTCAGATGATCTTTGGGCTAAAAAGCCGATCCCCATCGAGGAGCAGATCGCGACTGACAAGCAGGGCCGTCGTCGCTTTCACGGTGCCTTTACGGGCGGCTTCTCGGCCGGCTACTTCAACACCGTCGGCTCAGAGGAGGGATGGACGCCGACCACCTTCAAGAGTTCCAGGGCCGAAAAGGCCGCAGCTAAATTCGCCCAGCAGCGCCCTGAGGACTTCATGGATGATGAGGTCAATTAATTTCCTCAGTCTTAATTAAAGTTTAATTTTTTATAATAATTATCAGGACCAAGAGGTCTTTGGAATTGCACCAAAGGTGCTCAGGGCGCGGCAGGAGTACAAGAAGGCCTCCACCACTCGGTCAGCGACAACGACAGGACTGCTTGACTCTCTTTTGAAGCCCGTCAGGGACACGGTGGGCGTGGTTCTGCTTAAGAGGATGGGTTGGAAGCCTGGACAAGGGGTTGGACCTAGACAAACTGCCCAAGAGAAGAAGCAGCGCCGCAAACTGGTCAAAAAGGTCCAGAAATTTAGCAATATGTTTGAAATATTGTTTCTTTAAGAAAATTCCAATCTAGTTTATTGTACTTATTTTAACTCTGCTTTAACTTACACAAAAGTTTGCCTTTTCAATTAAGAAAACTAATTAATTAGACGAAATTTAAAAAAATAACTGTAATTTAACTTAAATTGGTGTTACATTTTAGAATCTTATAATTGATAAGAATAATCAAAAATTGCTATTGAAACAGAGTCAGAAAGTGTACGGCTGCGCCATGGGTCCGCAGCGAGAAGAGTCTGAAGAGGAGAGCGAAGAGGGCAGTGACCTCGAGGAAGTGACCTTTGCCCCTGATGACCTGCCCTCTTTTCCAGTTGCCCCTAAAACCAACACCTTCGGCATGGGCTACGTAGGGCTGGACAAGAACTCGCAGCTCTTCTCCTCATCAGGCCACTTTTCACTCTTTGAACCACCTGAAGCCGTCATGAACGCCAAAAAGACGGGCATTGGAATCAAGGGACAGGTACCCAAAATTTACTTCAATCTACTTTTATTTTCAAATATATTTTATCTCAAGCTATCTTTATTCTTAATAATCCCTTGTGTTGGAAAATTCATTTAAATTGTAAGTAACATAACCTTTATAAAATTGGTTTTCATCTGCAGGCTTTTGGAGTGGGTGCCTTCGAAAAAGAGGACGATGACATCTACGGAGGTGATGACATGACTAGATACGACTTTTATCTTGAGAGCACCGCCGAGAGCAAAAAGCGCAGACTGAAAGAAAAAAAGGAAGCCTTCGAGGTAGAGAAATTATTTTTCCTTTAGAAATGTTCAATTTTTTTTTTAATTACAGAAGAAAAAGCGGCATGGCGAGTCAAGATGTTTGGAGAACTTTGCATTGGCCTCCCAAAAAATATCCACCGTCAAATTTTACCCTCCACCGTCAATTCCAAAGCACTTTGTTCCCAAACACGGCGTCAAACAGAGCAGGTTTTCTGAACTGAAACCTGAAGTGGCAGAAAGGGTAAAAAAGTTGATGAAAGTAAATATTGGAAAAACTTTTTTTAATTTTTTAGTTATCTCAGCCAAAGGGTAGGCACGACCTGACGGCCAAGGAACGAGGGATTTTGGTCGGAGAGATGGAGAAAAGGGTTGAGACCCTGGCTGCTCCCAAACCAATGCCTGTACTTGATTTTGAAGGTATAAAAAATGTAAATTTTTATATGTTTTGATAACATTTTCATTAGTTGTTCCAACGGAGCTGAAACCAGGGCAGTTCAACCCTTTTTCACACAACCCTGAAAAGCTCGTCAGGTACCAGCAGTTCCTGACTCTAAGGAAAATGAAGCAAACTGGTTAATTAACAAAAAAGAAATATCGCATTTTTTCAAATTTTAGTTTTTAGACAAGTTTGTGTGTTTGCAACCACAAGTGATGACTGAGTGGGAGAAGACTCGGGAGCAGGATGAGTTCGAGCAGGCAGCCGTTTTGTACCAGCCCCTGTCAGGGCAGATCAGCGACCGCTTTGTGTCCTCGGCCACTTTGATTGGCAGCGAGGAAACACCACGCATGGATGTGCAGAAGCCTGTAGAGGAAAGCGTTCAGGCAGCAAAACAGAAAATGTTTGGTAAAATGACAAGGACGACTGAACCGTGGCACCCGCACGCTTTGCTCTGCAAGAGGTTCAACGTCCCCGACCCCCACTCAGGGTATATAGTTTTTTGATAGTTATAAAAACAGATTTTATAAAATCTTTAACAGATTGGCACCAACAAACAACCGCAAGCGTCCAAACTTTTCTGTGTTTGATTTCCTCGCAGCCCAACCTGTGCCCGTTGAAGAAGTGCAAAAGCCTCCTGAGGATTCGAAGAGGCCGGTGGAAGTGCCGAAAGCAGCCTCCTCGGCAGAACCTCCAGCAACATCCAAAGAACTGCCAGCCCAAAAGCCTCCCGAGGTTGCATATGTCGGAAATCACTGTTGGTTCAAAATTAATTTGAAAAATATATAGGTTTTTACAACGGAGAAAATGAGTGTTGAGGATAAAATGGATTTGTTCAAGTCTGTGTTTCTGGACAGCAGTGATGACGAACAGGAGGCACCCCATCAAAAAGAACCAACTCCGCCCCCGGCTCCAAAGAGGCCAAGGTATCTTTCTTGTTCAATATAATTTTCATCAATAATTTACATAAATTTCTCTCAGGTCACCTCCGAAGGGTGTTTTCAAGACATTGGACCTGATCGCCCCAAGGGAAAAGCCTCCACCTGCACAGGTAGAGAAACAACCTGAAAAGCTTCCTGAGCCCAGTTCCAATTTATACGGGCCGGCATTGCCTCCGTCACTACCTTCCGCCACCACTTTTATTGCTCCAATTGTGGACAGTGCTTCCGCTTCCAAGACTGATTTTGGTGGGGAGTGGGTGGAAAAGGCAAGTGATAAACAACACAAGAAGCACAAGAGAAAGAAGAGCCGGTCTCAAAGTAGGGACCGCAAAAGGAGGAAAGGTAGCGAAGGGGATGACCAAAGACACAAGAAGAAGAAGAAGAAAAAACACAAGCACTGAAATAAATAAAGAGAGCCACATTTTTTATTAAACAAAAGTCTAAACCATTTTAATAAATAATTTATTTCAAATTTCGTCCTGATTAAAAATAACATGAAATTTGATGATATTTCTGAAGATTATACAATTATAATTATTTAAGTTTTTGATTATTTTTAAAACTCCATTTTCATATTTATGTGCTTTAGGTACACCAAAGAATAGTTCAGTTTTACACATTTTTTGTTTAATAAATTGTACATAAATAATAAATAAATGTTAATTTTTTAGGAGAATAATAATATGATATTAAATTAAATTCTTTCAATCACATAATTATCTAGAGTGTGCAAGCTGCGCATCCAGATCAACAATATTAAAGATTGAGGGTAGAAAAACTAACAAAATAAATACATATTTTTTCATAAATATAAAACTGGAAATTTAATTCGTATTTATTAAAAAATAATCATTTATTGTACAAAATTTGTGATAAACCAAGTTCAGATTTTCTGCAAATTTAAAAAAAGAAATTTAAGGTAAGGGTGGTATAGGAAAGTACAGTAATTATTAATTATAGCGGGGCCATAGGGAGTGACGTCACGTACGTTGTTTGACGTCAAACAAGGAGACTTAAAAAAGTTATCCGATTAAATAAAGCCGTCTTGGGAGTGGACTGGTGGCTCCTCGGGCTCCTCCTTCCTATATTCTCCTTGGCCAATCCTTGGCCGTGTTTGTTGTCGTTTGTGCTGCGAGTGCGATTTCTCGCAAATTCGACGGAATTTCGCCGATTTTCATCTCGAGGGGTCGAATTCGGGCTGAAGGTGTGGTGAACGGCAGCAAAAATGAGCACGGGTAAGGTGGTCACCCCGTCCGTCGACCTCAGCTCGTACAGGGACCAGCACTTCAAGGTGAGCCGACCTTTTGAACTTTGTTGACGTTCGAACCTGGTTCAAAACTTTACTGGATCGCAGGGCTCTCGGACCGAGCAGGAGCGGATGCTCAAGTTGACGACCACCATGTACGTGGGCAACCTTTCGTTCTACACGACCGAGGAACAGATCTACGAACTCTTCAGCAAGTGCGGTGACGTTAAGAGGGTAGTCATGGGCCTCGACAAGTACAAGAAGACGCCTTGCGGCTTTTGCTTCATTGAGTGCGTTTTCTTTTAATTTTGGCTTCAAAGTATTACGAGTTAAATAGAAAAATATCTGAGCTTTCTATTAATGTTTAAAACGTACAGTTTAGTTGACAAATGTTGGGAAAATCATCGTTTACATATTAAATATGTTTACCTACCACTATTATTCTATTGCCGATTTTGAACTTTATTTTTCAAAGGTACTACCAGCGTGCAGACGCAGAGGCGTGCATGCGCTACATCAATGGCACCAGGCTGGACGACCGGATCATCCGGACAGACTGGGACGCCGGCTTTTCCGAGGGCAGGCAGTATGGCAGAGGCAAAACAGGCGGACAGGTGCAGCCAATTGATCTTTGTCTCAAATTGTTTATTTAATTTGGTGTTTGAAGGTCCGAGACGAGTACCGCACTGATTATGACAGTGGCCGAGGAGGCTTCGGCAAAAACGCTCAGCCCAAGGCGGCCACGGCCAACATGTTTGCCACTGCCACACCTGTTGTTTGAGATGAAGGGAATAACTGTGCATTTGTGAAAATGGATTCAGACATTTGAGTGTCAGTTAAAGATCAAGAAACAATAAAGATTTCCATGATTATTGTATAAAATTGATAGGTCTATTCTTAAGAGTTGGCAGACAAGAAATGGAAATCCCAGTGTGTAGTAAATTTAATTTATCAGTACAATCGGGTTGCTCTAGTAAGGAAAATGTTTTAAAGTCAGTCTTTAATTAGAAATTTATTGAACGCACATAAACAAAATCAGTCGAACAACAAATGATGACTACTTGACCCCGACTCTGCGACCCTTTTGACCTCGGGACGCTTTGAGCAACTGGTATGAGGCGTAGGTGCACGCCTCCTCTGTCAGGAATGGAATGTAAAATGCCCTCAACAGCTTTGGAGATCTATCAAAATAATTATTAATCCAGGTAGAATTTTAATGTGTCAATAACTACCTCTCATTGTCTAAGAAAGGAATGGAATGGACCAAGTCCCACTTTGTAGTATCCTTGGCATAATTCGGCTCTAGCTTTGTTTCTTGATTTGTTTCCAAGTCAACCAGAAAATCACACTTTCCAATATCGAACTGAATAATTTATTATAAAAATTAATTTCTTCTTTAGCAAGATGGTGGATTTAATTACATATCTGGAGCGCTCCTCTTGGTTCATGTCATTCATGTTAGGAGGAACGACTGAAGTGCCATCGGGCCCCGGTTGGTACGGCTGTGGGAGCTGTCCTTTGAACTCAGACTCGAGAAATCGTAAATTCCACCTGAAAATTTAACGGAATTTGTGTAGAAGAAAAGTACCTTCTATTAGGGACAAATTTATTTTTCAAGACCTCCAATTTATAATTTGCAACTTTTGCCACTCACCTGTTGTCAGGCAGGAAAAAACTGGAGGGAAATCTGTGCCACTCCTTTCCGACGCACACATTGATTTCACTGTTGGGGCCAAAGGAGTTGCTTGAACCAAACTTGGCCAACTCCATGTAAATGTCCAGCGGAGCGTGATAACCTTTAAAATATATTCATTGTATTTTCTCCCAACAAGAATAAGATCCCCACCTTTGTAAAGGGCAAAACTTCTGGACAGTCCGAGGAGGACAAAAATGATTGCTGTTCCGACAGCAAAGAAATTTGTTTGGCGCAGATAGTTTGATAGGTTCATCCTGGTGACTTTCTTCAGCGTGAAGAAAACTATCCTCTGCAGACCATCCAAGGCGACAGCCCCACAGAAACAAACCAACGGGTAAATTGGAAAGAGAAATCTCTCTTCCTAGACAGGAAATTATAAATATTTTTTCATTAAATTTTATAAATTTTTTAACCTTATGCTGCTGAAGTCCAAAAACCGCCAGCCAAAGGTACAGGGGGCTCAGGTGGAGGAAGTTAGGCAACCTTTGATCTGGCTTTTCACTGATCAGAATCACAACAGCCTGGAATCAGAATTTGACTTTTTGAAGAAAAATTGATTGATATTTCTAACTGTTGTGAGGAGGCTGATGAGGGCAAGGGGAAAAACGAGGTTGAAGTTGAGGAAACCGTTGCTCAGGTAGAAATGCCACGGCTCAGTGCCATAAAGGTCAGGCCCTCTGGAGGAAGAGAAGACGTTGTAGAGGACAATGTTGAGTGGCGCCACCACCACCTTGCCATAGTTGTCTGAGTCGATTTTCGCAATTGGAGCCTGAAAAACAAAAATTTTTGTTCATTCACATCAGGATAAATTTTTTTTCAATAACTTACCAAAACTATGACTAGGGAGATGACAGAGTATTTGACAAAGTCCAAAACCTGTCTCCGCAGAAAAACCATTTCAAAAGCAATTGGCACTCTGAAAAATTTATTTAAACTAAAATAACTTCCAGTAATGTGACCCTATGTTTGGGAGGCAAATTTGTGCAAATAAAGATTTTAAAAACGGGTCAAATTTGTCTCGTAATGGGAAATAGCCACTTATTAATTGGATAGTATTATTAATATTTGAGATATAATAATAAGAATTACCCAATGAGGGCCGCAAAGGGCCAACTGAGCAGGGAGGAAAGGGCCGTGGCAAGGACGGCAAGGGCGTATTGCCGCTCAAACCACGCTGTCATACTCAAAATCACCATCAACCTGAAATGTTAAATAATTTTTAATTAAATTGCTAGTTTTAAAAAGTGTTCAATTTATTGAAAATTTTCTTCTACTCTTTTAATAAGGAATAATTTTTTTTAAAGCTTTTGTTTAAATTAATATTATAAAAAAAAAAATAATAATTTGCATGGATTTACATTGAAAATGATGAAGGCAGGAAGGCCGAGCTGGCGATAAACATGCCAGGACTGAAGAGGAGGAAGAGCAGGGTGAGGCGGCCTATGTGCACCCCAAATCTTCTACAGACGCTCCTGCAAATTTAAGTTTTTTTAAATACTCCAAAATTCAAGAATAAATCTCATACTTATAGAAGTAAGTTTCGAGCAGTGCGCAGGAGAAGCCAAGCAGGCAGCGCACAAAGTAGAAGACAAGCATTCGGTTGGGGCTGAAGACTTTGTCGTAGATCAGCGCAGGCAGCACATGGAAAAGTATGTAGCCGTAAGAGCGAAGGGCATACTCAGGCGAGTACTCCCACGTCTGCATGCCCTTTCCATACATCATGTAGTGCATCTGCAATACATAATTTATAGATTAAAATAGAGGAGTCTAAAGGTCTAAATTAAGTCAACATAAGAGAGTCGTGGAGCTAGGAAATTTTGTCCTAATAAATTTAAAGCAAAATTTTATTTAAAAATCCAGTATTAGTAAGATGACTCCTACAAGTTTTTGGTCACTTTTTATTGATTCCTTGTTACTAGAGCTTTTCTAATTCGTCCCATTATTCCTGCATGACTCTCAGCATAATATTATATGCAAGCCAAATTCAATAAAATATTTACAGATTAAAAACAAAATTAACCATGGAAAGGGATAATTTATTTATCAGAGCCAATTTTAATGGGAGACCTATATGCATTTTATTTATTTTCTAAAAGCTCAAATTTTCATCTATATTAAAATCAATTTTAAAAATATTCCATATTAAATATCCATGCTTTTTGTTTCTTGAAAAAAAAAATCCAAACCGGCTCCCAGTAGTTGAAGGTCTCGTCGCAGTCGGAAATGTTGCTCCAGATAGCGGCACAAATCCTGGCCGAAATCAAGACCTTGAAGGCCGTGTTGGCCTTGAGGTGGACCATATCCCGCTCCTCCTCGGACACCAGACTTGCGGGACTACTTATCTTCACCTTCTCATCTACATGCTCATCACTGTCAAATATATTACAAGGGTAATTTTATTAAAGTTTATAAATAAAATTCGAACCAGATTCGAACATTTTACAGTCTAATAGGAATCATGGCTAGTTTTTCATTTAATTTGGCACTTTTTTGCTAATAAACATAAGACAAACATCACAAAAGCAGATAGACCAGAATTTTAAATTTCGTACCTGTTTTTAGCTTTGGGCCGGGGTTTGGCCGCCGACGTTTCTTTGGGCACACTTCGCTGCAGCGACAGTTTTCGCAGCCGGGCGCTTTTGTTCGCCATTCTTCGACAATCGGCCGATCACACTTGTCTCAGGTCCATCAAATACCTGAATTAACCGACCACGCAATCACTCGCGAAAACCAAAAGATAACTCATCTTTTCATAACACGTCCCTCGGTCATGTCAAAGGGTTAATTGTTGTCACCACTAGTTACCGACCGCTCCACAGATGGCGTCGCAGTTTGCTCTTTTCAGCGGGAACTTGGATGACCTCATCGCCCCGGAGAATGTGGGTTCGATCCCCACTCCAGACGGATTTTTCTCGGGGGAACCTAAGTGATTTCTTATGCTGAGAGTGCTGATTGTGAGACTGTGAGTGAAGGGTTGTTCTTTGCTAAAGTCAGCCGTAGTAAATTTTATTATGTCTTCTAAAATCAGCGTTTTTCTTTTCCACATCCGAACAAGCAAATTTTCGCAAATTTTATCATATTATTATTATTACAATATGCGCCGAGCGTAAAACATCAAAATCGAAGGCGCAGAATAAATTTATGTCCGCCATCAAATCTGGTAAAATGCGGATTCACGCATAGAAGGGTGGCGAGTGTGAAATATAATAAAATACATTGTTTCTTAAGATTAAATAAACTTTATTAAATAGTTTAATTGTTGAGTTTAACATAGCCGATAACACATGAACAAATTATCATTATATTTTATATTTGAATAGTATTATTAGAATTTATTGGTAATTATTAATTAAATAAGTTATAATAAATTAACTCAAAAAATTGTATATCTAAAAAGATCAAAGCTGCTCACAAATGTATTTTTCTGAGTCCCAGCATGCATTGTCATTCCACTGATGGCTACTTGATTTCATCTTAATGCAATGCTCGTTTCCGAAAAAGTTATTAGGCTCGCCGTGGGCCCAGTATGAGAAGCCCACTGATTGTCCAGTCGTGTCCCACACAAAGTAGCCTTCCTGTCCTTGATCGGTTCCAGAAGTCCAAAATGCAGATCTGTCACCACCTTGACAAGTTATTGCAAAAAAGATATGATTGAGATCTCCATTTAAAATTTTAGTCATGCATAAGATAACTTTTTTTGTACAGCTTGCGGCCCATCTTGCCGCGGACCTCTCTTTAGGCCCCGCGTTTAAGCAACTTTTTTGCCAGAGCTAGGTGTTGCCGTTTCTTCACATTATGAATTTGAAGAAGCAAACAATAATAATTAAAAAGTGGGCATGCTTGATTTTCAAGTTTGAATATTAAATTCACTTATTTAAAATAAGTTAAATTTTTAAAAAGCGTTTGCTATGTTTGTTGCATTTTCTCCTAGGATTTCTCTTCCATTTTAAAATTCCCTATGTTACCCGGAAAATGGACTTAAACAGTACTTACTCACTTCACGAAGAATGGCATTATTTTCTTCCAAAGACTCAATTGCTACCAGTTGCATGCCCATGTTCCAGCACGATCGTTTTGCTTTATCCCAATTAAGCTTAAAATGTTTAATTTAGATATAAATGTATTATTGAAATTGTGAAGCTCGTGCGAAGCAAGCAAATTAAATAATGTAAATAATATCAAATCATTCAATTTTATAAAAATCATGGGAGACCGGAGATTATTTAAAAAATTAGAATATTTTACCTTGTGACCTGAAACGAAATAATTGCGGCCTTCAATGGTAAATGTTGTTGAATTTTCCAGTTTTCCTATGAATTTTTTTCAATGCAAATTTATAATGATACACAAAAATCACTAGTTATACCAGGTTCTTTTCCAATTACGATTTCTCCATTCTGCAGATATAAAATTTGCTTGTAACTTATTTTTGTAACAAGAATTGATATATTTTTAAAGATACCTGATGGTCACCCAGGCTCAGGCCCTGGGCAAGAACCAGAAAGATGGAGAGAAGGAAGATTTGCCCAAAAGAGAACATCCTTAAAACACTGTTTGAAATATGTTTCTACTGTGCAGTGTACTCGCATGCTAGAATTATTTATACTGCCAAAGATGCTTGATTAGAGCCTTCCAACTTCCAAGTAATCTTATCTGCGCCCATATTCTGCAAACACTTCCACTTCTTTGAAAAATGCTGTTTTTTTTCAAATAATTTAAATAAAGTGGTTGACACACTTTTTAATTTTATCAATCAAGGTTTTGCCAAGTGATTGAGTGTGTTGACGTGCTTTTTAGGTCAATCTTGTCAAGTTCGCAAAATTGATTTTGTCCTTATGAATTACTCAGTTCTGAAGATCTTGAAAAAAAAAATCATTTCCATATGAGGAGTGGCAAAAAATCTCATCCTAAATTACTTAAGTACGATTATGTTTTCTGAGAAACATTTTTTACCTATTTTTTGATATTAAAAAATCAAGCATTTTCCTGCAAGTCAAAGGTCGCACGATTGATGGATGTCTTTTTTTTAAATAAAAAAAAAAAATTGCTATGCAGATTTCGCCGCCATATATTATATGATACATACATATGATAATATTGATCAATACGTGCCTCTGTTTGGGTAATAATGAAATCAAAGTCTGCCCTTGTACTCTATGGGGGTTTTTTTTTGTGAATCGGGGCCAAAAGGGGCAGGAAGAGGGTTGTTAACGTGGCGAGACGTCGAGACGACTGAGACGAGACGGTATATTTAAAGAGAGCGACGACCTTCGCTCGAGAGACACTAGCCCGAGAGAAACGTTTGTTCGTTATCCTCGCAATGGGAACTTATTATCCAAGCAAGAAGATTCACCGCCGCACTTGGTCGTTGGCGTGGTTGCTCGTCTTCAACCACCAGCTCTTTGTCGGCGTTAAACTCCATCCAACAGAGCAAACGATTGAGACTGTCGAGCTGGTCTGCATTATCCTTTTTTCACCTAATTTCAATTTTTTTTTAATTATAAAAAATATTTTTCGCTTCATAATTTTGGGTTTTAAAAAGGAAAGAAGGAACATGATAGTGCATGGTAGTATAGTTTTTTATCAAAAGAGTGACATAATCACAAATTTTATTTTTGGCATAATTTTATAGTTTAATTTTAAAATGGATAATTATTACTTTCAAATAAAGAGAAAGTTGGCATTTAAAGGAGAAATGATATTAATTTTGATAAATTGAATAATTATCAAATTCAATTTAAGATGACATTTGAAGAAAAATTTATTTAAGTATTTCAGATGAAAATAATTCAAAATATTTTGGAAAATTTAAAATACAATTTCAAGGTAAATTCAAAGTGCTTCTAAAGATTTAATTTTAAATCAAAATTATGGCAATATAAAACCATATAAAACAAATCAAGAAAGGATTGATGTGAAAAATTATCTTTTTTCTTTTGGCTCAGATTTGCGCATAGTTCGTTTTCTTAATAGCCGCAAAGTTAACAATAAAATAACACAAAAAATGAGGAAGAAAAAGTAAATTATTTTTGCAGTTCTTAAGATCCTTACTTTTTGAAAATAAATCTTTGGGAGCAATTGCAGAAGTTGAATAAGTAAATATTAATTTTGTTATAAATACTACAGGATTTGAATAGAAAAATCTTAACAGCTATAAATTGGGGAAATTAGGTATGAATTTCAAGTGGCACACATAGAATAAAGTCAAGTAATTAAGTCATGTTGGCAATATCTATTAAACTAAACTTATCGCGCAATGAGAGATTTGCACATATCAGACTTCCTTCTCTTGGACTCTATTTTTTAAAGCCTAAATGCCTATTTATATAAACATTTATATTACATAATGTTTTTTGAACGCAGGCGTTTAACACCCCTAACGAACTCGCCATGCTACAGCAGATTGTTGATGAAATCAAGGATTTACACACCACCGTCTACAACCTGCGCTGCAACAAAGAGCAAAAACTGGTGGGTGGAATGATTTCTAATGAACAATTTAATAATTTGTTTTTAGATAGGAGAAAGCAGGGCTGGAATCAAAAGTCAGCAAACCTCGTCTGCATCTCTTGAGGCCCTCAGCAAATATTCAAAAAAACAAGAGGAGCTTGAGAAACAATTAGTAGAGGTTACCAATTGTTTTATTATTGTGAAGCATTTAAAAAAAATTTAATAATTCAGTTTTCAAAAAAGATGAACAATTTTCGGTTGAATTCAATTTAGTGAGGCAGGAAATAAATCAGACAAATGTGAGATTGGAAAAATTGCAGACAAAAATCATCGAAACACTGCAACAGGAGGTTTAAATTCTTTATATTTATTTGGCAAGCATTTATTTTTGAAATTAATACACAGGGCGCGACGCATTTGGTCGAGCGACTTTTTGAAAATGAGAACCACACAAACAACACGCTCAGTTTGGCTAGAATTACGCAGGAGCTGCGCCAAAAGGTTTTAAAAATTTTAAAATAAAATAATATTTAAAATTGTAAAAAATTCTTTCAGGGCAAAAATGACAAAACAAACTTCCCTTGTGGGTGTAAGTAGAAATGAAGAAAAGTCTGTAATTAATTTCTATTTTCTTGAAAAATATTTAAATCACAGGCGAGGCGTACTTAAGAAGGGCGGGCAATGACAAAAAATACTACTTCTCGCACCCCAAATTTGCTCCTGTGAGTATAGTCGATTCTTCATCATTTGTGTTTTGTTCTCAATTTGTATATTTTATACTAGACGATCTGGGCGGTAGCGAATGAAACGTGCGCCAGGTTAGGTCTGCACCTGGCCACGCACAGGAATAATGCCGACCTCTGGGCCTTGTGGGACGAGTCGAAAAAAGTCTTGGGAAGTGAGTACTTTTTCAAAAGAAAAAAAAACATATTTATTTGAATAAAGATTAATTCCCTAAATAATTAGGCTATTTAAAAATTTTGTGTTTTTATTTTTAATAAAAATAATTTGTTTAGGCGCGCACTGGTGGTTGTCAGCAAAGGACTTGGGCAGCGCAGGGAAGCCGGACATCCACTGGCACGACGGCACCAAATTGGAGGTAACAAGTCCCTTTTGGTACCCTGGTGCCTCCAAAGCCAACTGCGGCTTCTCAGTTTCTGCAACGACGGAGAAATTGTATGGCGAACCGTGCACCAACAACAAACATTTCATCTGCGAACTGCCCGCACACTGCTACTGAAATCTGCATGCTTTTTCGCCTAATTATTATTATTATAGTGCTCTAGTGCTGATCGAGTGTAGTCGATTTTTTTAAATAATCAAAATATAAAACTAGATTCTACAATTTTATTTTTTTATTACAAAAATTCCTTAAGTATGAATGGAAATAATATAATTTATATATACATTATAATGTTTATCATTAATTGGAGATAAATAAAACTTTTGTTTTTTCCGTCTTTTCAATTGTCAAATGTTTTGATCAGTTTTGAATATAATTTATAATTTCAAATTTATTTAATCAAATCAGTTTGGAGGTGGTCTTCATTTATCCCTGCAAATTCAATATCATTACAAATGAAAATGATAATTCTAATTTTATGATTTAAAAATAAATTGATTAAAAAATCCCTTCATTTATCTCCTCTAAAACTCTAATAAAAAATTCCAGTTGCGGTTAAAATAGCTCCGTATATAATTTGAAGTAATTTACTTGATTTTTGGTAAAATATAATGGAACAACGCATTCATTATCAGAAGGTCATCTACATCGTCTCTGCACTTTATATTCCAATATTCGTGCAGCGGCGCGGCGCGCGTCACCATAGCAACACCCTCATACAAACACAAGGCTTGATCACCATACACTTCGTCGTGACTAACACCTGCACTTTTTTAAGAGGAATATTAGACAAGTCGGGAAATAATAATGTCGTGGTTCGGCGGCGGCGACTTAATCCAGCTGGAGACGCCCGAGTGTCTACGGCAGTTCATCAAGGAGCTCGTCGACACCGAGCTCATATCCGAGCGCGAAAAGGTCCGAATTTACTCGCAGCAGGACCAAAATGCGACACAGACGGACCCCCTCCTTGAAATGGATTTCAGACACAACCAAGTGAGAAAATTTAAAAGGCGTGTCTTTTTTAATTAAAAAAATGCACGATCAAAATTACATAAAAATTTGTTAAAAAAAAAACTAAACTAATAACACGTAATAACAAGTAGTTTTAGGATTGTAATTATGCTATAATGCAAATTATGATTTTTTTTCATTAATATTAAAGAATAACAGTTACGGCTCACATTCCATAAAATTTTTAGTTAATTTATGAGTTAAAGTTTAATGGGAATTTTTGTTGCAAGAAATAAAAATGATACAAATTTAAAAGTTTTTTTTTTGAAAAACTTAATTTGTTTTGCGTTATAATTTTTTAGTAATTTTTTAATTATTTGATTTCTCATATATGATATTGATTTGTAGTGCGAATTAAATCTGGGATTTTGACACAAAAATATTAAATAATCTTTAAATCGAATTTTACAAATAAAAATTAATTTTGTTATCATTATTATTTTGCAACTTCCTTTTAACAAAGGAATAAAACAATAAATTTAATGTGTATTGTAGGCCAAAGAAATAAATGCCGCTAATCTCGCACGCATGAAAATTCCTAAACAAGAACTTCTGAAGGAAGCCAGAAGGTATCAATTTCCACTTCCAACTTTTTACATTTTAATACCAAAAACTTAATTTGAATTTAGAATCGTGTCTGAAGAGGAGGTCGTTGAGAAACTGGCGAGGCAGCAAAACGCAGCGTTCAACAGGGAGTTACGACAGTTAAAGGAAGACTTGGAAAGGTCGAGCAGGGCGATGAAAAGGCCAGGGCGCACCTCAAGCGCGTGCAAAAAACTACCTGAGGTGGAAAACGTCAGGGTCGAAAAGCAGCGCGCCAAGAGTTGTTCAAGCGAAATCGAAGCTCGGCTCAGCACCCTGAGTCTCGATTTTCACGATCAGATTCAATTGGAAGGTGAAAGAAATGAGAGCAGCACCTACAGCAGCGACTGGCACTCTGAGGATGAAGAACCTTCCGACGCCTCTTCACCCAGCTCGGCTTCGACTATTTTGGAAAATAAGCATGTTGAAGAAGAGGAGGAGGAAAAACTGTCTCTTCCGCCTCTCATGAACGTCAGTAAATCTGCAAAGGACGATTTGGAAATAAAGAGCCTTCGGAGGTGCTGGTTGGTTTGGAGGGCAGTCACCTTTAGGCAGAAAAATATGCGCAGGTTGAAGAGGGACGATGATGAGAAACAGAGTCAGATCGAGCAATTTGTGAATCGTCAGACCTTCGTGAGCAAAAAGACCAAGTCGTGTTCCAACCTGGAGCAGATTATTCGCGATCAAAAAGCCAAACTGCGCGAACAGGAGCGACTCATCAGCAGGCTTAAGTTGGAGCAGCTGCGTCTTGAGGCCGAGAAGTCGCAGCAGAACGCACAGACCTTGATGGCACACAGTTTACAGGTAAATAAACATTAATTTTAAGAGGACTTTCAAAAGGCGATTTATTTTTTAAGTTGAAGCAATTTTTTCAAATTAAATTATGTGAAAATTTTTAAAATAAATTAAATAGTAATTAGACATTCTCTTTTTACTTCCAGATATTTAAGAAATTATTTTGCAAAAAATAATTTTCAAATAAAAATCATATGATTTTTTTACATGTTTTATGCATTCAAAACTTTCAAATGAGGGAAAAACCAAAAATTCTGAAAGATTGAAATTTTGATGAACACGAAAGTTAAAATTGAGGGGGAAACAATTTATTTAAACCTTGCAATCCGCACAGTATTTTTTTCTTTTTTTTTTCTTCATTTTATTGGTTTGAAGTATAGAAAAGCTGAAAAAGCACTTGATGCCAAAGTTTTTACCTTCCTTTAGAAAATTAATATTCTTGCACCAAAACTATTAATTTTAAATAAAATTAGTACGTACGATTTTCAAAGTTCGTCATATTTCCTGACGATTCGGCATTGGTTTTTTTATTTAATAGCAATATAAAAAAATTACTCAGGATTCGTCGTTGCCGGTGAGGCGTAAGCTGAAGTACCTGAGGTCAAGCTTTCCGGACATCCTAGACGGAGGGCGGGTGGACAACAAGTCACGACCGTCTTTCCTAGTGCTGATGGAGCAGCGACAGGCGGAGCGGCTGCGGCGCAAGAAGGAGTTGCACGAAAGGACACAGCTCAGGGTCGAGCAGCAGAAGCGGCTACAAAAGGAAAGGGAGGAGGCGCGCAGGGCCGAACTGGCCGAACAACGGCGGCTTGAGCAGGAAGCCAGGGTCTGTATTATATGAATTAAAAAAATATATATTATTACATTCCAAATTTTCATTTTTACTGCTCAAAATTAATTTTAAATTTTTACCACATTCAATTAAAAATTTCATGAATAGGTTGACACTATTTATTAAAAACACTCTCTTGGATTTTTGCACAACATTTTATTTTAAAAGTCGCGTTTTTAATACTTATAAAAATCAGGAAAATTTTTTGTACAAATCAAAAATGATATTATGTCAATTGTTAATTTAAAAATATATTATAAAGTTAGCCATATTAATACATTTTGTATTAATTAAGTTAATTTTTGGTAGGTTTGATGATTTAATTTTTTATCTTTTATAGTTGAATATAAAATGGATTATTATGAAAAAGCTAACACCATGAAAGGCTAGGAAGGGAGAATTAAAAGTTTTAATTATTTCAAATGTTAAATACTTTTATTCAAAAATTTAATCTTAAAATTTTATACCTAGTATAGTAGTTACAAATTAATGCTTATTTTGCTGCAGGTGGAGAAAATGCGGCTGGAAGCGGAGCGGAGGGCGAACGAACAGGCGGCCAGGGCCTTTTGCAGACTGCGGCGTCTCCGCATGGCCTTCCGCCTCTTCAGGGCGATTCTGCTGCAAAGACGGAGGCGCATCATGGAGGCGGAGGAACGCAGGAGACTCAGACTGATGGGCGAGGCTTTCCGCAGGTGGCGCCAGGTCGTCAGGGAAAAGTCGCAGGAACGGATGGTCCAGGCTAAAAGGCACCACAGGCGCAAGGTCATGACCTTTGCCTGGGACAAGTGGACGCAGGTTTGTGGATTTTTTTCTATAAATTGAAAAGAATAATAATAAATTTGGTGAAGGCTGTGATGGAGAGGAAGAGAGACTGGCAGGTGGCGGAAGACTTCAGCGACCTGCTTTTCGCGGTAAAGTTGTTTAAATTCGGCAGCCATGCTTGCCTCCTCGAAAAGAGGGCGGAGCAAATTCGGCGCGAAAAGTCAGCTGGGAATCTCCAAGTTGGTGGATTTTAAGTTTCTGAATAATCTGAATTTGCATCTAGGTACTGTGCTTTGATTTCTAACAGGATGACCTCGGAAGAGAGTTCTGCCCTTTCGGAAGTTTTCACCAAACTTCCTGGCAGAAGAAAACAGTGCCGCATCCTGCTTGACTTCTTCACCACGGTATGTAAAAACAACACTTGGTTCGCTCTCTCGTTTTATAAATTATTTTTGTTGTTAAATCCAAAGGACGGTTACCTTCCTCCCAACATTTACATCCACGGAAACTCTGCCACCGGAAAGACAATTACAGTAGCATCGCTTTTGGAACATTTAGGAATTTCAAACGTGCAGTTGAGCTGCGTTGAATTTGACACTCCTGCCCTCCTCTCATCCCAAGTTGCGACAAAATTTAGAGGTTAATTTGGTTAATTTAAAAACAATTACAATCATATTCTAAACAAATCTTTTAAATAGAGTACGTGGAAGGCAGTAATCAATCAAACTGTTCTAATCTGATGGACCTGGTGGAAGTGATGCAGACGGCCGACTTCAAAGATCCCTTCATAATTGTAAAAGTTTGAAGTCAAAATTGAATTTTATTAAATGATATGTCCATTTTGAAGGTTCTGGACCGAGCTGAGAGGTTGAGGGAGATGCCTTCGACTGTGATTCCCGCTTTGCTGAAACTGCAAGAGTTGAGCGGGATGAACGTGTGCGTTGTACTTGTCAGTGATCTGCCCTGGGAAAGGTTTTACCATGGGAAAATGCGCTTCTGCAAACCGGCTTTTGACCTCTTCTTCCCTCAGTACTCTAAAAGTAGCTCAATTTCAACCCAAAAATACAATATCTGATTTTGATTCAATGAATTAAAGGTGAGTGCATCGAGATTATTCGGGAAAAAAGGCCTGAGGAGGTGGACGACGCCCTGTACTTCTCCTACGTCTCCATTCTGCTCAGGGTTCTCTACAGGTTCTGCAGGGACCTCAATGAACTGCTCTACATGGCAAGTACTTATTTATGCACGGAATTTCTCATTAAAAATATTTTTCTTCTTAGAAAGGGTCACTTCTAAAACCCTCATTACTTGACCTTTTAAATAATAGAATTACTGTTTGTAACCATCCCAAAGTTCATAAAAAAAAAAAATTAAAAAATTTTCATTTGTTCTGCACATCCAGGCTGACCAGCACTTTGTTCTGGTGAAGGATCTAAACAACGACCAGCGCACAATCTGGACCACCCTGCAGCCGCACCTGAAAGCGGCCACCCAGAGGGTCCACCTGCGCCAGGGTCTGCAGTAAGCCCTTGAAAATTTTCAATTCCACCTTAATTGAGTTAAAATATTCTGCAGACCTGTTGATGTGAAAAGTTCAAACGCACTGATCTCAGCAGTGACGGCGATGGAGCTGCCTTACTATGCCAAGTTCCTGCTGATGGCCGCCTTCCTGGCCTCGTTCAACTCGCCCAAGCACGACCGGCGCCTCTTTGCCAAACACCACGGCATGCAAAGGAAAAAGGCCGTTGTGCAGAAAAAGACAGTCAAGAGGAGCAGTTTGATTGTCGGACCAAAACCTTTTAACTTCGAGAGACTGACCGCCATTTTCCATTCGATTGCAGACACCCCCTACCTCATCACAACCAACCTTTGTGCTCAGGTTTGTAGAAAAATTCAAATATTTAAGATTTGATTGATTGGTTATTGCATTTGACCACTATTTTGAAAATCATGTCCGTCTCTTGAATTTGGCTCTTTTTAAATTGCAGTTGGCTACTTTGGTCAATTTGCAACTCATCACCAAAGTTGGCTTCTCGGGGCTCAACGACCCCAAGTACAAGTGCGCTGTTGGATTTGAATTTATCAAAGCTGTTGGAAGGTGTGAATTCAAACTGAATTTAAAGTTTAATGATTATTTCTTAAATTTAACATATTTAGGACTGTGGACTTCAACGTGCAGAGCTACATCATGGAGGAATACTAAAGTTTAAAGGACTCAAAATTTTCAAGTATTTATTAATTGCTACGCTTATTACTATTTTATTTAAAAATCCAAGATCTCGTGAGATATTAATTAAACCACTCAACGTTCAAAGAAAGTGTTGCAAGTTCAAAATTGTCCTTCCATACTTTCAACTATTATTGTTACTTATCTTAAGAACATACAATTTTTATTTTTCTTGTAGCTGACTGGCTTATTAACTTTCAAAACAATTTGCGCATTTTGCACATGCAGTGCTCGCCAATTAGCAAATAGTATTTCTTTATATCGGCTTGGCCAATAGCAACAAGCAACGCTCCTGATCTTACGGTCACGTGGTACATGAGTCATATCTAGAAACGATCAACAGAAGAAAGAACTGCAGGCGAATTGTCGAGACGGTAAGTTTTGGAGACTTCTGACTTATAATTATTAAATTGAACTGGAAAGTTAATAGACACACTGGAAAAACAGGATTATCCAGTAGCTCAGTTCTCTAATTACAAACCCTGCAAGTGTCAGCATCTAATATCGATAAAGAAATGAAAATTACTTTTCCTCCTTTTACTTATAGTTAGGGGAACCCCCAAAAGGTTTTATTGTATTTTTGGTGTGAGAAAACAGTCATTCAAATTAATTATAAAGATATGATGCGATATGATGATATTTTTATTGGGGTTTAATTATTGAATGGAATTGTTTTGCGCGTCTTTTACAAAAAAGCATCTATTTGAGATGAAAAAGTACAAATTATATATTATTTAAGCAATTTATTTCAATTAACATTTAATTTCCAGGTTCAATGCCTTACAAATCTCGAAAAGTATGCCGCGTCGAGGCAGTTCCAGAGGAGAGCACAACAATCAACAATCCACTTGATGTCCTACAAGATCTTAATCTAAATGGAGAAGGTCAGAACAGCAAACTTCAAGAAGCAGCCGAGGAAGGAAATTGGAAGGTGGTTGAGTCGTTGTTGGAGGGAGGCGCAAAACCCACAGGAAAGTTCATCAACGGCTGGACACTTCTGCACTACGCTGTTAAGAGTGGCAACCTTGAAACGATCAGGTTGGCCCTGAAGCTAAAATGTCTCATCTCGGAACAAACCCTTGCTGGTTCGACCGCCCTTCACCTGGCAGCCGCCTTTGCTGGGGAGGACATCTGTGAATTTCTAATCAAGAATGGCATTGACCACAAAGCAGTCAACAGAAATGGCATGAATGCCATGCATGTGGCATGTCGGAAGGGCAACCTGGAATGCTTAAAATATCTGCTCGGCCAAGCCAAGTTGTTTAATTTGAACAAAAAAACGCCACAAAAAGAAACTGCTCTGCACTTAGCAACTAAATCTGGTAACTTGAGTGTAATAAAGTTCCTAATGAGCTTCTCTGGTGTCAGCTGTAATGCACCTGATTTGAAGGGCTGCACTCCTTTTCTCCTTGCTGCTAGTTCTGCAGACGTCGAAGTTATCCGATTCTTCATCGAGCATGGAGCTGACTTGGCGTCGACAACTTCAGAAGGTCGGAACGCCTTGCATTTGGCGTGCCAAGAAGGAAAGGTGGAAAACGTTGATTTTTTGTTGAGCACCGGTCAGTTTGACTTGGCCAAAAAAGACCTTGAAGGTTACCAGGCCATCCACATTGCCACGATCGAAGAGCATTGCAACGTCATCGACTTGCTTTTGGAAAAGGGCGCCGACCTTGAGGCTCGAACTGGCTGCCATCAAGAACTGACACCTTTGCTTTTGGCTGCCGAGTGCTGCCAACTGGACACATTTAAGTTTTTGCTCGAGAGGGGCGCTGACCTGGACTACGAAGACACCATGTACCATGACGCTTTCCACTTGACCTGCTATGGCGATAATTTGAGTGTAGCCCGTTACCTGGTGGAGATTGGAAAATATGACTTAGAGAAGAGGAATGTCAATGGAAAGACGCCGTGGATCAAATTGGCACATGATAGCTGCATTGAATTTAAGCGCCTTTTGGTGGAGTTGGGCGCCGATATCCACGCCACGGACAACTTCAACCTGAGCGCCCTGACCATTGCCGCGCAGTTCAGCAGCGTGGAGAAATGCAAGTACCTGATGTCCCTTGGTTTAGACTTTGACGTACTGACCAAGGACGGCGGAACCGCCTTGCACCAAGCGTGCGTGTCTGGCAACCTTGCCACGGCCAAATTTATTCTGGAATTGGGACGCCTGGATGTTACCGACAAGCAAAGGGATGGCTCGACTCCTTTGCATGTGGCAGCGGGCAGAGGCCACTTAGACATGGTTAAACTGCTTTTAGAAAATGGCGCAGAACTCCAAAGTTTAAATGATCATGGCTTGCTGCCCTTTCACTGCGCCGCCAGGTCAGGAAACGTCGCCACTCTGCGCTTTTTCATTGAGGAATGTGGGTTTCTGCTTGAGAAGACGGGTCGAGGTGATAACGCACTCCTTTTGTCTAGCAAGAATAAAAAAGTGGACGTGATGCAATATCTAGTCGAAGATCTGGGCTTGGAAACTGACATAGTTGATTCAAAAGGCTCGGGTTTGTTTCTAAATGCTTGTTTTGGCGGAAACATAGAATCTGTCCGCTACTTAATTGACAACGATTTGGACCCACTGGTTCTGAACAATTACGGCGAAGGCGCGCTCCACCAAACTGCAAGATGCTACCATGACAGTAGCTTACTGATGAAGTACCTGGTGGAAGAACTGAAGTTGGATGTCAATCTCTGTTCGAAAAATGGAGCTACGCCTTTACTTCTAGCAGCAGAGTTTGGAAGCGACGCCACTTGTCGCTGGCTCTTGGAGCACCCTGACGTGAATCTCAGGGCAGAAAATCGTTACGGGAACGACGCCCTGCTATGCGCGTGCAATGGGGGTAAGCTGGAGAACGTGGAGGTTCTTTGGGACAGTGGCAAGTTCTGCATCAACACTGAGAACAAAGACGGCCAAACGGCGCTTCACCTGGCAGCTGGAAACGGCTGGTCTAACTCGTTGGAGCTGATCAAATTTTTGGTGGAGACTGCCGGCGCTGAAGTGACTGCGGCAAACAAATATGGGTGGACGCCCTTGCACGTAGCCGCCAAGCTTGCAGACCTTTTGGTGAATGAGTACCTAGTTTCAAAGGAGGACTCGCTGGTGTACCGTAAGACAGCCGACGGCGCAATACCTTTGGACTTAGCCAAGCAAAACCAAGACAGATCCGTTCTTGCATTTTATGAAAGCAGAACCAAGATCATAATTCAAGACCAAGGGCCGCGCAATCAGCAGGGAGGAAGCTGGAGAAACGCAAATGGCAATCAAACACCAAAGCAAAATCCAAGAAATCCAGCATATGGCCATCAACTATTTAATTCCAACTGGAGGTCATGATTTATTTTCTACTTCTTTTACGGCCTGCTATCTCAAAAATGGAAAAATCCTTTTTATTAAATGGGAGGAAAATAGGTGGGGGACATCAGGGCTATTTTTTTTCTTTAAAAACAGATTGGAGCAAAAAAAAATTTAGATAACTTGTGTTTTGAATATCTTTGCAAATTTTTAAAATTTAATAGTTCTTCTTTTAGTTAGAATATTTGAAAATCTCACTTGGAAGTAATGGATAAATAAAAATTTATAATTTCTACTTTAAAAACTTCAAGCTTTAGTTTTAATAATAATGTTTTATAAATTAAAATTGGAAGCCTAGGCATTTACTAAAAAGCTGAGACTGGAGAGGTTAAATAATTTTAAGCCTGCCAATTCATGTATTAATTAAATTAATGTGAACTCATTATTGGGGCCTATGGCATTGGTTATCCTTTGCTCTATATTGTACATGAATTTAATGTACATACTTCATACTTTCTCTTCTTCTCGTCTGATAACAACGTTCTTTTTTTGATAATCGATCACGTGACGCATCCCCACAAACAAGTAAAATACTCAGAAAATAGTCAGCCGAGCCGGCCAACGCAAGACAGGCGCGCTCAGTGAAGAATAAACCAAAATAGGAAAACTCACGAAGGCACTGGAAAATCAGGATTCGTCATAAGCACGTTTACTTTGGTCAGCAACATGTGTATGTATGACCCTTTCAAAGTTAATGACACGACAACATCAACTGATTGACTAACAGTGTGTCATGCCATTGTGTAATGTAATATAGTATGACTAATATGCGCTAATATGTGCGTGAGATAAAAGATTACCTGCTTATAGTTTGTGAAATCCCCAATTATTGGAAAGTTAGTGGATATAGTATTTTTAAAACGCGTTATAGTTAAAATGACGGCCTAACTTTTAATGTGATTTATTCTCATACTAAAAGTATCTAAACATTAATTTGTCAGGTGCAATGAAGCGCCGTCAATTGAAAGTACTCCGGTGCAATGGAGATAAACTACAGGCTGACTATTTCCTACAAAACCCTAACGCAGGTGGAGGAAATTCGGAACTATATGTAGCAGCTGAAAAAGGAAATTGGCAGCTGGTCGAGTCTCTGTTGGATGGCGGCGCAAATCCTACAGAAAAGTCAAGTATGGGCTGGACGCTTCTGCACTTCGCTGTCAAGAGCGGGGACCTTAAAACGGTCAGGTCGGCTCTGAAGGGAAAATGTCTCATCTTCGAGAAAACCAATAGCTGCGCCACTGCACTCCACCTGGCAGCTGCTTTTGCTAGGGACAGTGTCTGCAACCTGCTCATCATCAATGGTGTTGACTGCGCTGCCCTTGACAGCTCTGGCTTGAACGCCTTGCATGTGGCTTGTCGAAAGGGTAACCTGGAAAGCCTCAAATACCTGATTGGTCTAGAGCAATTTTTTCCGATCGGCCAAAAATCGCCCAAGAATGAAACTGCTCTGCACTTTGCAACCATGTCTGGTAACTTGGCATTGGTAGAATTCCTAATGAACAACGGTCTTGACTGCAACGAGCCTGACTCGGAGGGCTATACTCCATTTCTCCTGTCCGCCGGTGCTGCAGACGTCAACGTCGTCTGCTTCTTCGTCGAGAAAGGAGCCAATTTGTCTTCGGCAAACAAGACTGGCCGGAACGCTTTGCACTTGTCGTGTCAAGAGGGAAAGCTGGAGAACGCGCGCTATTTGCTGAGCACCGGCAGATTCGACCTGGCTCAAAAAGATCTCCAAGGTGCGTTATCCTTTTCTTTTTCACAAAAATGACAAAAAAAATATGAAAAAATTATCAATGGCCGCATTTAATTTCTTGTAAATTTAAAGACTTTAATCCATGATGCGCCAATAAAATAATGAAATTATTCTTGCATGTTTCACTATGGAAAATCAATTTAGGTTACGAAGCAATCCATATTGCCACAATTGAAGAACACTGCAACATCCTCGACCTTCTTTTAGAGAACGGCGGAGACGTCAACGCTTGTACCGACTCCAGTCTGCAAATGACTCCTTTGCTGCTGGCGGCGGAGTGCTGTCAGCTGGACACTTTCAAGTTCCTAGTCGAGAGGGGCGCCGACCTAGACTTGGAGGACACTATGTCCAACGATTTGTTCCTCCGGAGCTGCTACAGCGAAAACAACTTGGATGTAGCGCGTTTCTTGGTGGAGATTGGCAAGTATGACTTGGAGAAGAGGAACGTAACTGGAAAGACGCCATGGATCAGGCTAGGCCACAGCAGCAGCATCGAATTCAAACAGTTTCTTGTTGACTTAGGCGCCGATGTCCACGCCACGGACAATTTCAACATGACCGCCCTGACCATGGCGGCGCAATACAGCAGCGTGGAGAACTGCAAGTACTTGATGTCCCTCGGTATGGACTTTGACGTGCTGACCAGGGACGGCGGAACTGCCTTGCACCAAGCATGCATCTCTGGCAACGTCGCCACGGCTAAGTTCATTCTGGAATTGGGACGCCTGGACATTAATGCCACACAAGAAAAAGGTTTTTTAAATCGATTATTTATAAAACTGATTTTTAGTTAAATTTTAACTATTATTTGCACAAAATTTCACATGCAGAAGTATTGCTTAGATCAGCATAACACATTTTTTTTTAAATCTTCAGTTCTGCTCGAGTCCTTTATTTCTTTGTTCCTACACTGAAGCTAGAGAATAAAACAATTAGGAATAAGTTCTGAGAGCTGATATACTTTCTGTCTTCAGGTTTGACTCCTCTACATATGGCAGCAGGCAGAGGCCACCTTGATATGGTAAAATTGCTTGTGCAAAGCGGCGCAAAGCTTGGGAAACGGAGCAACAAGGGTCTGCTGGCCTTCCACAGTGCTGCCAGGTTTGGAAACCTTTACCTCAAAATATCATGCACTAACGTAGTTTCAGTTTTTCCACTTACGTGTGTTGATAATAATTATTTTTTGGCCATTTTTTTTTTATTTTTTTATTTTATTTTTTTTTTTTTGAAGAAATTACAAACCTTGCACATATATTATTTAAAATTATTTTATTCTGCTTAAAATTAAGAAATGACAATTGTTAACAACATTTTGAAATTTCGCTTCAAACTTAGTTCCAAATATCTTACTGTCCTTTATTTATCAAGTCCTACTATTTTCTCCGCTAAAACTACAATAGAACATCATCATGCGTCAAAATAAATTTTTTTTCATCAATTTCGCTTAAAAAATCAATCAACTTCTCTAACTTTTTCTGTAAAAATAAATTTAAATTATTCATTTTTTTTAACTCTAGATAAGAGTATTTGCAAATTGTTTATTCATTAAATTTCACAGGTCGGGTGACATAGCATGTGTACAATTTTTTGTTGAGGATTGTGAGGATTGCGGATTTCTGGACGGGGAGACACATCAAGATGAGACCGCCTTATTTCTGGCAAGCCAGAACAGAAACGCTAATGTTTTGCAGTATCTGATCGAAAGAGGCGCCAGCCCTAGCATTGTCGGCTCCAATTGGAAGAATGTGTACCTAAGCGCCTGTTGCGCTGGAAATGTGCAATCGGTCCGCTATTTAGCAGAGCTTCACAATGCTGACCCCTTCGTTTTGAATAAGAATGATCAAGGCGCACTCCACCTTGCTGCCCGAAGTCTCTTTGACTGCAGCAGTCTATTAGGGTACCTGGTGGAAGAACTGAAGCTGGACGTAAACCTCCGTTCGATTAACGGAGCTACACCTTTGCATCTAGCAGCAGAGTTTGGAAGCGCCGTCAATTGCCGGTGGCTCTTAGAGCACCCAGACGTGCAGGCGACGGAGGAAAATGTGCATGGGGACGACGCCCTGCTACGTGCTTGCTCTGGGGGTAAGCTAGAAAATGTCAAAGTAATTATGGACAGTGGCAAATTCTTCGTTGACAAGAAGAACCAAAGTGGACGTACGGGTTTGCACTTGGCAGCTAAAATAGACTTCATATGGCTGGTCAAATTTTTGGTGGAAAGCGCCGGCGCCCAAGTGGCCGTGCAAGACCAACATGGATGGACGCCCGCGCATGTAGCCGCTAAGTTTGCAGACGTCAAGGTGAACGAGTTCCTTATTTCAAAGGAAGATTCGCTGCTGTACCAGAAGACTGCTAATGGCGCCCTACCTCTGGACGTGGCCAAGCAAAACCAAGACAAATCCGTGCTTGCATTTTATGAAAGCAAAACTAAGATTTACAGTAAAGACCTAGGGCAGAGTAGAAACGATCACAGTCAATCTACGTCAAAAAGGGGCCGATCAGCTTATGGCCATCAAATTTTCGATTCTAACTGGAGGTCTTAATTCAATTTCCGTTTCTACGTTAGTGTTAATTAAATTTTATCTTCTACTTATTTTCAACAAAAGAAAATTACTGCTTTTGAAATGATTGAATAATTTTAAAATTTAACCTTTAAAAAAAATGGGAAAATCAGTTTTGCCTGCCGAGTGCCAAGTTGTCAAGTACGGGCTGCAGTAAATATGCTTAACTTTTGGCTGTAGCTTCAACAGCCAGTTACATAATATTTTTACATTTTAGAGTAAGAAAGAGTGTAAAATCTGGTTTTAATAAAAGGAAGCTGCTGTGAATATCAAAGTGTACAAATTTGATTGCGACTATTGCGAGTGACATGCATATCAACGTGCATGGTTACCAACTCCCATAATTCATTTAAGTCCATACTAATAATTTGATACAATCTTCACTGATTAAAAGAATTTGCTTGCAAATGTCTGCATTTCTTGTATTGATGAAAATTAAAATGCATCGTTTCCAAATAGGATTAATGCATACAGATTTGAGTAAAAAAAAATTGGCTATTCAAATCTTGTAATTTAATTTTTTTTCTTGTCACAGGTTAAAACTCGCTCCTGAAAAACCTGTGCAGTAGAATTCTGGTCACAATCATTCAAGATTTACACGATCAAAAATCAAAAGTAATTAATAAAATTAGAAACTTAAATTAGAATATTATGTTGACACAGAATACTCCGGTAGAAATAAGATTTTGCTATTGAAATCTCAAATTATTGATTCGGCATCATTATTAAATTCAGGAATGAATTCCGTAAAGTAAATAAGATTCTTGATGAGTACGTTAAATTAGTCTCCACGTATATTATTTATAAAAAAAAGAATACAAAATACAGTTAAGATCTCCTCGTAGGAAGTAAAAATATTAAACATTCAGTGTTCTCAGATGGTTAATTGAGTATTAGTTTGTGCATTCGGTTGAACCGGCAATCAGATCCTATTAAATTTTGTTTTGCTCAGGCAGTTTGAGTAGGTGCTGTGGCCGCAGTGCCGCCCACGAGTTCCGTGTAGAACGCTCTGATCGTCCTAATGCAGTACAGCAATGCAACTGCCACAAAAGTACGACTTAGTATTAGAAAAAAAATATCAAACTGCAGAAAAGATGTTACCGAGGGCAAGTACAGTGATGATGGCGTCAAAGTTGAGGCTGATGACGCGAATGATAAGAATCGCCAGGAGGTACAGCACACTAACATACATCGAGAACTTGATCCAATAGTCCACCTTGACAGGGTCACTCTAAAATTCAATTTAGTTTTTTAAAAAGGTAATTTTTAGAGGAATGTTTATACCTTTTTGGCGCCATCAAAGAGGAAGTACTGGAACGGAATGCTTATCAAGGAAATTAGCAACACCAGAATGGTAAACCACAAGCCTGCAAAATGAGGGGACACGTGAAAATTTATGTTCTAATTGGGGTGACAATTTAAATATTACTTCCGGACAGCGTAATTAACGCAATGGCTGAAGACAGCGCGGACAGTACGTAGTACACCTTGAATTGCATGAAAATTAAAAACAAGAAAAATCGGAATTTGAAAAAATAATAATACATTAATATAAAATTTCAATAATGGTAATAATAATTTAAAACGCATTTTTTTTAATAAAGCGGGCTGTAATTTAATTAGGGTAAACAAAATTTTAGAAAAAATATTGCCTATTCAATTTTGAAGAAAAACTATATTATTCTCTTTATATTTAATTAATTAGGGTGGCGTAGAGTAGTGAATTTTGTAGTAATTTTTTTGGCAGATTTTAATTTAAAACCGTTTTTAAGCAAAATTTCCAAAAATAATAATTTTAATTTACAAAAATGCAGATTTCCATTTTAATATCCTCCATAAAAATTTAAAAATAAGAAAATAAATAAACCACAACCAATGTTCATTGAAATCACTAAGCCAATTAATTTTTAGCTTCTTTTCAAGTAAAGCCAATTTTTAAATTTTTTTCTTTTTTTCATTTTTGAGTGGGAACTTTTTTAGTTTCACATTAAATTGTGTTTGTGTGGGAGTTGAAACTAATGTGTGTCATGCACTTAAGGTGTTGGTTGTTCGGCTCACCAGGTAGACGGCGGCGATGATGTAGGCAGCCTGCTGGTTGCTTTCCACTGTAAGGCACATCTTGCTCGAATTTGAAAAACCCTGTTGATAAAATGAGTTGAATTAAAATTGAGCACTTCTAGCAACTCTAGGCGGGACGTATTAATTAAATCAAATTATATATTATATTAAGCCGCCTCCGAGCCACGCCTATTTCTACTCTTGACAATTAAAACTTATTTTTAGTTGCGAGGCGCGGGCGTGAGTGGCACGAATTAAAATTAGAAAAACAGGATTAGTTCGGACGGTTTGAGTGTCAATGGAGTGAATACATAACATAAAAATTTTTTATTTGAATTTTCAACGCCAACTATGAAATTTTTAGCGTCTTTTGGTTTTCAACACCAAACCGAGAAGTTGTCGCAAAATTCTTTAAAGAAAATTAAAGATTAAAGAATTACTTTCATGCGAAGGACTTTGATGGCTGGAAAGAGTGGGATTCGGGCTGAGTGGCGCCGATTTCGGGCCGCGGCGTCTCACCTGTTTGCGTTGTTTACGTTCGTCGTTCGCTGGCCTCCACTACCTTCTCTACGCGCCGTCTCCGTCTCCAAAGTCCAAATGCAAGCATAAAAAACCTGTGGAGCCGCGGTCGGTCGGCGCAGACTCGCGCTGCATCAAAGCGCCGCTTTATTCACCGCGATGACGTAACGCCGAATGTACGTGTCATGTAGCCAGCAGAGAGTATGAGCTCAGCTTTATTTTCCTTCACATTACATAGACGGCGAAAAAAAAATGAAAAAGGGTGAGCTTTCAGTTGCTTACGTGAGCGTTTCCAGCCAAAGGACATGCAAATTGCGCGCTTTGTCACAATTTCTAGCGGATAAATTTTTTAACGCTAAAATATTATTCAATGATTAAAATTAATTAAATAATTTCAATATTTATTGCATTAATGCATTGAAAATAAATTTTCAAAAAAATATATGATAATTTATGATTTTTTTCTATAAAAATTAAGTGGAATATTTCCAGAGGATGGTCATCCGTAATGACGACCAATTTAATATTTTATCCTGCAATTAAAATTTAATTTGTAAAACATAAAAAATTAATTAATCCAATTTTTATTCTAAAAAACCGGATATTTAATCCAGAATTAGAATATTAAATACAAGACAAAATTCATTCCAAAAATTTTTACGATTCTAATCAAAGATTTATTTAAAACACATATGGTCATAATTTATATAAAAGTATACGTGTTTCGCCAGTGGTCAATCGGTCAATCCAACTGCCTTAGCAATTACAAAGTTGGAGCGCAGATGAGAGATTAAAATTCTCGGCGGCGCGAGAAATTAGTTTTTAGTGATTTTTATTCTGTGCAACAACGTGATGTGATATGAGATAAATGTGTTAGTTATTTGAGGGAGAAAATGATTATTATTTATATTTAACGAAAATTACATATAAGAGAAATTTTAATTTCAATATTATTATCATCTTGATAATTAAGTTTATGGCTAATTTTGCAATGTTAACCTAATAATTGGAATCTATACAACAAAGACACTCATAGTAAATATTGTTGCAAGCAAAATTTTTGCAGGGATTTATTTTTGGTGATCATCTGGTGATCATAAAAGATAAAAATGTTCATTTTGTTATACTCATATAACTTATAAGCTTATTTTTTGTGACACATCAACATATTAATTTTTTTGCAATTTTTTATTAACCTCTCTCATGAATTCAAAGAAATAAATAACAATAAGAATTTAGTTGCAAATTGTGTTTATTGATCTATCACATATAAGGCAATTGCTGCCCATAATGGGATATGTCATTTATACATTTAAAATTATACAAGTTAATTTAGTAATTAGAAGAAAATGTAGTAATTAAAAATTATATTGTTGAAGAAATTGGAAATATAAAATTTAAACTCTTATAGCAATTTGATTAGAAGACCAAGTGTTGAACGCGTATTTTTTTTTTACAAAGTGAGCAAAAAAAATTTATTTGCGTTTTTTGTCCTCTCAATTGTGAGGAGGGTGAGGTAGGTGCTGATTGGCAAGCACAGGTTTTTTATAATTGCGAAAATTTACCGTAATCGCTTCGCCGCTCTGACAGATCTTGTAGGTCACGCGCGTTAATTGTATGCAAATAAAGCATAAGACCGCTATGCTGAGGCGGCGATCGAACAATTGAGACGCATGGACTCGGCAGTCGGCGTCTGCATGTTGCACTAACATGTGCCGCTCCATCAGCCTGCTTTTCCTCTTCCTGATCGCGGCCGCCGGTTTTGTCACGGCGGCCAAAGATGACCCTCAGGTATATTTCTTTAGCCATTATTTTAACAAAAATATATACTTTTTTTAATACAAATACTGCACTGTTTTTGAAATTTTATATTTAAATTAATTTTTCAACTCTTCCAAAAGGAATTGACATTGTCAACTACAATGGAAATTCGGGGCTTGGTGCGGCACCGATATGCGACCGTCCAGTTCGCCACTTTTCTGCACAATCCTTCGGAAGAGGCCGTTGAGACCAACGTGACCTTTTTTGTGCCTGAAAACGCATTCGTCTCCTACGCAACCCTGTCCGTTTTTCAAAATTGGAAATTTACAATATAATTTGAATTTTTTGCTTAGCGAGGTGGACGGTGAGGTCATCCGAGGTCAAGTGCAGGAGCGCAAGGCGGTGGTGCAGCAGTACCAGTTGGCGGTCGGCGTCGGAGCCTCAGCCAGTCAGGTTTCTGCGTAAGGCTATAAACAAAGAACCGCTGCTTGATCTCAATTCGCCTGCAATTTAATCCCTTTTATCTTTTTTCTCATTGCAATATATCGGATGCAGGGTCAGAGACGCGAGCGAGGTGCGCGTTTCGGTGAACGTAGGCGCCAGGTCGACGGCCACCTTCAACCTGACCTACGAGGAACTGCTCACGAGGCGCCAGGGGCGCTACCAAATGACCCTCAATGTCCACCCCCAACAGGTCAGATCAATATTATAATTGTTGGTTAAGATTTCTTTTGAAAAAATATAATTGTTCTTTATCTATTCAAATTATTTTGAGAAAAAAAAACTGATTTATTAAATCTTGAATGGTGCAGAAGTTGGAGTCTCTCAAGCTGGAGGTGGAAATCAAGGAGAGCAGAAATTTTACCTTCATCAATGTGCCGCCCTTCAGGGACACGATGACCCCTGATGACTTAGGTGCGTTTTATTATATAATATAATATTTTAAAGGAAGCATAACTGGCGTGGATGTAGAAATAAATAGGAAAGAGTTAACCGATAAAAAAAAATTAATCATGAAATGGAAGAAATGACTAGAAACGATTAAATTAAAAATTGTAGAGAAATAGAAATGATTAATTCTCTAGTATTCTAATAAATTTTGCAGGAAAAAATACAATATTGCTATTATAAGTCTATAATCAACGTAATATTTATATTCACGCTGTCTCAAAAATTCATGTTTCCACATTTGGAAGAAATGAAAATCAGAATAAAGTGCGCAAACGCTTAAGGCGGTGTGTAAAGGTAAAAAGTTTTTAGCAGATTGTAGAAGATCTTCTTTTTTAATAGATAACGACGTTTCTAACAAGGATGTCAAAATAAAATTTCTGGAGGAGGAAGGTCACTGCCTGATTTCCTACTCGACTGATTCGAAACTACCAGGCCCTTTTTTCATTCGCTACGATGTGGACCGCGAGACAAACCAAGGAGAAGTTTTGGTAAAAAATTGTAAGCCAAAATCTTTTACTCTATTTTATAAATTTTTTTTCGAAAGTTGCTGGACGGGTACTTTGTGCACTTTGTGACTGCGGAGCGCGAGAAGGCGAGACCCCCGACGCTACCGAAACACGCAATTTTTGTGCTAGACTCGAGCGCGTCCATGTGGGGCCCAAAACTGCGGCAGCAGCAAGTCGCCATGACGCAGATCTTGCGCCAACTTGACCGTCACGATGTCTTCAGCATTGTCACTTTTGGCAACAAAGCGAGCGTAACTTTTGACGCTTTTCTGAAAATTTGGAAGTTTCTTAAAATTTTTTGCAGGAATGGACTCAGCAAGGGCTGCAACCCTCCTTAGGCAAAGGCGTGTACGCTGCCAACAGGCGCAATATTGCAGACGCTATTGATTTCATCTCCAGGATGCAAGCAACTGGAGGTAAAAAAAAAAAACTAAAATATTTTATTATATATAGTGATTTTCCTAATTCTTATTTAAATGCTGTTAAAGACTACCGAATTACTTCAAATTGCGCACCGATTAACGTGCTTTTATAAGATGAGAAGTAATGAAAAAAATTAAATAATACGTGTGATACTTAATTAACTTTAATATTTATTTAATCACCGTTTACTGCTTGTTTCAAAGAAAATAGGTGTATTAGTTGTAATAAAATTGCAAGTTTATTTATAAAAATGTGCAATAAAAATGTGGAAGATTTAAAGTAAGGTGATATTATAATAATATTATGTTTTTAATAAAACTCTAATAAAAAAATATTAAACCAAATTTACATAGAATAAAATTTATTCGATTAAAAATTATAATTTAAATGTTAAACTAACTAAAATTTGAGTAATTATATAACAATTACAATATGTATAGTTTTATTAAATTTTTAATTTATAGTGATGATTCTAAAACCCCATAGATCAAGTAACTTCTAATCACCCCTGAATTAATTTGTAATTTGACACGACAGGAACCAACATTCAGGCCGGTCTGCGGAGAGCACTGTACTTGGCTGCCAAGTACCGTAATATCCCCTTGATCCCTGGCGTGTCCGAGGGCGCCAACTACAGCACACCTACCCCCAAGGAGGTGCAAACCCTGGTCACATTTGTATCAGACGGGGTGCCGACGGCCGGGGAGATCCGGCTGACGCGTCTCCTCAAGTCTATCCAGTTTGCCAACCAGAACACTCGGGCAAGCGTTTTTGCGCTGGCCCTGGGCCCGTCGGCCAACTACGGCTTCCTGCGGCGCCTCGCCCTGCAGAACTTCGGCTTCAGCCGCCGCATCTACGAGGGCGCCGACACGGCCCTGCAGCTGCAGAGCTTCTTCCGCGAGATCTCCTCACCTCTGCTGCACAACGTGACCTTCGCCTACGTCGACAACAAGGTCAACTTCAGCTCAGTCACCTTGCGCCACTTCCCCACGCTCTTCGCCGGCGGCGAGGTTGTCGTTGCTGGAAGACTCGACTCCTCCTTCGATCCTGAGCAAGAGCAGCAGGTCATCGGCAGTGTGACGGCGAGAGGAGTTGGAGGAGAAAAGGTGTCCACCAACATAACCCTTCCTGAAGGTGCTTCCAAAATTAATTCAACCGTACGGACCCTTCAATTTTTTATGACCTTGAGTTCTGACCTTTTATTTGATTCAGGGACTCCGCAGAAGGAGAATTGGCGTCCTGGAGAAGATCTGGGCTCACATGACTATCCGCCAGTTGCTAGACAACTATCTGATCGAGGATTTTGGTGACTCAAACAGCACGCTGCAGGACGAATCCAGAACAAGCAATAACAAGGAAAGGGCCCTCGCTCTGGCCCTGAAGGTTTTTCAAAAAACTTATTTTCAATTCAGGTTTAAAATTCATTTCAGTATGGTTTTGTGACTCCACTGACGTCACTGGTGATGGTGTCTGAAAATAAGAAACGCGTGACCCTGATTGCGGCAGATGACGTGGAGAAGGACTTGAAACAACCAGAGCAGCTGCCCTTCAACAACAAAGTTGGTGAGATCTTTGCTCTAAAATATATTTATCTTTTTACTATATCTTGTTAATCTGGGTAGTTCCACCGATCTTGTTGCCCATGAGCATCCAGCAAGCGGCACTCAGTAACAAAACGGAAGAAAGCACTGAGAAATGTTAGTGATATAAAAAATCTAAATGTATGAAATAGTTTTCTTAATTTTTATTTTCAAAAATGATAGCTCCTTTTGAGAAATTTGACTGGCTGACATTTTTGCTGGCGGAAAATGATAGCGTCACTTTTATTAAAACCAACGGCGAGGAGATCACGCGAATCGTTTTGAAGGAAACTGAAGACAAGGTGCCAAATTTTTACAAGTTTTCGATAAGAAGCTATAATAAAAAAAACTGTGTATTAGGAATCTAATAGGCCAGAATGCACTTTTAAGGGAAATGATGAAGCTGAAGTCAAAGGCACTTGCAAACCTCTGCTGACCTGTCCGAGCACTCAAGTGCCGACCTTTGATGAGTACCTTAGAAGGCACTGCGATTTCGATGAGTAAATCATAATTATCCTTTAGTTATGAAAGCTGTGTAATAAAAAAATCTTTCAACAGTGCCTCACTTGCTGTCTGCTGCGAGAGCTAGTATGCAACCGGCGCAACTTCGGTATGGATCAGGTTGCATAAATGACTTTAATTTATTTATTTTTTCTAAAATAAAATTGTAACTTATTTTCCATGGAAAACCATTTTTAATTTTTTAAACTGGTGGATATATGATTGAAAGTCGTGATTTTTCAGTTTTATATACAAAATTTATTGTTTATCATGACAGTGGTTTTTGGGTTTTTGTAAATTTCAACAACAATAAAAAATTGTTGCTCTAAATTCTAAATCTAATTAATGGAATACAGTCGTTTAGCCGAGAACAGCAGCACCAAGGAGACCAGCGCCGACGATACCGGCGCCGGCGACGCCTGCAGCCTTGGCGACCAGAGCCTTCTTCACCAGCTTCTTAACAATGAGTTTCTGGAAATGGGAAAATTAGAAAACTTTAGTTCAATGTGACTTTGGAAAAATTTCTACCTTGATCAGCTTCTTCTTGGGGAACTTCTTGAGGATCTTCTTGGGGAACTTGGGGATGAGAACGGGCACCGGAACGGGTTTCTTGACAGGCACGGCCACCTTGTGGTAGACGGGGACGATCTTATGTTTCACCTCAACATGCTCGTAGGCGGGAACGCCGTATTCCTGAGCGGGAGCGTAGGTGGCGGCAGGAGCTTCATATGTTTCGGCAGGAGGACCGTACGACTCAGCAGGAGCTTCGTAAGTCTCAGCGGGAGTGCCGTACTCCTCAGCGGGAGCGTAGGTTGGCTGTGCGGGAGCGTAGGTTGAGGCGGGAGCTTCGTATGTCTGAGCGGGGGCACCGTAGGTTTGGGCGGGAGCTTCGTATGTCTGGGCGGGGGCACCATAGGTTTGGGCGGGAGCTTCGTATGTCTGGGCAGGGGCTTCGTAAGTTGGCGCGGGGGCAGAGTAAGTCTGGGCGGGAGCAGAGTAGGTCTGAGCGGGAGCAGAGTATGTCTGAGCTGGAGCAGAGTATGTCTGAGCGGGAGCTGAGTATGTCTGAGCGGGAGCTTCATAGGCTTGAGCGGGTGCAGCGTAGGTGTGAGCGCTGGCCTGAGATTGGGCGGGGGCTGCGTAGTTTTGGGCGGGAGCCTCGTAGGTTTGGGCTACGGAAGCTTGAGACTGGGCGGGAGCCTCGTAGGTCTGCTGCGGCACCTCGTAGATGGTATAAAGTTGGTCCTGGGCCTGGGCACTAGCCTGAGCCTGGGCTTGGGCTTGAGCGGGAACCTGGTAGGAATTCGTAGGCACTTGGTACGCCGTGGACGGGGCCTCACCCCTGGCCACGCACACCATAGCTGCCAGCAAGAAGGTCCTGGCTGCGAGCATGTTGGTGGATCTGAAACACGACACAAAGGTTTGGAAAGGTCCAAAAGGTTGGAAGTGCACTCACTGTTTGGCTGTTCAGGGGAAGCTTGAGCGACTGATGCTGACCTGTTGACACGCACCGGTTTTGTAGTGGCCGCGACGCCCCCACCAGGGTCACTTTCGCTCACCAAATTTCACCCTTACTGTACAGCAAGCGGCCCTAGGCTATTCTCCTAATACCAGCTATTTCCGAGTGCTCTCATTATAGGCTCGGAATAAGTTTCTATACTTGTGCAAGGAGAAAGAGGAAGCGACGACAAAAGCCAGCGCACTGCTATTTCAGTCCAATTGTATAAAAGTTAAGGGACATAAAATTGATTGCAAGTAAAATATTGAACATTTTAAAAGTTTATGTAGGAAGAAGATTTAATTCATTTCAACTGAAGCATCTTTATCTTTTAAGTTTAGAAGGTTGAAAAAAAACTTTAATGGAAAAAAAATATAATCACTAAAAATGAATATTTTAATTAAATTTTTAATTTCCAAGTGAGGAGCTTTATATAAAGTCTTGCTATTTTAAAGAAATTTATTTTTATTGTAAATTTTTAACCATTTCATTGATTTTATATCTATTTTGTTAAAATGATCATTTAACTTCAATAAAGTCCTACCACATCAAGAGCTGGTGGCGCCGGCAGCAGCGCCTCACGGACCGTCAGCCTGCCCGAACAACCCACTACCCCCAACAGCAGCATCCTCCCCCCGGAGCTGAGGATTTTATCTTGGCCCCGTAGTCCACCCACTACCAAGCACAGGATGAGAAAACAAAATTTTCAATAATGCTCTGGAATGTTAAGGGACTTTTTAACACACGGGATCATTCACGAGATTTTGTTATTGGTTCAGAATATTTCAGAAAAATAAATTAAATGATTTCTTTTTTTTTATTTTATTTTGGATTTTAAATCTCTAATTGAAATATTTTTACTTCCAAGTTTCGATAAAAAAAAGTTTTATATATAATAATTGCATAATTTATTATGCGGTTGTCTGTGCGTCGCGGCTGCAGCGTTGGCTCTTTGCGGCGCGATGCAATCACTTTTGCTTTCAATGGAATGTGAAAGTCTGTCTGCATGTCGGAGTAGCATTATAGTCGGCACCGTTTCCTCATATCGGGATTTTCCTTCCATCTCATCCTACACCTGTATTCAAATGACATAACGTGTCACGTGTTCCTTTGTATGGTCCAATCCAAACCCCAAGATTATATGCAAAAACGTATATGCAAATTTGGCACCTCCTGTTTGGAGGTGCCCTCTTCAGGTAAAATTAATAACTAGAACGCTGAAATTTTGGCATGGGTTTTTTTTATTCGCACACAAAATAAATTATTAACAAACTAACAGCTTTGTATGATTATAAAAAATCATATATACGCTTATAGGGCTAAGGAAAGGGCTCTTTGGCCCCGATTGCGGTTGACCCGTTTCAACTTCTTTGAATGTACATAATTGTAAAACGATTTTAGATAATTAAAATCGTGCGTATAAAATAAAATTATATAATTATATGGCTTCTCTCCGAGTGAAAAGGGAAGTAGTGTTTGTTGAGGAAGATGTGTTTCAGTCGCTTTTGGAGGCGTCGCTTTGCACGGAGGACGACGCTCGAGTGAACAACGAGCGAATCGAGTCACGCACTTGTCCGCCGAAAATGTAGAAATTGTCTCGCGATTGCTGCAAAACAATTGAAATCATAGAAAAATAAGTAAAAAAAGGGTTTTCAAATAAGTGAGTGTTTTTAGAAAAATTGAACATTTAATTGGAAGAAAATAATCTCGTCACATAAAATATATATAAGCACAAGTGAAAACTGCATATGGACATTTATTTTGTATGATTAAGTATGTAAAAGCAGGCTGGTGAATAAATAAGAAAGCTGAAAATTCAGTCCAGAGGTTTGAAGGGCTGAAACGTGCTGAGAACTGCAAGCTGCGTTCACGACTTTTTTGCATTCTGAAATTTGGTATAATTGGTGTAGAAATGATTTGTTTGTTAAATTAATTAATTAAGGTTATCTTAAACAACTTGAAAGGGTTGTATAATACGTAAATAGCCAAATTTCTTCCAGGCCTTTTAAACACACTTATTGACCTAAAAAAAAAAAAAATGGGTTCACCAATGGTCAAAGGTTAAGCCCTAAACCTTGCAAATTGACTTTTTGCATAAAATGCCAAAATGGCTTTGGGGGTGGAGATTACTTCTCTTAGTCGAACAACCTTTATCGGTAAGGGTGTGAAGAATGCAGAAACGTATGTTTTAATTTTGCAGAAGTGTGTAAAATAGACTGTTTTTCATTAAATTATTATGCAATTATTGCTAGTTTTATGTTCACTCTTTATTAACCAAAATTAATCAGATTATTGCTCAAGCTAGAAATGAAAATTTAAAGTGAAATGATTTAATTTTTTCAAGTCACAAGTTGATAATTTTCTTATTCCTGAATGTGAAAATATAATCAATTTTAAAGTGACTCGACAATTTGAGATAAAAATTGATTGAGCCCGATGATTTATCCTTTCACACCCAAAGCATTTGAATCATATTGTTGTTTTGTCCGAGTTTAGTGAAATCCAACTTTTTGTTAATGATTTAAATGGTTTTGGCAGGAGAAGGTCAACCAACCCTTTCAAGGTGCAAATTTAAAAATTTTAAACACAATTTTGGTTTGGTATTGAAATTTTACACTCTCTCAAAGTAAAAAATTGCTGTTTTTGGCCTTTAATTTTGCCTTACTGAGAGGGCGGCGTTTAGTTCGCGCATGAAGAGGCGTCCGATGCCACGCAGGTTGCGTCGCAAATTTGCCAGGAGCATGACGCGGTCGATCTTCATCTGGGGCTTGGGGGTCGTCACATCGTCGTCGTCGCTACTCGACGTGCCGTTGTTGCTCGGAGTCGCCGCGGTCGTCGTCTGCAAATAGATTAAGAAAAATACAAAACTTTGGTTCGTAAGCGCAGAATTCGTACGGCGTTGTTGGACACAAAGACGCGGCTGAGGATGACCCTGATCTTGTCCAGCGCCTCCTTCCGCTCGACACGATTCTGGAAGCAAATTAAATGAGAAAAAGGTTCCCACTTCAAAGGGAGACGCAACTTCCTCGACCATCTCATTGTACAGACGCACAACTTCGCTGAGCTGCCGCTTCGACCTGCTTCTCTCCACATTTTTACTTGCGTGCTGAAAAATTTGATTCCAGAAAAAAAATTATTCTACGCAATTTAAATTAAAGAAAAAATTAATATCAATTTCCTAATTTGTTTGTGTCATTAAATGTATTTTCATTTTAGTTAGTTTAAAAATTCAGCCTAAATTGAAACCAATTTAATTATGCTTATTTGTATACATTTGTATATTTGGCGACACAATAAAAAATAATTAAATAAAAAAAATACATTTTGTGCATCAATTATTATTATTTTTTCGCATTAATTTATTTGCAATTGGTTAGTAAATTACGTGTATTTGAGTAGTGAATTTGTATTGCCCAATTTTTTAAAGTTCTTTAGATTTGAATTCCCAAATTAAGAAATTTCAACGAAAAAAAAATTTAAAAAAAAAATAGCCTATAAAATATGAGCCTTGTTAGAAACATACTTTTAGTTTCTGCAGACACATTTGATTTTTATTTTTTGCTACAGAATTTTGCCGTGAGTTCATAATTACAAAGATTTTTTTTTGCAAAATAATTCTTACTAGGGTCGGGTGGGACGAGAGCAGACCGAGGCTGGCCAGACACACAAGCAGGAGCAACGCTTCCCGCATATCCAGCCCCTGGAACAATCAATCGCAAAACTATTATTTGCAACAAACAGAATGTAGAGAACTAGGAAATCAGCCCACATTTGATTCAGAGTAAAAAATTATGGAAATGTAAATTTGAGGCGTAAAAGATGATTGTGGTATGATGATTATAAAAATAAAATCGTTTTACACATTTTTAAATATAAATTTTAACAATTTTTAAGTAAAATCTGAAAGAAGTCATGGAAGTTAATAAAAGTCAATCAACTTTTATTGCGAGTCCTAATTGAGAGGCGAAGGAAAAGGTCATCGAATCAAAGTGACCATCAAATGGCAACAATGATGCGGCAAAAGCGCGTGAATGAAATAAATGTCATTCACATCGGCCGAGAGGTCGCGTTAATTTGGCACCCAACGCATCCTTGAACAGCCTTCAACTTTCTCCGCACGTGATCAAGCGAGGCAATGAATTTTTTCACAAATCGCCATGCATTGTCGAGTCGGTGCATTGTGTGAGTTTGTTGTGCAACAAAGAAGTGCAGCCTCCGACTAACGAGCAACAGGCGCCTAATTAATGACTCGCCACCATTGCACATTTTGTTCAAACAAAACTGACTCTCATGAGGCTGCACTTTTTTCCACGGACAATTTTTTCAGCAAATTGCGTCTGCAGCTAGGTCTTTGTAATTAAAATGTAGTGGCAACATTTAAACTTGGTCAAGTGCTAATTCTTTGAATGCTCTGGCGCTAAATGTATGCCTCGAAATGAAAGTTATTGATACAATAAATCAACAAATTAACATTAAAAAAAAAGTAGCTATGAAAAATATTTCATTTATCTTCTCTGTGATTTCACAATGGTTAATTGAAATTGAAATGATAAATATTAAAAAATATTTTATTAAAATTATCTAGTTCCGGAAGCTCTTGCATGTTTTATTTTTTAATATTTTGCGAGAAACGTTTTGATTTTTAATTGAGTAATAAATTAATATCATTTTGTTGATTGAGTGTTTTGCATGCTAGTGCTGATTGGAAACTGACACTGCCGCGGCGTTAAATAAAAAGCCGCGTGCTTTCTTTTGTTGCTCAACGAGCGACGCACGTGCGACATTTAAGAGCCTCTTCTCTATGTCACCTGCACTCCCCGGCACAACAAAAGGGTCAAGCTGAAAATCTCTTCCCACGCCGCAATTTGTTAAAGGAGCAAATGTGAATGCCGTTTACTCAAATTAATTACAGAAATTAAAAAAGGGAATTTAATTAGACCATGACTTAAGAAACATTAAGAAATATGTTGGAAAACTGCTGTTTTTGATATTTATAAATGTAAACTTTGAATTTTCAAATAAATTTATTGAGAAAATTTTAAAAAAAGGTTAGTTTTTAACTTCAATTTTTCCAATACCTGCGGATTATTTTTGTTGGAAGACTAATCAATGAGTTACTCTTAAAATCGTTGCCGTCAAAAATTCCCAAAAAAAAAAAAAATATAAAAATAAATAAATTATCCGTTTCAATTGCAATTCTATAAAAATTTAAAGCATTCCTCTGTGTTCCTAAAAAAATTACTTTTAATTCTTTAAAATAAAGACTCATTTTTTCTCCATATTAATCAAGATGAATTATGAAAAGTCATTTTTTTGGGATCAAATAGAATTGTTTTTACCAGTATATTTTTCGATATTTTCTAATGAATAATTAATTTCTATTCATATTATATGCAGAAACGTAACTTTCAAACTTCAAAACGAAGCATCAAGAAAAAAAAGAACTTCAAATCTACGAGTTTTTTTTAAATATATATTTATGTTTATTTAAATTTGACAATTTAAAAAAGGAACCTTTCAGAATAAAGAATAAATATTCATATTTTATAAAAAATTATTGCCTAAAAAAAGAAGAAGGCAATTATTAGAAGTTTGCAATTTGATGAGAATATGATTGTAGTTTTTTTTTAAGTCTTCCTTGATAAAACCTTGAAAGAATAATAATGCAAAAATGTATACACTATGATTTCGCGATTCCAATCAGCCACGTTTTTCTCTCGTTCTCGGCATTCAGACACGCACGCATCGCTTGAATCGCTTCTCGCAATTACGTATGCGGACGACGCGCGGCCCTATCATAATTCCTAAGCAAGCAACTCTCACTTTCTCCCCGCGGCTGACCGAGCCGAGATCAACCAAAATATTGTCACCCGTCGCGAGAGCAGCTGCAAACACACTCATCCTCCTAAATATGACGCAACCATGATGCAACCGATTGATCTTGAGATTAGGATGGGCCTGATTGGCGGCAATATTTTTTGCTTTAACGACAAATGTAGGATGACAAAATCCTTTTTCTCTCAATCTTGATTAATATGTTTACTATTATTAAAAGAGTTAACATCAAAATTATAGAAGTTCTTATGAAAATTAAAAGTTGAATTATCTTCGGCGGTAGAAAAATAAATTTGTATAACAGTTGAAGAATAATTTCTCAAGTCTAAATAAGTTTAATTGTACAGTCATTTTTGATAAATTACAATTTACAAACAATCTTAAAAAAATTTGTTAATATTTAACATCGTAATCTTGATCAATTTCCGTTTTTTTTTTAATATTTTCATTGCATAATGTGTTTCAAATATAAATTTATAAAAAAAAATATATATTATATACTTTGATTTGCCATTTTAACATTAAATAAATTTTACATTATTAATTTAACATAGAAATAAATTTAAAATAAATAAATAAATAAACATGTTTGAAGCGCTTTATCAAATAAAGAAGTCGATTTAAGAATGGCCAAAAAACTATTGAGATTTCAAATCGCGCAAATTAGCTTGCATCAGATGGTGAAAGAAGTTTTCACATGTTTCTTTTTTAACACATTTAAAGGCCAAGAGGTCCAGAGGAGTATCTTTCCAATTGCAATTTTATTTATTTTTTTTATTTTAGAGTGATGTTTTGATATATTAGAATGAAATTTTTGAAGCCATTTAAATAACTTCTTTTGCAATCTTCATTTGAATAATGCGCAGAATAAATAAATTCAAGTAAGTAAAATCACTTTTTAAATTTTTTTGGCTAAATAGAACTTTGAAATTTGCATTGGATTAAAAGTTATGGGGTATGTACTATAATTATAACCTTTCTCGGTGAAAAGTGTGTTTTGTTGATGCTGCCTAACCTCTGAATCGCTTGGAAATTTTATTTCAAAATTTATATTTCACCAAAGCTGAATTCAATGGCTATTTTGAAATAAATCTCAAAAATTTATATCGTTCATCTTATACTTAAAAATCAAGTTTTATTTTCGAGCGCTATTTAAAATGTCATGAATAAACGAATTTACTACGAAAATTACAATTTCACAGAGTATATTCATAATTTTCTCAACAAAATCCTATTTTTAAAGTGTATTTACATTTTCATTTAATATTTTATGAGGAAAATGAAACTTTGCAAACCTTTAATTATTTCACATTGTCGAGAACAATTTTGGGTTGTAATTTATACCATTGCATGAAGAAGTAAAATTTAAAAAAAAAAATAATTTTTCAAAGATGAACATTTTTCTAGGGCGCTCAACTCCCTGGCGGCGCCACTTTAGTCAGAAAATTTGGAAGCGCTGCCGATCAGTGCATCATGCAATCGCGCCCTTTTTTGTTGCGTAAACGGAGGGAAAATTAGGGGGGGCGGGGTCAGTAATTGTTTACAAAGAGACAAGTGATGTTGTGATGTAAGTGTCAGTTCCGAAATGAGTCTCAAAATGTGTCATTTTTCGAAAAAAAAAACTCAGTGAAGTCGGGTCCCGGAGAAGCGACAAGCGGCGGCCGTCCTCCTTTGATCATCGTTCCAGCCGCGGCACCAGGTATTTTTCAATTTTAAATCTACGATTTTATGATACCAAAGGATTTGGTTTTGGGGAAGTTTTTTGTTTAAATTATAAGTATGTGTGGCACGCAAGAGAATTCACAGAATCAGTTGTTGAGCTACAGAAAAAATTATGTTATTTTCTCGTCTGAGCGCGTTCGTATTTTTTCTGTATGCACTTGAAAGAAGACGACCTTCGACTTCTGGCCGCCGCATCTGGGTCAAAATGCTAATTAGCCGCGAGTGTCTGCTGCCTCGCTTCCAACTAATCGGAAACGTAAGCCAACATAAAAAAGAAATTGTTTCCTCGCAAGAGAGATGAAATCAAAATTTTCGATGCGTCTCGCGTGCGGCATTTAAGCAAGCAGAAAATTGTGTTATCTTTCGAAAAAAGCTTTCTTCTGCGCGCACGTGTTCACGCTCTGGCAAATTCCTACACGCAATTTGTACAAAGATTGAATTGTGAACTTCAAATAGAATGATAATAATAGCAGTTTCATTTCTATGAAATTTATGCGGCTAATTTTGTAAACAAATTATTTCTATACACTTAAGAGTAAGGATTTTATTTTTTAATTTTTAATAAAAAAAATCTCATCTAGTTCCTTCATAGAGGCGGAGGAAATTGATTAGTTATTTCACGTGCAATTACAAGTCACAGTTTTTTCGAAAAATAATTTTTATGCAAAAAAGTATATTGTATAAAGTATTCATATTATTATTTGGAAAAGGCTAAAAGTACTGAAGAAAATAGAACCAAACAAGAAAAATATGAGCAAGAAACGTAGTAAAAATAGTCTTCTTTTAATGACAAATTCAACGTTCAATTGAGTTAAATTTCTGATTGAGGTTTAAGAAGGAATCGACTTTTATTTTTAGTATTGGAAGTCTTGATTTCCAAAACGTTACGTTGATGGCTTGACAAAATTATTTGAGCGATTTCTTAATATTTTTACAATTAAATCTTTGTTCTTATAGAAGCAATTAAATAAAGATGAAAGGAGCGATCGCGTCAAGTGTTGCTAGTAGAATCGGTCGCATTTCCGCAAAAGTTTTGTCTTTTGCACTCCGCGGAGCGAAAAGCGGCGAATCGAATCGCAAACAAAATTGGCGACCGCTCAAGGCCTCGCCGATTATCGCGGAAGGAAAGCGGTTTTCCATCGCCGCTAATAACTGCTGCCTTCGAAATAAACGAAACTGGGCCAAAGAGAAGAGATTCCATCCTAAACAGAGAAAAACTGGAACACTTTTCTCGTCGCACATATTTTTGGCCGGAAACGCCCGAATCTGGTCAATCAAGAAATCAAGATAAACAGACGGAGAGAGTTTGCAGAAAATGAAACTGGCCGGCCCTTAAGTTGAATTATTATTATTCACGATTTGGGTCTAGGAAAATATAATATTATATATTTAAAATCTTATTTATGATTTATAATTTTTCAGAAAAAAAGATTACTCAAATTCAAACATGAATTTATGCAATTCTAATTTTCAAGCAAAAAAGGTAATTTATTCAAGCATTTCTGGTCAAAATTTGTCTCAATAGCCACATTAATATGATTTGCAACCAATTATAAACGTTTGAATGTTTAATTTTGTATTTCTCTGGGAAAAATTCATAAATTTTAATTTGAGACAATTCAGCTTCAAATTTCAATTTGTGAACTTGCAATTTAAAATATTAAAAAATCAATAAAATTTTTTTTTTAAATAATAACTTGATTTTGCTGGATCCAAACAGAGATGCTCATCCTTGAAGTAGGAAAAATGTGATTCTCAAGGTGCGTGCAAATCGTTTGCAATAAAATTACGATCGGCAAAGGCAAACGAGTCTCTCTAGCAGAGTTTTACTCATTCTGCGGCTTCAAGCAAGGCGACTTGTTATGTCACACCATGAGCAGAGCCGACGGGAAAAGGAAAGAAAGGATTAATGGTTTCAACAGCGGCGCACAAACAAACACTTTCGAATTCAAATTTAAATCAAAATTTGAATGTTTTTTGGGATTTGAGAAAATTAAAAGATTTTTTTGCTTCTGATCGACTCACGTGTGTGCGAGGTTAGGAGGGGCTGGTGGCGAGGCGCAGGGTTCTTTCTGCCATGGATCTTGCGCCGAGACTGCGCGCCTTGGACCTGCCGACCGAGGCCCGAAGCTTTGGCGGGGAAAGCAAGTTACGTCAACAGGTGCACCAGCACACCTGAGCACACCTCTCCTCCTCCTCCCTATGATCTACAAACACGTAACCTTTCAACTCAGCTTCCACCTTTCTTTATTCGGCGCGCATCTTCTTGATTTCTTGATGCCCGACAACTGTGGCGTAACCAAAGTAAAAACAAAAATCTGAGAGTGATCGACGTGCGCGACATTAGGATTTTCCACTCTTTCTTTTATTGATCGTCAGATCCTTTGATACCATCAAGGATTAGATATGGGAATTTTATTACAATTTCTCAATAGGGAAACTGGAACGTATATCAATAAATTTTTGTCAGAAAATTATTACTTGTAAATTTTAAATATTTACTTAGCAAGAAATCGAAATTAATTTTAAATGAACTTCCTGGTAGTTGCTGAAATGAATATTTTCTTAAAGTCAAATGCATATTTGGAATTAAAAATCACGTATGCTTACATTTGTTGATTTTTTGGGGGTAATTTTCTGTTGCTTAGGCAGAAGTTTTAACCAATTCAAAGAAATTTTTATTTTTTTATATTAATTTCCCATGTAGTAATAATTCAGTTCTTCAGTACATTAAATTAACTCATAAGTTGTTATAAATTTAGAAATACCACTCCTAATTTGGTAGTACTCTTTAACAAACCTATGGCGCTTTTTTAAAAAGTGTCCGAACAAAAATGTGCAAAATAATTTTTTTTTAATAATTTTTTTTTTTTTTTAAATATTTTTCACCTTTATTTTCAATTACTTTGCCAGAATTTGAAACAGGAAGGACTATAATATTTGCATGGACGCTCAAATCAATTTTAATTTACTCGGTTAAAATTTTCAATTATTTTTTCCTTCTCCTGAATCTCCATTTCCTGATTGAAACAGCATCTGATGAATTCCCAACCTATTCGCCCGAGGGCGGCCCGTGTTGTTTCTGACAACCTTTTTTTTTTTTGCCGTGGTCCAAATAAATTGCAATCAAATACTTCACTAAACGATCGCCGATTGCTTTGTTTTGGTTATCACGAAACATGAATCTCTGCTTTATTTTTTTTTTCGTTATGGACAAGCCTGCTTTTCCTTTGTTGTTGCAAATTTCGAAAAAATCAGCCACGCCCTGCAAGATAGACCTGCACCTATGTAATTTCCGTCTCAAGGTTTTTCCTGCTCCAATATTTTTCCCAGAATTATTCGCTAATAGTGGCCATATTAGGCAAATATTTATTCAAATAAATTAGCTTTTGCACTTGAAATAAAGTATCAACAAACTGCAAGTTATGTAAGAGTGCTGAATCACGTACGGGAAATTAGATTCGTCATGCTGAGTCTAACAATATTTTCATGCTTTGTGTGCGAGCAATTAGGTAAGTGCTGTTTTGTAAGCGAGAAGGGCAAAAAATGGAAGAAAGTGAAAGAACACAGATGCTAATGCACTCTTGTATAGTACGCATGTAATTTTACTGATTATTCCGCATGACGAGAGAAAAAAGGACCATGTGCGATTGCGGACAAGGTCGAGTGCAACAATGCAAAATGCAGTCGATTGTTAAAAGTCACTGCGCAGATGATACGTGTTGTTAATAGAAAAAAATCAATTCGCACTTCTCATGCTTGACATTCAAAGAGGAAAACAGACACGTAGGTGCCAAAAGGAAAAACGGATTCCTTTCGCAAAACGTCGTAAAACTCTCACTGCACTCTTTTGCCCTTTGATCTTTCTTTCCATATTAAAAGAGTTACGACTCTTATTCAATTTTTTTGATTAGTTTCTGTGGAGCAAGAGACATAAAAATCGTTTTATGTTAATATTTCGATATAATTTAAAAAAAGTAATTTCAAGGTTAACTTCTTAAAACCACAGAAAAAATATTCAAAATATTCAGTCATTTCAAAAATTTATTTTTAATTTTTTTTTTATCATGACGATATTAACACAAAAATGTGATGAAAATTTTTCAAATATCTTGTTTAAAAATTATTGATCATAGAATTTTAAAAAGTATAATTATACATATGAAATAAAAAACATATGAACCAGAAATAAACAATGTCAAACTACCTAACTTTGAACTCTTTTCCTTCATTTGAAGTTATGCAAATTATCTTTCCATTTTAAGTTTTAACGCAATCAGAAAAGGATATTACGTGTGTTGCTTGTTTAATTACGCATGCATGATTCATGCAGAGGAGTTTCCGGCGTGGCCGCATAGAAGAAGCAAAGTGTTAAGTTTTCTCGGCGCAGGCCTGCATTGTTGACGTACGAGTTTATATATTATGGCGAGCGTGTGCGCGGGGAAATTAAGAAATGAGAAAGAAAGCAGGATGCGTGCCTTGCTGGCCGGCCGCCGGTCACCGCACCATAATCCAAATTAATTCATGCCTGACTTTCTACTCGCTCGCGCATTAACTCACTCATCGATTCGGTTTCGGGAACAGAAAAGAATTTGTCATTATTTGAAAGAATTTGATAAAAATAAAAAATGGGTCACGCTGCACCAACGCGTCTATAATACGAGCTGTGAAGTGGAGCGTGAACATTTATCACACATGCATTTTTTTAATTTGAGATGATACAATGTTCAATTTTAAATAAATCGCTTTGAAAAATATGACTTTATAATAAATCAGAAATTAAAAAAAACGCAACATTTCTTTCATATTTTTTTTTTAATTATTTCCTTATTAAAATTGCTTAAAATAAAAAAAAATCACCTATGGCTAAAAATTGTGAGCAACTTTTATATTGAATTCTTACCTAAATTTGAATAAAAATTACAATTTTTTTATAACTTCTTAGCAATTAGCACAAACCGATTTGGGTTTAATTAATTTTATTTCAAAATTAAATGCAGCGCAATTTGTTATGCATAATTTACTTTTTGTAGCGAGAATAATTGGCCGCCTTTTTGTATCGAAGCGATTAAATCCTCCAAGGCGAGTGCATAAAGGAGGATTAAGAAATTGTTATTAAATGAAGGTGCGCGAGTGGGATGAGTAGCTAATTTTGTTCGATGTTGTGGTAAAAAACGCAAGTCAAAGGTGCAGTGACTTTACAACCACGCGCAAGGTCCCTTTTTTATACAGGGTGCTGCCAGAATGACCCACTCGTGATCTCACACTAGACACGTAATGAGAGTTAATGTAAGAAGGATTACGCCTTTAGAAAAATAACTGACCTTCACTCTGGGTTTTACCTTAGACCAGAGAGTCTGCGGCAATATCCTCTTACCTGCGCATTAATGCACATGACATTTGCGCAATATTGCAAAGGAAATAATTTCAATATAAAATTGTTTTTCAATCAATTTAAAATTTCTTGTCAAAAATTATAGATTCAGCTTTTTTACTGTGTTTAAAAATCAACAAATTTTAAAAATTAAAAAATAATATTTAGTCGTTTAATATGTATTTTTTTTAAATTACAATAAATTTTGTTTCTGAAGTTCTTTCCTTTGACTTTTAATGGAAATAAAAATACTCGCTTATAAATTAATAAATGAAATTTACATCAATGTGATAATATTGATAACCTTTTTGTTGAAGGTGCAGAATCGAACAATGGATTTAATTAACCAGGGCCAGGTTAGGTTTCTGAATCACCTTAATTAATTATATAATATATTCTTCATAATGAAAACAGTAATTTCCAAAGGCATCACATGTTATTATTTATTTACACGCTCACAATCAAAAATAAATAAAATCTTGCAGATAACCACGAAATGCAGAAAACACATTTTTTTCTTTCTTGCAAAATTCTTGAAGGCACAAACACACACGATATAGAGATGTATTCGCACTTGGGATGAATATGGCATCAAACTCTTGTTAACTCAATAAATACCGGTATCATATATTTTTAAAAAACTAGTTAAGTAATCATGGGGGTAAGAAAGTTGGTGAGGAACACATGTAAAATTGTCTTTCTCCTGCGAAAATGTAAAAAAAGGGACAAATCACAGTCAGCGTGGGCAGCGCGAGGCAGGTCAGGGGTCGTCGGTGGTCTCGGCTGACGACTCGGATTCGCCGGTGCTCTTTGAGACAGACGAACTGGTGGTCAGCGCTGACAACTTGTAGCCCAGGCTGCGCGCCACCGCCTGCTTCATCCCTTCCACGAATTTCTGCGTCCGTCGCGCAGTGTTCTGAAAAAAAATTTGAAAGCAATAATATAAACTTGAAAAACAGTAAAAATTTAGAATTTTAAAATCAGTCATTAAAAGCCAGAGTGGTTGGGAAACTATTTTAGGCAATCCAAGTTATCAACTTCTTGAATAGGCCTTTCCAAAAAATAGCTCTTAACATCTGCCTTAAGAAATTCAAATTTATTCTAGTTGGTTTTTAAGCTATTCATTTTTTGGTATGTTTGTCCATTTTCCCACGCTTTGTTTACTCCTTTGACGGTTTATTTGCGTGGAATGTGTGTCTCTCCTTTCACTCACCAGGATGACGTCACCGACGATTTTGGAGACGTCGGTGACCACCGAGAAGGCCGTTCCAAACAACTCGCCTGGGATGTCCAGCATCACCCTGTTTGAGTCGAATTCCGGCACGTCCTCAGACGTTGGCTGTCGCAAAAACAAATTTTTTTATTATTTGAAAAAAAGAGGCGTAATGCAAATTACATCTGGAGTGGTGGTCGTGGTTTTGTAGTAGAACGTGTTGAGCGCCTGCCTCGCGCTCAGTTGCCCCAAAATCCGCGTCTTTAGCTGCAGCAACGTGTTGATTTTCTGAAATTGATAATAAAATAGGGTTGTTAATGTTCTATGTAAAATTGCAGAAAACTTTGGTTTAATGCGCTAAAAATTATATTGATACAATAATAATTATATTAAATTATTATTATTTTTACAATGCAGGGAAGAGATTCCTTTCATTTTTTTTCTACATTAAAAAATTATACTAATAGTACATATTTTTGTTACATTCTCATTCAAATTCAACGTTCTCATAAAAAAGACCTATATTCAAAAAGTGGAACAAGAAAAAGTCAAGTAGAAGAAAACAAAGCGCGCCTGGGAGGAATTTTCTTTTACAACGTTCATTGTTGGTCCGTTAGTCCGGTCTAGGAGATAATGGGCCACTCCCTGCCTAAAAGTAAGACCGCTGGACCACGTGTGTAGTTTATTTGTGGCCGCGGAGCTGGAAACGTCCGGGAGAAAGCAAATGATTTCAACGCCCGAAATTCCCTCGCCGCGGAACGAAACTGCAATTAAAATTTATTTGGCTAATTCAAGGCTGCGATCGAGGCCAATTAACTCATTTTGCGACTTCTCTCAAGAAAGATTTGTGTAATTGTGCGAGCGTGCGTCTGGCATTGACTTGATCTGCATTCAAAATATATCCATGAGCGATTTTTGTTCCCAACAGTTTGGTAATTCTAATTATGGACGCACGAGCCAATTAACATAAAATATTTATTAATGACTCGCCTTGTTTAAAATGAGGCAGCCAAAATTAGCGGTAGCAAATTTTTAAAGTAGATTTTTAACACTAGATTTTCAAAAATCTTTCATTATCTCTGCAGATTCCACAAAGAAATTAAAAAACAAAAAATCTTTAAAATAGTATTTTCCCGTGTAATATTAAAATTGAAATTAATCATACTTTTGGCGGAAATTGGAGTAAATTTACTTGATTGCCAAATCGTATAATCTCTGAAGAAATCGTTTAAATATTTTTATTATTGAAAATTAAAATCTCACGATTCAATGCGGAAACAGAAAAGGTCGCATATTTTTTTTTTTTAATCCAGAAATGAATTGCAAACTTTTTGGAAGATTTTTATTTTGATAAGCCTGACTTTCTCTTTAAAATCAATCTTTGGGTTTTGGTCGTTGGATGAAATTGAAGTTTTTACAAAAGAGTGGGAATAACCATGCCTCTTATACAGTCTAACAACAAGACTAAAAAAAGCTGTTCGTATCACAAAAATTGATTCAGTGAGAATTGTTTAATATTTTTTTTAAATTTAAGACATATATTGCCTCAAATGAAACTTTGTGCTTTATTCCTATGTAAGAGATTTGAATTTTCTTATTTAAAAAATCAAAGTATTTTTGGATTTAAATGTTTGCTTAAAATAATGAACGTAAATAAAATTTATGCTGCAACAAAAAGGCGGTTGCATCCACTTCACACCAAAGAGATTCACGTGTATTGTATATTTTCACTCGGAGTTCTTCACTATTCCCGGAACAAATTTACGTATTGTTTGACGAGCACTTCACAGAATGATTTCAACTTGTTTGACTTTGTCCGTATAGGAGAGAAAGTGACGTAACGCATTATTAGATAATTCTTCACGCAAATCCTGAACGAGAAGAGGTGCAAATTCAATGAGAGCGGGAATTACATAATGAAAAGTGCAATTAGATGAGAAAGCACTAAAGAGTCATCCTGCTCGCAAGGTCACGCACTTTCATTCATTGAACTTTCTTAAGAGTGCTGACTTATCAAAACACACAACATAAGTCGCCAAATGGGAAAAAAATAATGGGTGGCAAGGACGTTTTTCTTATTCTTCTCTCGATTGAAAATTTAATGAACCGAATATGAAAAGCGCTTGACACGGATTCTGTTTGTTTAAGTCACAACTTAATTGAGTAACCGACGCGCGAGTATTGAAAGAGAGACAAAAGACTTACCAGTCAATTCAATCATGGTAGAAGCGCTTTCAAAATATTTAATTAGGATTTGAGGATTACTAAATTTCGTCATGCCGTTGAATTGATGAAGATTTTTCTAAGCAGAAATTTTCTGTTTTTATTTGCTGCGGCCACACGTACGATTTGAGGTTTCCCTTTGGTGTGCACCGACGCGGAAACAAAAAAAAGTGCTTCTGCTCTTTTCTCTCCAATAAAAATCACGTCCAAGGCCTGGCTGCTGCCAAATTGCGTGCGCTTTTGCCTCATTACAACTAAAATTATTGTTATTTCACCAGAAATGTGAAAAAATAGCAGAGGCCCAAAATCAAAGGCACGGAAGCGTCTTATTAAGATGGCAAATCACAAATTGGCTCACAATTTGCTCGTATTGTAAATTTTAAGCAAAATAAATTCTTTTTTTCTACTATCTTTTCAATTTGCAACACAATTTTTGTCCACGGCAGTTAAAAAGTTTAATTTAAGTTTTTCAAATTTTGAAGTTTCATTATTTTTTAACTAATAACTCATAAATTTTTGGTATCATATTATATTTTTCAAAATAAATAAAGTTATAATAAAAATAAAAAATTACCCTATTTAAAAAATACAAGAGCTTGCCTTCTGGAAGCTCATGAGGGCATAGGCCGATAAGACACCGTCTTGGCCTGACCAAAAAAAAAATAAAACAATAAAATAAATACTTCAAAGTCTTCCAAAATCAATAATATTCAAAATTTCCTGTTTCATTGAGACAGTCTTCCTTAACTTTGGGAGTCTTGTTAATCAATAAATTAAAACGCTATTAGTAAAAATAGAAAGAAACTCACCCAAAAAAGAATGTTGAGCAAAATTCTGGCCTTGCGTTTGTCCCTGGGACTTCTGTCGGCCAAGTCAGGCCCGAAAATCTCCTCGGGATGCAAGAAGGGCTGAAATGGTTTTTAGCAATAAATAATTATTTGAATTAATTTTGGTACTTGATGTTCGACGGGGTCAAGTCCGTCATCCTCGGGCAGCGTTTGTCTCCGAGGTCTTCGCCTGGGCACGATAGGGGTGGCGACGATGGTGTGCACCACCAGCAGCACCAACAGGCACCACGACCGCCACCGCACCTTCATCCTTCCGCCGGCCGCTGCAACAAAATCAAAGAAACAAAAGTCTTTAAATTTTACCATGTTAATTAATTTTTTGTAAATTTGGATTTTAAAAATTGCAAATTACCCTTATTAAATATTAAAAAGTTTATTTTCTTCTTTACAAATTTTACGAATATAATGTCCCATTTTTTCCAATCTCTTAATTTTCACAAGTAGATTTATGTCTCATTAAATGGTAATAACTAGAAAATGAAAAAAAGTTCTCACTCAACCCTATTTAGTGGTTTTTTTATATTAAGAATCAAAATTTTGGAAATTCAGTAAAAGATTTATTTAAAATCCAGAATTGCGTGATACAAAAATATAAAGATTCAAATGACTTGCTGGTGTCTTTGTTTTTAAATTAAGTAGCGCGTGGAAGGAATTCCCTGGCGATCTGAGAGGAGTGACCATGAAACTCACTTTATTCATTACCAACCTTGAATCACTAGGATCAGAGCAAAACATGAAAAAAATCTTCTTATAATATGTAAGTGTTGCTCACCGCGTATATACCAACAGCAAAAAATAATTCAATTAAATTATTTCAAGAGCCTCTTGACAAGAGGAAGGAATCTCGCGGCTCATTTGCACATTTTACAATTTCGTGACATCTCTTTCTTTGCATAAAATTTTTTAATTTCTCTCACGACGATTTGTTTAAATTATCTTCAAATTTCGCAGCATCATCTTTGTCGGAGGAAACAAAAGCGAAAAGTCCTTGGATTGACCATAAGAAAAAAGATAGATCTGTATTAAAGTATCTTTACAAGTGGGTTTTTGCGCGAGTGAAGTAATTTTCCTGCGTCATGTGATTAAAAAAAAAATTGAAAATGATTGAGCGTTATTGCTAATGAGAATCGCAGCAGGTATAAAATATTTTCTGCAAAGGAATGTTGAAAATAAATTGAGGCTGGGCCGATAAGAGAGCGGCGATAAGCTCTTTGGGAAGAAAGAAAGAAAGTTGAAGTTCACTTTTATCGCCGGAATAAAATGTAGGTTAGTGCAGCAGTGTGGGCCGCCGACACGCATTTTGCCTCTTATAAAAGTACTGTCAGACCTTTGCAAAAATACAAACAAGATCCTTCTCATGGATACAAATACCTCAAAACGCATTAAGTCTTCAAAAAGGACAAAAACTTAGTGTTATAATTTTACTTCTGGAGTTCAAAGAGTTAGGATGAAAAACTTTTTTGAAAATAATTTCATGCAATGCAATGAAGTATGCAATGTTACTTGAAAAATAATTTTTGAAATATTATTATCAAATATCAAATCGTGTTTTTTTATCCCAAATTTAACTATTTATTTTGAAATATTTGGATATTTTGAAGGATGATTTCGTTTTTAATTTTCAAAACTAATTATGAATTTTAGGCCTGTGAAATTTAAATCTAAACGCATTCACAACTTGCACAATAAACCTTTTCGATTTGATCAAAATTAGAATATTTATTTAAAATTTTATTTTCCTCAATATCACAATTTTCTTCAAATTTGCGAGTTTTAAATAAACATTATTTTTATAAGTGAAAATATAAAATACAATTGAATTTATGTTCAGTAGTTTTGAAAGAGAAATGAAAAAAAATCAATCAAATGTTGTGGAGCAACACAGACGATTAATCAATTTTTTGAGTCTCGTTGCGATTTCGCTGCCGTGAGAAACTGCGCTTTTTGTGTAATTCCCTTTGATTGATTTGATTCGTCGAATTAATCGAATTTTCTACCGGCCTTTACAGTGTTAGTCACTCACAAATGTCCAAACTCTCTCGCGCGCCAACCGGAGGCTTAATATTGCACAAGATCTGAATGTGAAATGAACTTGGAAGTGGCGGAACCCAGCGTTTAGCCTCCACTTACCATATTGCCCCCAATCGAAATCACTTTTTAACCAACAGAATTAAGAATGTGAGTCACGGCTTTTTATTATTTAAAAAAAAGAAGAAAAAAATACAAAAAATATATTTTCATTCCTAATATTCAAAGCATTTTAAATTATAATTTGTTTTAAATAAACGGAATTAATTTATTATTCTTGTAAATCTTTCTATAATTTCATAAGAAATTTTCAAGACTATTTTCAATAAATTGACGATAATTTTTTTAGCACAGTGAAAACGCTTTCTGAAGAAGAAAACAACCTGCTTATTCCGGCTGGAAGCAATAAATTTGCATAAGAAATGAAGTCATGAAAGTGTTTTGTTTGTTGTTGATGGATATTGGACACCCACGAGAACGCAAATTTTCTTTCTAATTTGCAATTCGATTGAAAGTTTTGACCTTTGAAGCTCGCAAAACCACCCAGCTTAATTCTCTGCTTGCCAATACTTATAATTTTGGCGTTTGATTTACGATCGGCACCTTTCTCAATTTCACTCTCATTGTTGGCTCGGACAGAACGAAAAAAAGAAAGAAAGCTTCTCTCATTAGGTGCCAATTGGAATCAAAAGGCCAAACGGTTTCGTTGACATAAAAATTCAAATGGCCGATGGAGAACGAACGAGACAGGTCAGAGGGCACTGGTTTCACAAAAGCACTTTCCTTTTTTGCCGCAGCATTGGATTAGATTTATTATAATTTAATAAAAAAAAATTAATAAATAAATTTTTAAAATACGCATCCCTTTCATTTTTATATCAGCAATATATAAAAAAAAAATTATTGCAGGATTTTATTGGAACTCAAAAGTTTACAATTTATCAGTAGTTTTTAATAATTCAGAAAATCAAATGAGCAAATAAAAAAAAATGTCTAAGAAAAATTGATTTTTATTGCAATAGGAACAAAATTTTGATTTGAACATTAACAAAATTTGGAAATTATAAATAATAAAATGGTTATTAAGCCTTACTTTAAATATCGATCCAAGATTTCAATATAATTTAATTTCATATCTTGCGCTTTATGTTACAAATTGCTTTTTTGTTTTAAGTCAAGTTGAAGTTTTAAATGAGTTTGAAATAAAAACGTAATATTAAATAATTATGGTTTTATAATTCATGGATATTTAAAATTATAAAATACTATGTCAAATAAAATTTATGGGAAATTCTTTTAAAAATAAACAATCGTTTGCAAAATAAGGAAATGAAACAAATTCATTACTTCAACAAAACTTTATCTTGTGATTTGTCCCTCTTCCTATGAAAACCGAAAACAACTGTTATAATTGTCTTTCTGCTATGAAGACTTTAAATAAGAAAAGTGGACACCATCATGCGAATCTCCTCAAGGCAAAAGCTTTACAAAAGCAAAAAATTCGCTGTATAAAATAAACCGTCTCTTTTTCTGTAATAATTCTTTCTCTCATAATAAACTGCGATTTTTAATTGATCGTTTGTCGCTCTTGCCGGCCGGAGTGTTTAAGAGTATTTTAGTGATAATAAATGGCTTGGCCAAACTGCAGCTTGGCAGAGAAAGTGGGGAAAGTGCGCGGTGTTGTCGCTTCAGTCAGGGCCGGTCTGCTCGATTTTGAGCGAATTATCGGACCGCCACTAATCGCGCACGCAAGCAGCCCTTGACATTTCCATTCAAGCAAATAATGTGATATAAAAAAAGTGGACCGAAAGTGCAGAAACCAGATCTTTTATCGCCCGCCCGTGGGAAAAAAATATCATTCATTCTTTTGGCTTCACTTAAAATTCGATAAGCCAAATTCTGCGCATTTTGACAATGTACCTACAATTATTTATTTTTTCTAAAAATAAAAATAAATTGTACAATACTTCAAAATAAATTACAAAAAAATGAAATAAAATAAAATAGTTTTATTCATTTAATATTTTTAATTAAAATAAATAATTTTCGTTAAATTTTTAAAATAATACCATCAAATTGTGCTCGTACCAAAATTAAAAAAAAAAATTAATTGTTGATAAAAACTCTAAATTAATATATCTGATTAATTTAGAAATTTTTGTAATAATAATATATTGAAGCGCTCAATAAATTTTGAAAATTTATTTGTAACTAAATTTTTTGAGAATTTCCAAATTTTTACACTTTCTTTAATCTGGAATGCACTTAAAATAATTAGATTTATCACAACACAATAGCACACATGCAGTTGGAAAAAAATAATGGTAGTCTTCGGGAAACCATAAAAAGGCAAACGTAAATATACATGTTGATATTTTATATCTTTAACATAGGTTAATTATGACTTGCTTATGAAAAAAACTTGTAATGAAAAAATAATTAATTGAATAGAGCAGCTTATATTGCTGAAAATACTAAAATTGTTAAGTCTAGCGATTGCAGCTGTTATATAAAATTGATAGTTTTTTTAAGGATGGTACTAAATGTAATAATATTTTATTTTCTAATTTTTTCTTCATATCTCATTTCAAATTTTATTAATTCCTCCTTTTGAATTATATATATCCTCATCAGCTGATAAAAGTAATTTCTCCCACCAACAACTAATAGTAAATTTTTAATGATGATTAGAAAAGTTCAATTAGCGGCAATAAGCCCCAATAAAAATCCACAAAACCAATGTCTGTCTGATGAGAAGGGTGTAATTACCGGTCATAAAAGCAACAAATCTTCCCAATAAAAGCCAGCGTGACCCAGATAGCCAAAAAATTTGACCGCCTGCTCTTGTTAAAGTTAAAACTTGTACGTATTTTACTGAACAAGAAAACTGGTTTCGTTTTCTTTCAAACGTTTATATGCGGAGGTCAAAGGAAACAGTCTCTCGACCTCTCTCTATAAATTATTGGCTGCAAGTTGAATAATAGTTTTTCCTCCTTATAGTTATGCAGTAGTTGGCATGGCTGACTGGGACAGAGAGAAAGTAATGAGGAAGCTGCTGGCGAGTATGTATGGCAATTGGCGAGATGTAAACACAGACCTGCTATATTGCCGGTGGTTATTCAAGCCGGCCCGAGAAAAAATCTCGTGGCGTAATCCTCGCCTATATTGCAAATAAATATGTATAAAGTTAGTTAGTCCTTTCGCACTGAGTAATATGCAGACAAACGCAGACGGAATTTTAATCACTTTGGTGAAACTTATTATTGCAAATTTTCCTTAAGCGGATAAATTACAAAAATAAAAAACAGTTACAAGTATTTATCCTTAAACTGGGGCAGAAAATAGTATATTTGTGTTTTCAATTTCGCTTTTAATAGCAATTTTGACAGATAAGATCCTTTGTGAATTTTTTTCTTACTGGGTTAAAATATGCGAGCAAAAAATAAATTTTTTTAGTGCTTTTTATGGACTATAAAACATTTCAATCCTTGCAGATCATTTAGTTTTATCAGATATATATGTTGATAGTATTTGATAATTGATTGTCAATTTACAGTAGTAGCAACTCAGGAGAAAATTTTACTCTTTTCTAACAAAAGTGAATTAATTACTCCTAATTATTGTATAATCAGTTTATTCTACAGAGCAATGCAGAGGAAACATACACAAAGATGACTTTAGAAACGCAACAAGTTGTTTTACGTTATTTTTTCAATTTCACCGTAATTAATAAAGAAAGAAGAGACTATTTGCATATTTTATTCAGTGCATTTTATTGTGACAGCGCAGGACATAAATTTAACTAATTGATTCAGGAGATCTGAGTTTAAATAATTAATAATTAAAGTTTGAAGTGATTTGTTTCATATAAATTGAGTTTAAAAAAAAATATGAAACAAAATATAATTAATAAAAGTAAATAAATTGCATAAAGCAAAGAAGTTTTCAAGCATCGTTCAATTTAATGAATTTGCGCCAAAATAAGAGAAGAGACTCGCAGTGGAAATTTTCTCACCGGTGTGCAGTAGAAATTTTAATTTGTCGCCTCTCATTAATAAAATTAGTGCGCGGCAAAGAAAGTTCCGGTTAATTGTCTCTTAGACTAACTACATAATGCTGCTGCGAGACTCGTGAAAATTAACCTCCAAATCCAAAAAGAAGGGATTTGTACATAGAGCCAGACTGAGTTGTCCGAGCGGAACTAAATTGTGGCCAAGAATAATTTTCGGCTTCATTGGACAATATAATTATATGGAATTTGCTAATTTTCAGACCTCAATTCAATTCAAAAAATTTAAACAGATCATTCAGTTCATATTGAACAATATTATTTTTATTTTTACGTTTTACAACCAGAATAATTTAGTATTGTTGATTGAAAACTGTTTTAAGCGATTCTGCCCAGCAATATTTTAATTTAATAATTTGAGAATAATTATAAGGGAAAATCAATATTTTTGAGCTTACTTATTTTGTTTTGTTATAATTTATGACTTATTACTATTGTTGTTTATTTGTGCAAATTGTTACATCACATTGTTTACATGCAATTACTGAAAAAAATCATTATCATAATAAATAAATCCGCTTTTATATTTTCTTTCTGTAGATTTGATGCTTTTCAAAAAGAAAAGAAAACACAAAATTGTCTTAAATCAGAATTTTTATTTAACATTATCTTTTAAGTGCAGAAGCATACCGAGTTTTGCTTTAAATTGGCCGGAACGTTGCATTGGATTTGAGCGGATGCACCGCCGCCGCCGAGTGCATAATATGCGTAGTCTATTTAATAAGAGCGAGGGAAAGTAAACACCGCTTAACAGAGCGTAAAGCACAGGGTCTTTGTTCAAAATTTTACGCGCTGAGAAAAAGAGCCTTAAAAATCATCTTACAAAAATTAATCCTGCTTGTAAGTAATGAATTATTGCTTTAATTTAAAATAATAAAATTGCTTTGAATGTCAAGAGTGGTTTTCCTTGAGACTTTGAGGTCTGCCGCTTTTTTCAACTCGCTTTACTTAATTGCAGTTTAATTTTCAAGTATAAATTGCTCTGGTATTTATTTATATTTAAACGCGTGATTACAAGTTGGAAAAAGAGAGAAAATCGGTACCTGAGGGGGCCTAGAGAGAAACGGCAGCAGAGTGGAGCGGACGAGCCGAAAGCGTGGAGCGGCGCACGTGAGACTGGACACTGCTGAGCTCAAAACCAGAGCTCAAAACTCTCGCCGCTCCTTTCCCTCTCTCGCTCGTTACTTACGTAAGCTCTCGGCACACCACGCGCGCCTTTGTACCAAACACACTTAAGTGGAAAAAAGGATTAAAAAAATATGACAAAAAAGAGCACAACATGACACTCACAATTGTGCAAACGATTTTTTTTTTGCTGAAAATAAAATAGGAGTACAAATTAAAAAATTGGCAAATAATATTTTTTAAATTTGAACTTTTGAATTTTGAATTGAATAATGTTTTATAGATTCCATGCTTAAATAATTAATTCTTGAAATACATCATTTAAAAAACATTTTTAAATTTTTCCACAGGAGAACTTATAATTTTTATGGAATATCTTCTTTTTTATTAAGCAGTATTAATTTTTACGTATCTTATATTACAAAAAATTGTACCATAATTAAATAGTTTAAACATATTTGGTTATCTCACAATTAATGACAAATTTGGATGAAGGAAGAATATTTTAGAAACTTGTGACTTGTCGCATTTTACGTGGAATTACGTTCCGAGACGCGTTCAGAGTTACCAATTTAATTATTTCCTCTTTCGAGTGGTTTCTCTATGTTTTAAATTCTCAAAAAGAATATTTTCCTGCAATTTGTCACAATCATATTGTAAAAAAGTGGTTTTATTTATTTTTAACGCGCATCTTAAATTTTATGTTAGATTGCACTAGAATTAAAAAGGGGATTTTATAGGCTTTTAAGCAAAAGACAGCGTATAGTCTAAAATGCATTTTAAAAGGATATTTACACTGAAATGTTTGAGTTAGTAAGTGCAAATATTTTTTTAAGAAACAATCAGTTATGATTACCAATAGAGGGCCAACTTTGTCTGTCTTAATCAAGTTAAATAGGAAAATAGAGGCCTGACGAAAGAGAAACAGCAGCAGCTATGCATACTGCACAACTCCAGAGCCGAGCAAGTTGCATACTTTGCAGGCAAAACCTTCTATTTTTTATAAATGTTTTAGTATATTGTTTAAAATAGAATAGTGGCATTTCCTACACTTTGATAAATAGAAGTATATCGTTTCCCGCCTGTATATAAAATGTATTTTTCTTTCCAATGACAGCTTTCAACCGCGCTACAAAGTATTTTTCGGCTAAATAACAATAATAATGAAGATAAGTTCCATAGTGGATGCTTTTGATTGCGATCAAAAATTAACAATATTTTAATAAAAAAATTTGATAGGAAGGTTCAGCAGGAATTTTTTTTATAAATTTTATAATTTATGATTTTATCATTCATTCAATGAATTACGGCACACCGAGTTCTTACTGAGTTTCCTAGATGGTGTTGTCGTTCACCATTTCGGCGTCTGATATACATCGTAAGAAGTAAACGTGGGGCAAGGTTAGCATCATTGACACACTATAATATTAGTCTGTGGTTAGCATGTACTAAAATTTCGACAAATTTGTTTTGTAATTTAGATCGTGAAAATTAGAAAAGAAATAAAAAGTAAAGTATTAAGCAATACTTTTGTTTGCCTGTCATTCAAATTAAAAATTTTGATAGACATGCTCAGTAATAAAAGGGTATGCTGAATCAGGCCTGGGCCTGATGCCTGACAATGAGGGCAATTTATTAAGAAAGAAAAGGTGTGAAAGTTGTAAAGCAGAAGACCTTGGCTTTATTTTTGTTGGAAGTCAAATTATTTACTTTGTTCTCTTTGTAGATCACACTAAGGTTTAAAGTTAAATAAATATAAGTAAATAATAACTTATTTTTTAGATTTATTGTTAATTTGTAATAGCCATCAATAAATTCTGCGTCAAATTTAAACCTCGTCTAGAAACTAGAATCTAATTCTGAGCGGTACATAGATATGATTAATTTTCAAAGCTTGCCACAGCCACATGCCCAAAAATACTTGATTGCTTGTAAATATATAATCCATGCACATTTTAGCGCAAATATCTTGGATATCTTTTGAATTACTATTCATCTGTGTGTAGAGTCGAATTCAAGTTTCAGCAACAGCAGCTTCAACTTCAACAAGCGACCCACTTCGCACTTCATCAAGTTCGGTTGGGCGGCCAAACCCAAGCGTAATTACCTTTATGACAGTCCGTCGCCATCTCTGTCAAATCCGTTCACACAGTTATAGTGAATTAACATACCACTTGGACCCTAACCCTGCTCATTCTAGTAACTACGTGTAAATGTGTATGTTACACGACTCGTTGAGCACTTCTCCCTCCCTACCCACACACTCGACTTGGATTCCGATTCTACTTAAGGAAATTTCAGGGTATCAGAATTATAAATTAACTCTCGTTAAAATAAAACAAAAGTTTTATTTAATTTACCATTTAAATTGCATTGCGCATCATTATAAATCAATTTTTTTTATGCAACATTGTAAATTGTTCAACTGTTTGTGATATCGTTCTTTTTTTTCGATAGTGTGGGTTTACCGCGGCGGCCGTGTCTCTTTTGATGTCGGGCGTTTTAGCAGACATCTGCTAGTTGTAAACCCTTTCTTCTCTTTTTTCTCCAATTTAAAAATTTTTGTACAGACCGAGAAGAATAAATAATAATAAAACTCTTAAAGGAGATCTTTTAGGGTAGAGATTGATGTGCTGAAAAGATATCTAGTGTCGAAAAAGAATTTAAATCATTTTTTACATTGAGACCCAAGGAAAATCTCCGTGTTTGGTAGGAAATTTGATTGCTTTAAAAAGGAAAGGACCAAAGGATTTTATAAATCGGATGGATATCATGTGTTTTTAACCTATTAGATTACAGAGAAAAAAATAGCCATACAAATAGCCATACAAACATTTCATTAAAGCAGCATAACAGATTAGCTCTTTACGAAATTAGATTGTCTGGCAAATTGTGTCTTTATTTGGAGAGCAGCTTAGCTTGGTGCCGTCTCTGTGAATATCAATTTAATATTAATAATTTATTAGAGCATGAATCGCAAATGACCTCTGCTGCTTTCTGAGTAAAAATCCGTCTGTGAGGAAGTCAGTGCACAGCCAAAAGATGATTGAATTTGGCCAAGCAGCTAGTTTGCTAGCTTTTTTTCCTCACAGTTGTTTACTCAACTTTGTGAGCCAAGAGGTTTTCGGCAGACTCGAGTGGTGCCGGAAAAATTTAGTGGTTGTTAGCGTCGTACAAATGCAAAACTCGCCCCTGGTTGGGATTCAATTTGGCCATGCAAAGCTTGCCTCATCACAATACATACAAAATTATGTAATATTCATGCGTTGGGAGCCCTTTGACAAAGAGGGCGCTTTTGATGCTAGACGGTCAAATGTAATACACTTAATGGACCGCATATGAGCGCCAGTCCTTAAAGCTGAAACTGCCAAGCATGCCCCGGTGCTGAGTTTAAAAGGCCCGTCAGCCAGTGACGATGTCGTCATTTGTTTTCGCGAAATCTTTTTAACGACGGACGCTAAAATGCTCGCGCCCGACGACGCTAAATTCACTTGCAAGGGTGCTGCTGACTTTTTGCACCTTGAAACCGTTGAAAACGTATGAAATTGCTTGGGGGTGGCAATGTTATAAAAAATACTCTGCGCGTTAAGTGCGAGACGCAATTTCACGTCTTTTTTCATCAAAACCACTCTTCCTAACAGTGGCTATGCTGGATGTTTTTCTTTAAAGAATTTTTTTTTAATTTATTGAAGGTGCCAAAATTTTTGAGACAAGTTTGATTGTTGAAATTTTGAACATATATGTTAAAAACAGTTAGAAAGAATTTAATTGGATTAATTTTATTTCAAACCAAAACTTTGAAACTTTGCTGTATAAATTATTCCATGAAATCTTTTTTAGTTTGAATTAATCCGTTCTTCCGTTTTAAGTTGAGAAATGTCAGACATTTCGACAAATTTTCAGCAATTCAAAATTGTTTGTATATATGATGATGAGAATTTTGTAGAATTTCACAATTGAGGTTTGATTCATTGTTTGTAAATTTAGTCTTCTGTGACCTTGGATAAAAGAGAGGTAAGCTCAAAAACACAATTTATTTATTTATTCGAGATATTAATCGTTATTGTCTCTAAAGTTTAAAAAATCAAATTTTTTTAATTGAAACTTGAAATTTTAAAAATGTCATTAATTTTTTAGTATTTCAAAAACCAATTGTTTTCAAGAATTGAATGTTAACAATTTGATGTAACAATTGGGCAAAAAATAAACAACAGCAACAATACAAAATTAAATAATAATATTATTATTTGATTAATTTTTATAAACTACAATAAATTAAACTAATTTTTGACGAACAATTCAAATCTTTTGCAGCAGTCCGCATAAAAAAAGACGAAACATTGACGCTGACAACGCTGTGTGTGAAACAATAAAATGACACACAAAAAACCTTCAAGGAAAAGTCGAAAATCATTTCAAATACATAATGAAAATTAATGCGGTCGAATTTATGTATAATTCAATCACATTTTATCAACCTTTCAGTCAGTCACTCTGCTTCCAGAATCCACATTTTTATATCATGAATTGATCTTGAATTCAGTGAGGTCTAGAAAGTGAATGGCATCTCTCCACACTGATTAGAAGTCTCAAGGACGCATCAGGCGGTCAATATTAATGTTTTCCCCTCTCTGGAGCAGTCGGGAAGGGAGCAAGAGCGAGAGTCCCAATGAAAAGATAAATAAAAAGCTCAAGTGCATCTCAAAGCTGCAATTAGCGACTCGGAGAGACGGGTTCTGGTTGGTTCTCTTATCCGGCAGGTAGAGAGGCACTGTCCTTTCTCTTGAGAATTTTCTGCAAACTCTTGCCGTGGCACGAGAGAAATAATATAATATATAATGTATTTGTACTGAAACGCTTTTGTAGATTAATGTACATACTTGCGCGAGTAATTTAACTGCTGACAAAAGTGCAAAATCGATTTCTTTTAAATACATTATATATTACTTTGGAAATTGTATCAAGTATATTATTTAATAATAAAGAAATTTAAATTATAGACGCATATGAAAAAAAAGTTTAGCAGGCAATTAAAGTTAAAATATTA